TTAGGCTAATTCGCAGCCGGCTGCCCTCCCTCCCCGGCTTATTTGACTAATCTATGCGTGGCCCCGCCCCCACATCATCGGAATAATTTATGCGAAGCCTCTCCCGCCGCGCAGAGAGTGACACGTATCTCTAGCTAAGACACAATCGACCAGGCCTCGCAGCCACCAATCGCTGCAGCCCTTTCAAGTACCTAATGAATAATTAATGAGACCAAAACCCCAACAACAAATGTCTGGGACGTCAGGCGCCCGGGAGGGAACAGCACCGTGTCCACACTACCTGCCTGGAGCCTTCCCGCCAACAGAGGCAGTACAGGGTATGACTGATTCGGCAGCCAACCAATGAGGAGAGAAATTCAAAGAGCATTTCCCGCGCACCGCCCCTTCACTCCTGCTTTCCAGAGGCGGGGCTCAGCTCCCAAATCTTACTGCAAAACAGTCGCCGCAAAGAGCTTTCCAGTGATAGACAGGGACCAGACCCAATCCAGTCCTCCGTAGGTCCCGCGCCTCCCGCTGCCTCTCACAGATAGTAAACTGCAAAACGGGCCTCCCATTCTATCCAGTGACTGAGGCGGTCGCTGGAACGCGGAGTCTGACGTGCTGGCATGCTCCAGGCAATTTAATAGTAGAATCGATGCTGTATATCCCAAGAGTTGTAATACTGTAGTAGCCGGAGTAAGGCAATTAATTCAACGCTGACCTTGCTGGGCACCGCGGCTTTCGCTTATCATTTCAGCGATTCGGGAGACTGAAGCAAGTTCGAGGACAGCCTCAGCAATTTAGCGGGACCCTGTCTCAAAACAAAGATGGGGAAAAAAAAAAAGTCCTGGGATTTGGCTCAGCGGTTGAGCGCCTGCAGGTTCAATTCCTAGTACCATCCAAAGGGCGGGGTGCGGGGGGGTGGGGGTGGGAGGACACACAGACCTTCAGGAAAATTCTGCATTCACTGCCTCTGCGTAGAGAGCAGTTTACACGAACAAAAAGGCAAGCAGAAAAATATAAGCCAAAACACCTCCCACATTTCATTTCTGGTGAACAGTTATGTCAAGATCTAAGGTCTGTTAAAGCAAATTGCAAGTTCGAGGCCAGCCTTGGCAATTAATTAAAGGAGCCCCTGTCTCATCAAAAAAATAAATTAATAAATAAAGGACTGGGGATGCAATTTAGTGGCAGAGCGTCCCTGGGTTCAATCCCCAGTACCACTGAAATAAATAAATAAAACGCTAACCTTAGGGAGAATTTCCCATTCATTGCCTCTGCTGAGAGGGCAACTATACAAACAAAAACAAAGGCCAGTAGTGAAAAGATAAGCCAAAAAGCACACTCTCTCTCTCTCTCTCTCTCTCTCTCTCTCTCTTCTGGTGAACAGCTATGCCAAGATCTAGGGTCTGTTAAGGTAGTTTCCTTCAGATTTTTTTCCCCTACTGTCGTCAGCTGTGGAAAGCCCCAATCCAAAATGTCATCCAAAGTGCACCAATTTTAATGTCTTAAGTTTCTGTTTCAAACATCAGAAAAACCTTAGAATTTTACTGGTAGGTGAAAAGAAGGATTAACCCAAGATCTAATGCTGGCTGGCCTTGGCCACTCATCCTAAGCAATAGGTGAGAAAGCACAATCATTTGAGAAGTTACTCCAGTTTTAGGGTTTGAATTGCAAGATTTAATGAGCAACAGACAGGGTTAAATACATAACTGAGCATAGTGTGCTGGTGCAAGCTGTAATCCCAGAGGCTGGATTGAGACAGGAGGATCACAAGTTCAAAGCCAGCCGTAGCAAAGGCAAGGCGCTAAGCAACTAGGTGAGCCTCTGTCTCTAAAACAAAATAGGACTGGGGATGTGACTCAGTGGTCAAGTGTCCCTCGGTTCAATCCCTGGTACCAAAAAAAAGGCCTTGTTCGTCGCAGGGATCTATCTACCTGAAAGAGTCTCATCTTGTTTCTGTTTTAAAGTAGGAAAGTAGGTATCATCAAGTCTTGTTTGTACAAACACAGCTGGGCAGCTGGGAATCTGGAACAAGAAGTCATTAAACTTCAATGGTTGTGATAATAGTTCCTTTGATATGCTTTTTTCTTCTTCCTGGCCAAATTGTTCACCAGCATCCTACAACCCTATCTGGTCCCAAAATACTAAAATCTTAGTTAGCAAAGCTAAATACTGTCAGACATGGTGGTGAATGCCTGTATTCCCAGTGATTCAGGAGGCTGAGGCAGAAGTATCCCAAGTTTGAGGCTAGCCTGGGTAATTTAAGTTTGACCCTGTGTCAAATTAAAAAATAAAAAGCATTGGTAGTATAGCTTAGTGGCCAATCCCAGCACCACAAGACATACAAAAACTGAATATTAAGACACTATATTCTACAATAATTTGTGCCTATGTTAAATGGCACAATTATTCAGTCTTCATTGCAATTCCTGTTATGAAGTTTCTAAATCATTGGCATCTCCCAAGTGATTGATGGTTTTTGTTTTTTTGTCATACTGAGGATTGGACACAGGTGCACTTAACCACTGAGCCACAACCCCAGCCCTTTTTATTTTTGAGTCAGGGTTTCAATAAATTGCCAAGACTGGCCTCAAACTTGCAATCCTCCTGCCTCAGCTTCCTGAGTCTCTGGGATTATAGGTGTGCACCACAGCAACTGGCAGTGACCAATGTTTTCTTGTATACTAGTAAATCAACTGACAGAGACTGGTTACAGAAAGACAAAAATCAAGGGTTGAGAGTTCAGGCCTATCCCCCTATTACTGGGGATCAAAGAAGAACTGAAGTTTAAGTTGATCATCAATGGCGAATTATTTAATCAAGTCTATATGATTAAGTTTCCATGAAACCAGAAAAGGACCAAGTCTGGGGGTCTTCCAGAGACATGAATGTCTCTGAAGGCTTGTACACCCAGAGAGGGCATGGCGGCTCCATGCCCTTCCCACACACTTTGGTGCAAGTCTCTTCCATCTAACTGTTCATCTACATCCTCTGCAGTATCCTCTATAATCAACTGTCAAACTTAAGAGTTTGCCAGAGTTCTCTGAGCTGCTCTAGCAGATTAATCAGACCAAAGAGGGACTCATGGGAACCCTGATTAATAGAGTTGGTCTGCCAAAGTTCCAGAGGTCCAGACTTGCATCCAGCATCTGAAAATGAGAGGCAGTCTTGTAGAACCCCGCCCTTAACCTGTGGATCTGATGCTCTCCCTAGGTAGTCAGAGTCCAACTGAATTGCCAGGTACAGTGGCACATGCCCATAATCCCAGTGACTCAGGAGGCTGGGGCAGGAGGATGGAGAATTCAAAGCCAACTTTAGAAACTTGGCAAGGCCCTAAGCAACTCAGCAAGACACTGTCTCTAAATAAAAATAAAAATAAGGGCTGAGGATGTGGCTCAGAGGTTAAATGCCTGGGGGTTCAATCTCCAATACAAAAAAAAAAAATCCAACTGAATTAAAGGATATTCACCTGGTGTCTACCGCAGAACTGATTGGTTTCTTGGCAGGGGGTGCAGGGGGGTGCGGTCCACATTTTGGTGACCAGAGGTGCTGTGTTGTATTAACTCCATTGCTCAGACCAACATTTAGCATCTTAACAATTGGGTCTTCAGAAAGAGTTCAAGTTTGAAATGTACCCACTTGAATCAAAGTGTGAAATATGATGTCAAGAACTATGTAATGTTTTGAACAATCAACAATAAAAATTAAAAAAAAAGTTTGAAATGTGCTGACACCTGATAGCAGACTAAAAAATATGCTTTTCCCACTATAGGACTTTGCCTAGAAAAGATACTCTCAGAACAGATGCTTCATGAATTGAATGGGAAAGTCTAAAGTAACATTTTAGAGGGAATTCCCTACCCATCTTATATCCTCTTTCTGAAGACAGGTTAGCCTCCGTTCAAATCCTGAATCCAAGACAGACTTAGGTGACTTCCAGTACTTAATTAACTTCTTTGTGCGGCAGTCAGAGGGATCTAATGGGATAATTGGCAGTAAATGTTAATATACGTAAAGCACTTAGGACAGTGCCTTGCACAGCAAGCCTTTTAAGTACATCATTATCCCATAGGCCGCTTTCAAACAAAAAAGTTTAAGATAACTTAAAAGTAGTCTGAATAGAGGTACCACACTCAAAATCTTGAGTCAAGTTGAAGCATGGTCAAAAAACAAAACAAAACAAACAAACCAAAAAAAAAAAAAACTGATTTCGAGATGTGACTTATTTTTTATCGTTTTACCCATTTTCTTAACAAAAAATTCAAAAGGCGAGCAGCCAAGGTGGATAACGACGCCTTTCACAGCCCCAGGAGTAAAGGGAGGAAAAGCTAAGCCCACTCGGGTCTGCAAGTAGTTTGCTTCTGACACACACAATCGCTCAGCTGGACCCTGAGAAAGCACCAAAGAGCCCGTGGACACCGTTAGTGTGGCGAGAACCGAAATACGACACCACGGAGCTGGAAGAGGATCCCACTTTTCACTTGAAATGTGACTCCCGGTGAGGCTCACACCCTCGGTGCTCCTGGTAAGCTCGAGGCGGTCGGGCTCTCTAACCAAGAGATTTGCGCGCGACCGCGTCCGTAAGGTGTGTTAAAACCACCTGGTGAAAGGCGCTCTAGGCAAACAAAAAACCGGTCAGCGCAGGAACCGCAGTCCAGGTTCGAGAAAGCACTTTGCCCAGAGACGGGAGGGGTGGGCAGGGCCGCAGGCAGTGGCTGGCTGGGTCGCCGCCCCGGAACCGTGGCGCCGCGGCCGCCTAAGGGAGGAACGAGCGTCGAGGCGGGACTCCCCGCCTGGAGCGGGGCCGCCGAAGCCAGACGCCCGCCCTACACATCCAGTGCCCTGCATTCCCACACCCGGCGACACGCGAGCCTCGCAAATCCCCAGACAGCTCCGCGCGGCCGGACTCTCGCAAAGGCGCGGCAGCCGCGGCTCCACAGCTGGCGCCGCTGACGTCAGGCTGACGTCAGGCATGACGCCGCGGCGGGGAGGGCGGGGACGGCGCGGGAGGGCGTTTCCGGAGCGCGCGCCGATTGAGGGGCGCTGACGTCGGGCTCAGGTGCGCGCGCCCGTCCGCGCGTGGCCCAGGTGGCGGCTAGCAGCTCTAGGTGGCGACCCGCGGCGGAGAGGGGGCGACCCACGGCGCGAACCCAAGCTGTCCCGGTGCGGCCGGGAGCCGGGGTAGGGGGCGCGGCGGGAGGGCGCCCGGGCTTGCACGTGACGGGCGGGGAGGTCAGGGCCGAGGCGGCGAGCCGGGTGGCCCGGGGCCCCGGAGGGCGAGGCGAGTGTCCGGCCCCACCCCTCCGGGCCTGCCCGGCGCCGCGCAGGACCGTCCCGCGGGCAGGGGCCGGGCCCGCCGCGCCCCTTCCCCAGCCCGCCCGCCGGGCGGAGCTGATCAGAGCTGTCTCCTCCGCAGGGCCGCGGCGGGAGGACGAGAGCCCGCGCTTCCCGAGGAGCTGTGCCCGCCTCGCCACCGCGCCCGGGAGGATGGAGGGCTGCCCCCGAGGCCCCAGCGCGACCCGCGATCCCACGCTGGCCGGCCCTCGCTAGCTGCTTCGGTTGTGCGTTTTATCCACCACCCAGGCCTTGTCTCCTGAATCTGTGGCGTCGTGATTCTAAAGAAATGGAAGAAAAGGAACGATGTGACCGATTGTTTTTGGTCTTCCTGCTTTGAGGCCTGGTGGCATTTTCAGGGAGGAAAGAAAATACCGCAAGGAAATAGTGTCTTTTAGGAGCAGGGAGGAAGGGGAGGGTGGGAAAAGGGCAACGGATCTTACATTTTATATGAGTTTTTAAAAATTCTGCACTTTGACAGTGATGGTGAAATAAACTAATCCAAAAGCTATTTTTCTATTGAGAAGAGAGAAGAGGTGGCTTTTCCCCACTTTTGATTTCAACCTTTTCTCCCAGTGTCAAAGCATAAATGATGGACACCAGAGAATAAAGTGGACCTCAGGAATCCTGAAAAGACTGAGAAGTTTACATCTTCCTCAGGAGGGAAGAGTGGGTGTTTTCAACCCTCTTTGGAACCTCAAACGAAAAACATGAGTTGCATGCCATGGAAAGGAGACAAGGCCAAATCTGAATCCTTGGAGCTGCCCCAGGCAGCACCCCCACAAATCTACCATGAGAAACAACGCAGGGAGCTTTGTGCCCTCCATGCCCTCAATAATGTCTTCCAGGACAGCAACGCCTTCACGCGGGAAACGCTGCAAGAGATTTTCCAGAGGTAGGGCACCTCTTCTTGGCATCCTGATACTCACTGATATTTCTGAATTTGAGTTGATAGGGCGCATCAGGTGCTTAAGCCTTCAAACCTACAGGTATTAGCTAGATGCTGTCAGTGGGTATAAGAGATGCAGGAATGAGAAAGAGAATCATTATCATGTATGTGCTACCTACTCTGGAATAGCCTTAGTTGTGTTATTTCAAGTGATCTGCTCAACAATGCTGTGGAATCCATGTTATATCTGTTGTTATTTCCATTTTACGGATAAAGACAGCTCAGTGAAGTTCAATGATGTGACCACTGTAGCGTAGCAAGCACTGGAGCCAAGGTTGAAGTTAGGTTTCTATCCTGCTGTTAACTACTGGGTTAGAATGCCGCCTCAAGTCCTGCCACCAAGGAGTTTACAATGTAGAAGGGGGACAAGATGTGTCTACATTCAGTCAGTCACCTGTCATCAAAGGTGGAATGTGGCAGGTACCACAAGAAAGTTGTGCATACTGTGCTCCAGCTTCTCTTTGAGGCCATGTGCCAGCATTGATGCTTTTCATGCATTTTTTTGTGTGGCTACTTCTGAACAGTTTGTTTTACTGATAGAGAAACAGGAAGAAAGGTCAGGTAATTTGTCCAAGTAGCTTCTAAGTAGCAAAGCTAACATTTGAAGCTGATTCCAGATCCCTCCCCTTTCTACTTTATTCTAGGTGGCTGGCCTGCCTTCCTTCCTTCCTTCCTTCCTTCCTTCCTTCCTTCCTTCCTTCCTTCCTATACCAGCTATTGAACCCAGGAGCGCTTAACCACTGAGCCACATCCCCAGCCCTTTTATTTTTATTTAGAGACAGGGTTTCGCCAAGTTGCTTAGGGCCTTGCTAAGTTGTTGAGGCTGCCTTTGAACTTGCCATCCTCCTGCCTCAGCCTCCCAAGTCACTGGGATTACTGGGGTGCACCACTGCACCGGACCTAGATGGCCTTTCTTACCTACTAAAGCAAATGCCACGAGTGGGTAGAAGTTCAGCTTGTTGTTCTTTGCTTTGATTTTCTGAATTATTTTGCCAGAGGGTTTGAGAATTAGTTCTGCAGTGTCTAGGTAGAGATAGCAGCACGTCTGCAGTCCATTGGCAGTGAGCCTATCTGATCACTCAGAGAGAGTTGGTTAGCCTTACTTAATTCTCAGTGCAGGGAAAGCTTAAGAATTCTATTCTCTCTCTCTCTTTCTCTCTCTCTTTTTTTTTTTTTTTTTTTTGTGGTGGGGATTGAACCCAGGGTCATTGAACCATTAAGCTTTGTCCCAGGTTGTTTTTATTTTGAGGCAGGGTCTTGCTAAGTTGCTGAGGGTATTGCTGAGTTATTGAGGCTGGTGTCCAACTTGCAGTCCTTCTACCTCAGCTTCCTTAGTTGCTGGAATCCCAGGTGTGTACCACCATGCCTGGCAGCTCAAGAATTCTTCCAGCAGTGTATATTCAGCATAGTTCCAGAGGACCCTTTTTTGATTCCCTTCACTTAAATAGGAAATTTCTGCAGCATTGGAACCCGAATAATAGCTAAAATCAACCAGTTTGCAGTGATTTGTGGATCATTTACTCTGAGAGAACCATAGGCATTCTCTTAAAAAGAATGTTAATCCAAGTATACTAACAGAACTATAATGAGAGTAATTGTTTTCCAATTCCAATAATATACAAAGTAGTGCCTTCACCTTAACATACCAGATGTGTCTGCATCATGACCATTATCTGGCAGCAAGAAGATTTCACCTGGGAAGTAAGATAATGTGTCTCGTGTCACCAAGTCATGTGACATAAAGGAAGACCCAGTTCACTGAATTGATTTCTTTTGGCCAGCCATTGATATTTCTTATTTTCCTACTTGGATTATCTGCAAATTGTTTTCTAATCCAGAAATAGAAGGAAGATTCACAGTGATTACCTGAATGCTTTATGATATATTGGCAATCCCAAAACGACTGAATAGCAGTGGTCCTAGGAAACTAGAACTCAGTGTAGGAATTTGCCCAGTATTACCCACTAGTAAATATCAGATATAAAATTCTGCAAATGTGGGCTGGGGTTATGGCTCAGCAGTAGAGTGCTTGCCTAGCACATGTGAGGCACTGGGTTTGATCCTCAGTGCACATAAAAATCAATCAATAAATAAATAAAGTTATTGTGTCCATCTACAACTAAAAGTTTTAAAAAAAAATCTATGAATGTAGTCATATTAGGTTAGAAAACATTTTACTTCTGTAAATTTGACTTCTGGTTGGACAAGAGGCGCAATCATGATGAGATCACTAACGTGAACAGTACAGTGAAAGCGCTGTTCTGAGGGCTTCCCTGGGGCTAGTTCAGTCCTCACACTGAGCTTGGGAGGTAGACTTTATTTTCCATTTTTCTAGATGAGGAAATTGGCACAGATAGTTTCCAAAGATATTAATGGCAGGATTTGGACCCAAGCTTTGTGGCTCCAGGGCTTGCCTCCTAATTGCTTCAGCTGCTTGCCTTAACCTGGCAAGATTTGTCAGAGCTGTCCTAGCACCAGAGCTATTCCCCCTGCTAGTAAGTGGGACTGTGGATCTGGACTGTGATCAACAAGAGTTTGTGGCTATAGCAGTCTTTCAGCTGTGTTTTCCCTGAGTAGAAGAATGCTGGATGCTTGCTAAATACCTTTATGGAACCATGGTCCTCTATTTTTTTTTTTTTTTTTGAAGATTTTGCAAATTATATAGTGCTTCTCAGTTCCCTATTAGCACAGTATAAAAATCCACCTTAAAAAAAAAAAATCAACCTAAGATCCACCTCAGTAAAAGCAAACCAGTACATAAAAGAGAAGTCCAGTAGTGGAATTCTGTATGGAGCATTTTAAATGGAAAGATTCCATTAGGATACATAGAAACAAAAGAAGTATGGAAAGAATCCAGAGAAAAAGCAAAGAGAGAAAAGGTGAAGGAGAGTAGATGGAATTTTTAAAACAAACACTGACCAGCTGCTGCAGTGTGCCAGGCACCGCAAGCCTCCTTGGAGAACACAGCTGGACAGGACATTTTGGGGCTGTACCGAGCATGCCTTGAGAACATATTGAAGTGAGAACCATAGAATTCACAGCAATTTGAAAGTGAAAATATCTTGAAGCAAAGGAGAGGAATGCTGGCAGGTTTAACTAGGTAACTTTAAGTTCTCAGATCTAAAGTTCTTTGCTGGTTTGAAGATATAACTGATGAGTGGTAGAAATGGGAGAAAAATGTCAGTAAGTGCTATTTGTTGAGAGGGCTTATCCTAACAGTTGAATTTTAGCCAGATAAAAGAGAAGAAATACAAAAATAGCAGGGTGGAGTTTGAATAGAGTTGTGGCTATGAAATGACTCATGCTTGGAATACAAATGAATAGGAATGTGGAACTGAGCTAATGGCTGGTCAGCAACAAGGGGCCAAGGAAAAGAAAAGGTGTAACTGAGGCTTGTGCCTAGAGAGAAGACCAAAGACAGTGGGCAAATGTCCATCAATTTGTATCTATGTAGATGAGGGGTTTGACCTTATGTGTATCCAGGCTTTGAAAAAGAAGGGTCAGAGAAGTCAAACAGAAAGTGCTCGGACCTCAGACATTTTCATTAGATTCATCCCAATTTTTCAGAGATCAAATGTTCTTGCAGCTAGCAATACATTCCTCTTTCAAATAGAATTGCTGTTCAAGTGTAACTGGATGAAAGCTGGCTTGATGGAGAGAAACTAAAGAAAGTTGGAAGGAACAAAGAGAATAGGGATAGTGGTAAACAACCAGCATTCTCTACCACAAAGGACAAGCACTCCAACTTCTCCATTAGAAGATCCCTGAGCAGGTAGAAAGGGCCACATTTAAAAGTGAGGCAGTTGCTGGCACTGTGGCCCCACTTGCAATCCTGGTGACTTAAGAGGTAAGGCAGGAGGATTGCAAATTTGAGACCAGCCTCAGCAACTTAGTGAGGCCCTGAGCAATTTAGTGAGACCCTCAGGAACTTAGTGAGACTCTATGTCTCAAAAAATAAAAAGGGGTGGGCATGTGGCTCAGTGGTAAAATTTCCCTGGGTTACCTCCCCAGCTCCCTGCACTCACCACCCCTCCCCTCCCCCTCCCCCCCAAAAAAAAGGTTCCATGGAAGAGAGGATGTGAACTTGAGCTTGAAGAAGTTATGGGATTTGGGGTTGGGGATGTGGCTCAAGCGGTAGCACGCTTGCCTGGCATGCATGCGGCCCAGGTTCGATCCTCAGCACCACATACAAAGATGTTGTGTCCGCCGAAAACTAAAAAATAAATATTAAAATTCTCTCTCTCTCTCTCTTAAAAAAAAAAAAAAGTTATGGGATTTGGCTTAGAACCAGAAGTAGGAGAAAAGAATAGAGGCCACATAGTCATGGTACTGGAAGTGTACTAAGCCTCATGAGAAGGGAACAGCAGGCGGAATAGGGCTGGAGGATTTGGAGGTGGCCGCTCAGGCAGTTCGTATGTAATATTATGGGTTTTTTTCTTTTTCCTTTTTTTGGTACCAGGGATTGAACTCAGGGACACTTAACCACTGACCCACATCCCCAGTTTTTTTTATTTTTTATTTTGAGCCAGTCTTGCTAAATTGCTTAGGGACTTGTTAAGTTGCTAAGGCTGGCCTCAAACTTGGGATACTCCTCCCTCAGCCTGAGCCACCAGAGTTGCTGGGATTACAGATGTGCGTCACCATGCCAGCCTAGTTCATTTGTAAGGGAAGGAAATGACAACTTGGTGAATGTGGCAGGAATATATAAGCTAAATCAGTGGAAGGAGTGTTTATAAGCAAGGAGATCAGTTTGGGGAACCTATTTCAAAAGTCCTGGTTTTAGTCTCTGTAGTGGCTCACACCTGGAGTCCCAGCTGCTTGGAGAATCACAAGTGTGAGGCCAGCCTGGGCAGTTTAGTGAAAATCCTGTCTTGCACAAAAGGAAGGAAGATGTAGCTTGGTGGTAGAGTGCTTGCCTAGCATTATGACTAGCAGGTCATCCTAGTACTGAAGAGGAAAAAAATCCAGGTCTATAGTGAAGGGAGAGAGAGATAGAGGAAGTGGACAGGAAAGAAATCTGAGAGAGAGAAGATGAAGGCTGAGGAAGAGAGATCCTTAGAACACGAAATCTGAAAGGTGTACCTTAGAACAAATGTCTGTGGGGGTCACCTCTGGGAACTGAAGCATATTATGTAATCCTCTTTTGGAGGTTCAAGGTGAAGATTGGCATAGGGGGACTCCCAGGAACCCTGTTTACTCCCTTGGTTCATTCATTTACTATACAGAAGTATCCCATATCTTCAGGATCCTCCAATTATGAGTCTGGAACTAGGATCACCAGACGCATGCTCAAGAACTCACTGCCCTGCTGGGAGCCTGCTTGAAGCAGACAGCAGCATCAGCCCTTGGGGAACCTTCATCTCTGGGTGGAGGGAAGGGAGCCTGCTGGAGCTCAATACCTGGGACCTGACGGGTGCTCTGTCCTGTTGAGCTGTGTTGCAGCCCCAGGCTTTGGGGACTCAGCTGACCTTTCCTTTCACAACCCTGCACCACCTCCCACTCTGACTCTTGGGTCACTGCTGTAAGACAGCAAGCACAACTGCAAATTATTCTTTTTTTTTTGGTACTGGGTATTGAACCCAGGGACACCAAACCACTGAGCCACATCCTCACCCCTCTTTTTTTATTTTATTAGAGACAGGGTCTTGCTGAGTTGCTTAGGTCCTCACCAAGTTGCTAAAGCTGGCTTTGAACTCACAGTCTTCCTGCATCAGCCTCCCAAGCTGCTGGGATTACAAGGCATGTGCCACCACACCCAGTTACAACTGCAACTTCTAATGAACATGTTTTTTAATAGTTGTATCACTTGTAAGTGTTCATTGTCAAATCAGTTAAAACTATCAGACTTTGAATTTGTTTTTACAATACGGGGGATTGAATCTGTGGGTGCTCTACTGAGCTACATTCCTTTTTTTTTTTTTAATACAGCGTCTTGCTAAGTTGCTTAGGACATTGTTCAGTTGCTGAAGCCAGCCTTGAAATTGTGATCCTCCTGCCTCAGCCTAATCCCCCTGATTCTCTGGGATTATAGGCATATGCCACTACACCTGACCCCAGATCTTTTTATTTTTTACTGTGAGACACTGTCTTGGGAAGTTGCCCAGAGTAGCCTCAAAATTGCCATCCTCCTACCTCAGTCTTCTGAATTGTAAGGGAAGGAAAAGCCTTAGACTTCATGCTTTTACTTGTAAAATATAAATAATTCATCCCCTCGTAGTTTCCTGTGAGGATTGAGACACATATTAAAGCACCTATCTTAGTGCTTAGGGTGGGTGTTGAGTACGTGGGAATTGTTTTACAGGTCAAGTGTTTGGTTACAGAATGGGGTTTGGTGTTCTTGGATTTCCCCATCTTTGCTAGCTCTGGAAGTAAGCAATAAGCCCTTTTATTTTAAAGTCTACTAGTATTTAGAGCAGAAGATAAAGAAAGAATAACAGAAATAAGCAGAACATTTCAACAAACTCCTTGAGTGTGTTGCCTGTGCCCTGTAGGTCCTGGGCGTGCGGTGTTGACTGGACGGTCAAGGCTCCTGCTGCACTCTAGAACAGAGGAACAGGCAATGTGTTCCGTACTGATGGAGGGCTAGAAGTGAACCAGAGCAGCCAGAAGATGAACGAACTGGGAGAAACTTACAGTGGGGTGGTCAGAAGGACCTTTCTGTGACAGTTACATTTAAGACCAAGTGATTAGGAGCAAAACCAATGAAGAGCTCAGGGAAGAGCATTGCAATCAGCAGGGACATCGAGTGAGTGCCATGTGAGGAAGAGCCTTGAGTCTTTAAGAAATAGAAAAAGGTCTTGTAACAGGAGGTGAGAACGGAGGTCAGCAGGATCCTGAGGGCCTTGCCAGCCAAAGTAGTTCGGGTTGTATTTATGTGCTGTGGGCATGGTTGGAGGGGTTTAAGTTAGTGGCAGCAGTGTTTTATGTTTGGACAAAGTATCAGTAAGGGGTTAGTGGTGTAGCTCTGTGAGACTGCTTGTCCAGCATGTGTCAGGCCCTGGGTTTGATCCCTGGCACCACAAAAAAATGGGGGTGGGATTCAGTGTGGTTGCTGTGTATGCAGGAGAGTTGACATTTTTGACTGCAGTCTGGATTCTATTCTGGAGATGGCACTTGGCAACCTCCTGGGTACCTCTCTTCTGCCCCTGTCCTAAGGAACTCACCACATTACCCTCCTTCCCCTTCTCAGGAAAGTTGAGGGAATGCAGACCCTCCTTCAAAATGTCCTTTTCTGAGCCCAGCATGGTGTGCACATGTGTGATACCAGCAATTTGGTAGGCTGAGGCAGGGAGATGGCCAGTTTCAAGCCTCGGCAACTTAGCGAGCAAGACCCTGTTTCACAATAAAAACTGGGGGTGTGGCTTAATGGTAGAGCACCCATGGGTTCCATCCCCAGCACAGGAAAAAAAAAATTTTTTTTCCCCAACTACTGTGCACGGTCCAGAATGCTTTTAGGCCATGCATCCCAGGTTAGCATGCGCCTCACTGCTTTTTATTGCTTCACATCTGGCTCCAGCTCATGCATTTATGCATAGGGACCCCTGTGTGCCTGTGTGTGCTGGTGGTGGGGAGAACTGAGGATTGAACCAAGGGGCACTCTGCCACTGGCTGGGTGATATCCTCAGCCCTTTTTAAAATTTTGAAACAGGGTTTTGCTAAGTTGCTGAGGCTGGCCTCAAACTTGTGATCCTCAGCTTCCTGAGTTGTTGGGGTTACAGGTGTGCATCCCCCTGTCTTGGTCCCTGTATACCTTTAGGTGTTTAATGATTGCCAAGTGTGAAAGCCTTAAGTAGAAAGTATTTAAGTTATAAAAAGCAGGAGTGATAATTACTGACCATGCAAATGAAAACATCACCTATTTATTTTTTATTTATTTATTTTTTTACTGTCTTTAAAAAAAAAGATTGTATCAGGCTGGGGTTGTGGCTCAGTGGTAGAGCACTTGCCTAGCCTGTGTGAAACCCTGTGTTTGATACCCAGCACTGCACAAGAACATAAAAAAGTTGTGTTAGGGCAGGAAGATAAGCAAGAGGAAGACTGTAGAAAGACTGCAGTAGGCTGGGGATTTCATGAATGATACTCATTCATGGAATATTCTTTGTATCCATTGACTTCACTAGACACACTTTCCCCACATAGAGCCCAGGGGCCTCTACAACTGAGCTACACCCCCAGCCCTTTTTATTTTGAGACAAGGCCTCGCTGGCTGGCCTCAGACTTGTGGTCCTCCTGCCTCAGCCTCCCAGGTCACTGCAATCACAGGTGTGCACCACTGTAACAGTCTGTAGACACAGTTTCTAAATGGCAGGTAGATAGGTCTCCCCTGACTTGTTTTGCAGAAAAAGCAAGGTGAGGGCTGGGGTTGTGGCTTAGTGGCAGAGCACTTGCCCAGCATGTGTGAGACACTGGGTTCGATTCTCAGCACCACATATCAATAAATAAAATTAACGTCCATTGACAACTAAAAACATTAAAAAAAAAGAAAAAAGAAAGGTGATTCCTAGAGCAGCAGGATCCCAGGGAACAGAATACTTAAGTAGAAACGGGAAATTATACTTGATTGGGTGGGGGAGGGTAACCAGCTTCCAGTGTACTGGTAGAAATTGCTCCTTTGGTATGGCCAGGGCGCATTAGGCAGACCAACAAGTCTCAACATCATCTTTTCACATTCATAGGTTGTCTCCAAACACCATGGTGACACCCCACAAGAAGAGCATGCTGGGAAATGGGAATTATGATGTGAACGTCATTATGGCGGCTCTTCAGACCAAAGGCTATGAAGCTGTTTGGTGGGACAAGCGCAGGTAATATGATGGGGAACAGCAGGTTGTGGTGCAGGCCTTGGTCGGGGATTCCTGGCATGAGGGGACTGCCTGGGACCTTAAGGCTGGCTGCCTCAGAGTCTGATACGGTTTCTCTTCTGCAGGGATGTTGGTGTTATTGCTCTCACGAATGTCATGGGGTTCATCATGAATCTGCCCTCCAGCCTGTGCTGGGGTCCACTCAAGTTGCCTCTCAAAAGGCAGCACTGGATCTGTGTTCGAGAGGTGGGCGGGGCCTACTACAACCTGGACTCCAAGCTCAAGATGCCTGAGTGGATTGGAGGCGAGAGCGAGCTCAGGTGAGTCCCAGTGTGGCTCAGCTGCTGGGCTTCTGGTTTGCTGTGTTGAGGGAAGTCAAGCTCATCTTTGGTTATTTGACAGAGGAAATGAAATTCTTATGTGCTCAGAGCCTCTCCCTGCCTTACTTGGAATCATGGGGTCTCAGACTGGAAAGGCCTTAACAAGGAATTTCATCCCTTTGGTAAGCAGGGTCCATAGCCTGGGGTATTGGCCTTCTGGTCTGGTGGGGCTGGTGAGGTAACATTCTTTCTGCCTGCACCACTGGCACAGTGTTGTTACCAGTTCAGAGAAAGGAAGATACATATTCAGCCAGAGGGTTAAATTGCCCTAAGATGAAAGTAGTTGGTTTTTTTAAACAGAAGCACTTCAGAGTACTTTGCGCTTCTGTTCCTCACAGAACCAGTTCCTCTCAGCAGTAACGTGAGGATGAGCAAAGATTCAGATTGGGATTTGAACTGGACAGACTTAAGGGGTAACTCTAGAAGAACCTACTAGAACGTGTTAGGATTGCCAAGGGCATAAAGGATCAGGTGTCTGGTGACTTGTGGCCCCGAGACTGGAATTTGCAGTTCACCAGCATTTCATTTTCTCTCACCTCTTCCTTTTTCCATAGGAAATTTCTAAAACATCATTTGCGAGGAAAGAACTGTGAACTCCTGCTGGTGGTAGCGGAGGAGGTGGAGGCCCATCAGAGTTGGAGAGCTGACGTGTAGCGCCGCTAGGTCCAACCCGCCCCTGCCTCGGTCCTCGAGCCCTCGTGATGCGCTGTGGCCTCTGCAGTGGGTCCGCCCGGCCACCTCCCCAAACATCTCATCGGGTTTCCCCTTCAGACTTGCCAGTGCAATAGGACGGATGTGTGGACTGTTACAAGAACCCCCAGCATTGTCTGTGCCTGGGGAAGGCAGGCGGGAGCTCTGAGGGCTTAGGGCAAGCCACTGAAGGCCTTCGTTTTATTTTGGAGAAGAGAAGGAAAGGTGGGTCCGAGCTTATTTTCCCCTTTCTATGAGGACCTGACACAGGTTTTCTTGGAGTCCTCACTGCTGCTCCAGGCTCACCAGAGATGCTGCCTCCACTTTCGTCTCCTGTGGCGCCCGTGTCTGAAGACGTAGTACACGCAAAGCCCAGTGACTGACTGAAGAACCCAGAGCATAAGCGTCTCTCAGGAAACCATCTCCAGAACCCCAGCAGCAGTGCTGCGTGCTGTCTGCAGTCCTAATGCCACCCCTCCCCCCACTTTTGAGGGTGGTTTATGGACAGCCTTGGAGTTTTATAATGAAAACTTCTTGAATATCCCAAGCCAGGTGGTTGAGTCCCCCAAGTCTAGCAAGACAGTGGTAAGATAGACATCTAAGAGGATGTGGCTAAGCCAAACTGGGAAAAGCATGGGGTGGCTTTCTTCACTCCAGTTTTGTCCCCACCATTTCACTACATTGATTTAGGAAGCTCTGGGGCAAAACATAAGGAAAAGGGGCAGTTTCCCCAGTTGGCCCACTCTGGCAAAATCAGAAGAAACATCTACCCTTGACAGGTTGGGTCAGCCAAAATCACGTGAAGAGTTTAAGAGCAGCTGGAATTGGTAGCTGGCCTGGGCTTGAAGCCTGTCACTGTAGTGACAAGCAACAGCCCTCAAATTAGGTGGTCATGTGCATTTTGTTATAGGACCTAGGTTTGTCATCTTCTTGTAGTTTCCTTTAAAAATCAGAGGATTGACCTGCCTCCTACCTCTTGAAATAGTTGTAGGCTACTTTTCTCTTGTAACTTTGGAAAACAAGAGGGGAAATAAATAATACCACACGTGTCACCAAAGTGGCTGTGGTTGCCTCAAGACAGGAGGGCAGGCAGGGGTAACCTGGCCAGTTCTTACTGATCACTGGTCTTGGCAGGTCTGAGAGCTGCCCCATTGGCCAGACTTCTCTCCACCAGGAGAGCCAGCCTGGGGCTTGCATGTGGATCCTAAGCAAGTGTAATGGGGAGGCTGAGGCACTCTCCCCACTGTGACTGGAGTGCATGTTTACACCAGCACTTTTTCTGCACATGTATCTTCAATCCAACAAGGCCGTTTTTTAAGCCAAGAAAGAGGCCCCAAGCCGCTACTGCACATTATGCCCTCAACAACTGGCCGTGGTCTCTTCTGCACCATTTTCTACACCAGACCTGCTTGGCACCACAGGGAGCTCTCTACCCCTGCACAATGACATTCCAGCTAACACCAGCCAGAAGTTACAGCCAATCTTGCTGATTAATCGTCACAAGCAGGACCTTGGGGTCCATTGGCACTGTTGGTGATTGTAAGCCATTTCCTGGGAAGAGGAAAAAACTTCCCACAAATCTGCTTGGGCCTGTGCAAATGGCACTTCAAAGGAGTCCCATGCACACGGAGTCCATGAGCCAATGGGATATGCAAAGACGCTTCGACTTTTCAGGGCTGGTTTCTCTGTTCATATCCAATTCTGGTGCTTAGGAACAGGGACCCATGCTGATGCCCAAGGGCAAAAAGCCCCACTTCTTTTAAAGAAGGGAGCAGGCCTGACCCTGATGCCCCACAAGGGGCAACCCTAGGCTTTTTCTTGCTTTTATTCCCCCCTTTATTTTTTCTGTTGGCCTTGTGCTGGGTTTGTTTACAAAAGATGTATTTTGTTTAACCAAATATTAAAAACAGTAAACTCCATACGCGAATCTCCTTGTCTGCCTAATATAATTATATGAAGGGAGGAAAAAAAAACCCAAAACTTTAGTATGATGCAGCTTTAAAAGGAATTCCTTACCATCATCTCTCCACTTAGAGATATAATAGTTTGATCAAACTTCACCAAAAAATACAAAATATTCACTTAAGTGGGATTTATTTCAAAAGTCACCATTGAAGCATTTTTCAGTTTAATGTTAGGATTGCCAATTTGAAGAACCAATATACAAAACACAGCTTGTACCTCACTGACCAGCTTTTGTACTAGTGAAGCAAAATATGCATCCAAGCCAAGGACATGGAGTATGTAGCAGGGTTCAGTAGTCAGGAGGCTGGATTTGAATCCAGATCCAGCACTTATTATGAGGCCTGTGGATATTACTTAATCTTTCCATGGCTGTTTCCTCCTTTGCAAAACAGGAATACTACTACCTCCAAAACTGCATAGTACTGAGAAAAAGATTCACATTAAAGACTCTGTTTTATGCTCAAAAATTTTTTTGTTAAATGGAAAAGCTGCAAAATTCAAATATGGGGCTACAACTGACTTCATCATCAGTTTCTCCAATCACTAAAGTAGGCACAAAAATGTCCTTTTTCCGAACACTAGAAATCAGTACTTCCTATAAGTTTATAACTGTGAAATGTCTATAGACTACAAAAACACTGGCCTGGCCCTTTGCTTAGGTTGGTGGAACTGAATTGATTACTTCAATTCAGTGCAAAGTTGTCATTAAGAGGTTCTTGGCCAATAGTGCATTTTCTTTTTCAAAATTTAACTAACTTTAGGCCTTGAAATTATCAGTGGAGATGGAGATGCCAGCTTAGATGAAAGGAAATGTGAGGCATTGTATATCTTTGACCTTGAAAAATGGTACAAGTAACTTTTAAGTACTTATTACAGACACATGGATGACACTTTGAGTTGGAATCATTTTTAATATTTAAATACAAAAAGTGAGCACTGACTTTTTTTTACACACAAGTCTAATAGCCAAAATGTGCAGAGGAAACGAGCCTTTGCTCTGTCCTCCGTACTCACTGTCCCCATTTTGTGGCTGAAGCTATAAACAGCCTCCCTTCAGTATACATGGGGCTTCCTGGTGCTTTACAAGACAGCCACAGTGCACTTTGTCAGTTTTAATATTAATATGTGCATGTCCCTTCTCAACGTCTCCTTTAAAAAAAAAAAAAAAAGAAGAAAGAAAGAAACAAAAGTCATTAATGGTCAGGGATCCTTCCCTCCCATTGTGGGGCATCATTTCTACCCCATAATGAGATAGACAGTGAGGAGATCTTCGAGTTAGGAGCAATGTACTAGAAGGGGTAAGGTGGCCAGAGCTGGAATAACCGTCTGCATAGCTGCATTCTGGTATCAGAGCGAGGACAGAAGAAACATTGAGGACAGCGTGGAGGGTACAGTTGAAAGTTGGGAGCCTCTGTGAGACAATGAGGGGAGAATTCTTCCCACCAGGTTTGGATCAGTGTGCCACAGTTTAAAAAAAAAATCCCCCCCCAAATAATCAGCAGTTCAAACATAATTGAATTTCAAATTTCTCCCATTGAGACAGCTCAAATATAGCAGTAACAATCTAGATCTTTCCAGGAAGTGAAGGCAGAGCCCCTGGCATTCCTCCTGACAGCCCTGTGTTAGGCCCTAGAAGTATCTGGAAAAGAAAAGGAGAGATGTAAGGCATTGTACAGGCCTAGATGTCATTTTCATGGTACCTGATGAGGCAGACAAAAACAATGCTGAGCACAGGCATCTAAAAGGGCCTGGGCCTAATCCCAATCCCCACCCACACAGTAACTGCCAATCTGCTGGTGCTGGAGAAATAAATAACTAGTGTCTTCCCCCTGGCAAAAAGTCAAGAGTTTGGGTTCACCTGCCGCTGTTGCAGTTGCTGCTGTTGCTCCATTTGTAACTTCTCAGTCTCAAAGACAACAGGAAGAACCAGTATCATAAAAGAAGTGGTCCCAATCCACAAGGCTGCCCTGGAAAACCTGCAGAGAGAGGGTGGGCAAGCAGAGAGAGATGCAAATAGGCAACAGATTAAGAACAAAGCAGTAACCAAACCTCTTTCACTATATACTCCAGTGCTTTTAATGTGTATTCTACCCACTCCTTGCATCATACTCCTCCTACCAGGGACAGGAGGAGATTTTTCTGGGAGTTAGCTATAGCTACTTAACAATCTTCTGAGTTCTTATAAAGCTACTTAAACATCAATCATCTCAGATAAACTAACAACCTTGTCAAGTAAGAACCCCACCTTTACAGAAGAGAAAATTAGAACTCAGAAAGGTTAGGGTACAAGCAGTCCAAGGTCACTGAAACCCAGATCTGCTGCTTCCGAAGTCGGTATTCTCTTTTCTCATAGGTTCAGACATCCCATGCACACCCCCCAATGTCTTTGCCCTCTTGTCCCTTACCTGTACATTTTTTGAGCCACGAAGAGGGAGAGATCAAAAGTGGCTCCGGCCGCGGACCGGACCCTCTCCGGGAACATCTCCGTCAGACCCCAGAGTCTCTCAGACAGGGTCTCATCTAGCTGTGGTGAAGGAGGTGCGGGTTTTGGCCGAAGCAAGGGCATGCACCTGCGGCCCTCTGCGACGTGGGAAGACGCGGAGGCCGGCAGAGCTGGAGCATTCCCGGCCCAGCAGGGCCCCTAACCCCGCCTCCCGAGAAGCCGCCTTCGCGGGGATCCCGCAGCACGCGGATCCCACACCCCGGGGAGGGCCCGCTCCTTGCCCCGCACCCCGCAGGGCCCTAGTACCTCGTCGTCATCGTCCTCTTCCAACTCTTCCTCAGTTTTCTCCGCGTCGCCTTTCGGGAGCAATTCATCGGGGGACAGCGGCTCCCCAGCGCCGGCAGCAGCAGCGGCGGCGGCAGCCATGGTGTAGGGGACACCGGAAGCGGAAGGGAGCAGTCGAGCTGGGCCCTGGGATGGATAGAGCCGCCCTTCCGGGAACGAGCAGCATGGGGTCGGGAGAGAGCGGCACGGCCTGGCCGGCCGTTTTTCTGACTCGGCTCCGGGTACTGCCGCGGCGGCGTTCCCAAAGCGTCTCTAGCCTTATCCTGGGGGTTCTGACTTCAGAGGGCCGAAAAAAACGCTCGGAAACTTTAGAAAAGCAGCTCCGGGTACTTCCGCAGTAATTTTGCGCAGTGATTGGGAGTGGACCCAGTTTAGCAAGCCTCCCTAGGATCACACTTCGAGAAACACCAGCCCGGTTTCATTTTCCTTGGGGGTATGCTTTTTTTGATAGGAATAAGCGACTTGGAGGTTTGTTGGTCTTTGGGGAAACCATCTATTAAACCGTTTGAAGGTACCAAACAAAGGTAAGAGGGAAGGTAGAGGCGCCAGGTCCTGCGCGCGCATGCGTACTCTAAAATCTTCACCACCCGTTGAGGTAGGCGCTGTTATCTCAGTTTTAAAAACGGAAGAACTCGGGGTTGAGGCAGTGTTAGCGTACTTATTAGAGTGCATCCGTAGCATAGATGAGGCCCTGGACTCAACCTCGAACACTGCAAAGAAAATTTTAAAAAAAGAAGGCGGGAGAAGGTGCAGATTGCAGTAGTGGGGTGCTGCAAAGATTTCTAGAGGATGGGTTTCTAGAATTGAGCTTGCTGGCCAGAGCGTATATATTGAAGTTTTGCTAAGTATTAGTAACTACCCTCCAAAGAACTATATCCTATACATTCAAAACAGTAACAGGAGAGGCTGGTGGGGCTCAAGTCTGTAATCCCAGAGGCTCCAGCTCAGAGGCTGAGGCAGGAGGTAAGAAAGTTCAAAGCCAGCCTTAGCACTTTAGCTAGGCTCTAAGCAGTTTAGCGAGACTTGTCTCAGAACAAAACAAAACAAAAAATTAAAAGGGGCTGGGGATGTGGATCGGTGGTTAAGCACCCCTGGTTCAAAACCAAAAAGTAAACGGAAGTGTCCTATTTCCCACACCTTCCCTAGCATTAAATATTATCCATGTTTTCTTTTTCTTTGTGTGTGGGAGTGGGGGGGTGTGGATACTAGGGATGGAACCCAGAGGCGCTTTACCACTGAACTACAAGATCTAACTAAGTTGCTTAGAGCCTGACTTAGTTGCTGAAACTGGCCTTGAATTTATTGTCCTGCCTCAGCTTCCTAAGCAGCAGGGATTACAGGCATGCCATATTTTAATTTTTTGCCTCTACCATGAAGAATGCTTCTTTTTATAATGTGCCCCCACAAATTATTAATACAAGGATTATTTATATATATTTAGCCAACTGACCTGAATCACAGACTCTGAAGTTTGGATAGCCCAGATCCTTATCTGACCCATGAAAATGTAGTAATGAGTCTTTGTTGTATGCTTACATAGTTTGGTGGGGCTTGGAGGCTGGCAATATGTCCTGATACAGTCCTCAGGCTTTTCATCCTTGGAAGGGTATTTCTGAGTATGGTTTTTCTTTTCTTTTTTGGTACCGGGATTGAACCCAGAGGGGCTTAACCATCGAGCCACATTCCCAGCCCTTTATATTTTGTTTAGCAACAGGGTCTCTCTAAGTTGCTTAGGGCCTTGCTAAAATGCTGAGGCTGTCTTTGAACTTGCGATCCTCCTGCCTCTAGAAACACCTAAGCCACTAGGATTACAGATATGTGCTGACTATAAGGTATTCGTGTCACACTGGTGAGAAGTCAGAATATTGATTCCTGTTGAGAGGATAATATTTGGGAAAGGCAATAGTGTAGCTTCTGGCAGTTGGGAAGTTTCCGTTTCTTGAACTGGGTGATTGGTACATTGGTATGTTCATTTTGGGTAATTCATTAAGCTGTACACTTAAGAATTATGCTCTGGTATGTGTGTTAAATTTTTTTTTTTTTTAAGTAGGCTAGCTATATAATTTTGAGGGCAGCTTAATAGCTCGGTGCCAGTGGTTTTTTAACTCTTTTATGGGTTCTTTTAAGAAATGCTAGAGCTAGGAGTAGCTCAGCATGCATGAGGCTGTGGGTTTGATCCCCAGTATTTCAAGGAAAAAAAAGAGAAAATGCTAGATCAACACTGTTGAAGGTAAAGCAGGCAGTCTTGTGTGAAAGGCACAGAACATGGATGATTTCAATTACAAAGTCATTCACAAAGCTAACGTGAAGAAGTTTCAGGAAAACCAGTTAATTTTATTGATATTTACAAAAGCAGTACATGATTTTTAAAAATATTTGTTTTTTAGTTGTAAGTGGACACAATAAACTTTATTTTATTTTTATGTGGTGCTGAGGATCCAACCAGTGCCTCACGTGTGCTAAGCTAGCGCTCTATTGCTGAGCCACAACCCCCGCCCACAATACATGATTTTTTTTAGATGGTACTAGAGATTGGACCTAGCTGTGCTCTACCACTGAATTATTCCCCATCTCTTTTTATTTTGAGACAAGAGTCTTTCCAAATAAGTAGTTTTAAGTCTAAAAGAGCTCTTTCAGTTATAAAATTGCCAAGGGATAAGAAGACATTGGGAATCATGCAGCTCAGTGCTTAGCCCTCTGGGCGGAAATGAGATGATGCATGAAATGAGAGAAAGCAGCATAATACAGAGGACAGAGCGCTGTGGAAGGAATAGTGAAAGACTGGCATGGGGAGGACATGGGGAATGTGACATTGCTGAAGATTCCCAGGAGAAATGCTCAGCAGCAGATGCCACATTAGGTGAGACTGTTGCCAGTTAGAGGTCACGTCAATGGACAAAGGAACAGTAAGGGTGCTTGTAAGCAATGGGTGATGCCCCATGCTGGAGCCAAGGGAATGCAGCCGTGGTGGGGTGTCCTAGAACCCTGGGTTCCCTGGCTCTTCTATCCCCCAACCCTAAAGCCCATGGTTTACACCTTTCCTGTTTCTGTCTTGCTGAAATTTGAAACTAGTGATATGATAGTTCTTAATAAGGGTAAGGGGTGGGTTTACAGTCCTTTTGAAAATTTTTTATTATTATTTTTTTGGGGGTACTGGGGATTGAACTCAGGGGCACTGGACCACTGAGCCACATCCCCAGCCCTATTTTGTATTTTATTTACAGACAGGGTCTCACTGAGTTGCTTAGTGCCTCAGTTTTTGTTGAGGCTGGCTTTGAACTTGTTGTGATCCTCCAGCCTCAGTCTCCCCAGCCACTGGAATTATAGGTGTGTGCCATGGTGCCAGGCCCTTTTGAAATTTTTATAAAAGTTGTATGCCCCTCTCATAAATACGCATGTTAGGCTGGGATGTACCTCAATGGTAGTGTGCTTGTCTAGCATGCATGAGGCCCTGGGTTCAATCCCCAGTATCAAAAAAAAAGAAAAAGCACATTAGCTTGTATCTCCATAATCATGCATATGGACTGTCTTGCTAGGACTCACACTGTAAGATTTCCTCTAATTATTGCCTCTAATACTGCACTCACTGCTCATGACCACAGAACTTTCTATTTTAGCTCTTCAATGACAGTCCTTCCCTAATTCAGTTCACACAAAAATTCACAAAATTGTTACAGTAATTAAAGTGGCAGTGTTAAGGAGCTAGCACTGTTTTACTTGGGTTCCCCATAACTGCTAGATTTGGTTAAGAAAGGCTCTGAAGGGGAAGAATTTTAGCCAGAACCTGAAGGACCTGACTAAAAAGGTAAGATCTTGGACAAATATACTGTCTCAAAGGGGGGAAAAAAAATTCCTGAAGGAAACAGTTCTGAGTGATGAGATGTGGATGGTTTTTTTGTTTTTTTTTTAACAGGATCATCCTTGACATCACACTCTAACTCCCATCAGCAAACACTCGGCTTCACTGCAAGTCCTGTCTAGAATCTGACTGTCACCTCCTCTATGGCCACCTTGCTGGTCCCAACCTGGCCCCCTTCAGCATGGTCTTAGCACACAACAGCCAGAGAGATACCAGTTAGATCACAGCATTCCTCACTCAACCTAAGGCCTTCACTGCCCCACATACCACAGGGAATTCTGGGGTCCCTGGATTAGCCCCTAAGGTGCTGCAGGTGATGCTGCTAGAAGGACCCACAGCACCATGATGACCAAGTAGGCCCCAGGATTCCATAACTTTCAGTTCTGCTCCATCCCTTCTAGCTGTGTCACTTTGCTAGGCTGGTTTCTTTATCTAAAAAATAAGGAGATGTGCTGGGCAGTGATATTAGCAAAACCATATTGTTTTATTGTGTGCAGGTCCAAATATGTAAAAACGCAGCCATTATGAAGTCAAACAACAACAAGTGCTGGCGAGGATGTGGGGAAAAGGGTACACTTGTACATTGCTGGTGGGACTGCAAATTGGTGCAGCCAATTTGGAAAGCAGTATGGAGATTTCTTGGAAAGCTGGGAATGGAGCCACCATTTGACCCAGCTATTCCCCTTCTCGGTCTATTCCCTAAAGACCTAAAAAGAGCATGCTACAGGGACACTGCTACATCCATGTTCATAGCAGCACAATTCACAATAGCAAGACTGTGGAACCAACCTAGATGCCCTTCAATAATGAATGGATAAAAAAAATGTGGCATTTATACACAATGGAGTATTACTCTGCATTAAAAAATGACAAAATCATAGAATTTACAGGGAAATGGATGGCATTAGAGCAGATTATGCTAAGTGAAGCTAGCCAATCCCTAAAAAACAAATGCCAAATGTCTTCTTTGATATAAGGAGAGTAACTAAGAACAGAGTAGGGTCGAAGAGCATGAGAAGAATAACATTAAACAGGGATGAGAGGTGGGAGGGAAAGGGAGAGAGAAGGGAAATTGCATGGAAATGGAAGGAGACCCTCAGAGTTATACAAAAGTACATACAAGAGGAAGTGAGGGGAAAGGGAAAAATAATACAAGGGGGACAAATGAATGTTAGTAGAGGGGGCAGAGAGAGAAGAGGGGAGGGGAGGGGGGATAGTAGAGGATAGGAAAGGCAGCAGAACACAACAGACACTAGTATGGCAATATGTAAATCAATGGATGTGTAACTGATGTGATTCTGCAATCTGTATATGGGGTAAAAATGGGAGCTCATAACCCACTTGAATCAAAGTGTGAAATATGATATATCAAGAACTATGTAATGTTTTTGAACAACCAACAATAAAAAATTAAAAAAAATATGTAAAAACAAGTCCTGTAATGCACCAATAAAAAATGCAAAAAAAAAAAAAAAACCCTGATAAATTTGAATAATGAATGGTCACAAGAATGAGAAAAAGATGTCTGTGATGGAGGGTGCTCATTGAAAGGCTGCCCACGATCCAGGCCTGGACCCACACAATCTCAATTCCTCCTATAATCTATACTTGAAAACATACACCCTGTGTGTGTGTGGATCCATCTCTAATAAACTTTCTCTCCTGTATCAGGAAGTGAGGTCAGGCTAGAGCTAGAAACCATCCTCTTCTGCCCACCCACTGCACTCTGCTGGCCAGAGCGTGCCAGCAGTCCTTGCTTCACAGGCTGAGGGGAGATGAGACAGCGTGCTGAACCCAGGGCTAGGAGTGTGTTGGTCCGGATCTGCCGACCTCAGCCCCAGGTGTAAGCCCCTGCTCCACACCCCCCCTGTTGCCGACTGCTTCACTTCAGGAGCTGATTCCCCTCCACAAGTCCAGCTCAGGCCGACACACTAATTCTGGTGTTAACCACCAGTCCCTGCCTTGTCCCAGCCAGTCCCATTTCTCCAAGGCAAAATGGCCAAGAGGGCAGTTTGAGCAGAGAGAGACCATTTCTCCAGGTTAGCCTCCACCCGGGCCTAGGAAAGCTGGAATGCTGCTGTTTCCCCACACCCTGAAAATTTCATCTTTCAGTGGAACAAGATTAGACTCCAGGCTCATGTACTTCTTGAGGAACAGAGGCTGCTTTTTTCAGTCATTTTGGCCACAGAGACATTATTTAACACCATTTAATAAAAAGAAGTAGTGTAGACAGGAAGGTAGTGCAAAAAATAGTGTTGCCATGAGGACTAGCACTTGATGCTGGGAAGCTGAAGCCAGAGGAGACCACGGGTTGGGGGATGAGCATTCTTTGAAGGCAGGTGGCCTGCAGGCCAGAGAACCAAGTGAGCTGCTCATCCCAGGCCCCTGGATATTGGGCTCTTTGGAACTGGTGAGTATAAGGGGACGAGATGTTGAAATCCAGCTGCTGCTCCCCAAAGTGTCTGTCCAACAGAATGACTGGGATTCAGGTAGCTGAACGCTCACGTGTGGAGGGCACCCAAAGGCTTGTCCTGCCCTCAGAGCTCCCCAGGTCTGCTTGTGGTGTGGCATCCCTAGGCAGTGTGCCTGGTGGGCCTTCCCAGCATCTGCCCTGGCCTGGCATCTTGGCTTCCTCCATGCACCACCTTCCTTCTGCCAGCCCAGGAGTGCCAGTGTCTGCTCATGCTCTCATCCAGGACCAAACCCACTGGTTTGGCTAAAAAACAAACTACTCAGCCACACCCTCTCCCCTGGTCAGTGGGATTCTCCCCGGTCGGTCTCCTGACACATGTCTCTGGGTCTTCATTTCCTCCTTCGGCTGATGCTCTTCAGTTCATCCAATTCTTTCTCCATTAAGTGGGATTCAGCAGTGGTCTCAGAGAGCTGGAAGTCAAGCAGCAGCAGTTACAAACAAGTTTCTGGACCATGTTTGGGGTCTGAAAGGCCACTCTGCACTGAGGAAGGGCTTCCTGGCATTCCTCTAACACTGCTGGCCTCTGTGATGGGAAGCCCTTGGCAACTGGGCAGATATAATCCCAATGACCCAGGACCCACAAGAAGAATATTCACAATCCACTTTTTTTGGGTGGTGGTGGGTACAGGGGATTGAACGCAGGGTACTCAACCACTGAGCCACATCCCCAACCCTAGTTTGTAATATTTTTTTTTAGGTGTTGATGGATCTTTATTCATTTATTCATATGTGGTGCTGAGAATTGAACCTAGTGCCTCACATATGCTAGGCAGGTGCTCTACCACTGAGCCAAACCCAGCCCCCTACTTTGTATTTGAAACAGGGTTGCATTGAATTGCTTAGCACCTCATTTTTGCTGAGGCTGGCTTTGAACGTGCCATCCTCCTGCCTCAGCCTCTCCAGCTGCTAGGATTATGGGCATGTGCCACCAAATCCAGTAGTCAGTGGGTTTTAATAGTCACAGGAAACCAATGCTAATGCAGTGTATGTCCCTCAGCAGGTCTGTTTTGGGTGCTGGTTAATGCCTACTTGGTATAGGATACCCTCCAAGCCGTGGGCAGACTGGTCTCTCTTCCTGGCATGCCCTCATCCCAACCTGCATTCCTACTATCACCCTTCAGCATTAAGCTCAAATATCCCTTCCTCTATGGAGCTCTCCTGACTTGACAGAATACTTCCTCTCATGTGCTGACAACATCAGACCACACAGACTATGTCACCCATACCACAAAGCGTAATTGTGTGTACTGTCTATCCCTGTTACAGACCTTGAAGGTAGGACTGTGTCTCATTTGTGTGTTTGGATGCAAGCAATGTACCTGGGCTCACAGGCACGGTGAGATATAGACTGGATGCAACGATGAGGGTGGGGCCTCCCTGAAGGGAAAACCTAGGCATCCCTTCCCCGTCACCTTCCTCACCATGTCCAGGAGGATGTCCACTTTCAGCCGCAAGAGATTGTTCTCTTCCTCCAACTGCTGGTTCCGCCTGCGGAGGCGCTGAGCCTCCCTCCGGTCCACACCCGCACTGATCCCTGTCTCTGGCAGAAGGACAGAACCCGCAGTTAAAAGGGAGGTTTCCTTCTACAATCTTGTTTGAAAAAAATGTCAGGAAACACAGCCCACCTGTTATCCAATGGCCATTTTCAAACTTCAGGCTTTGCCCCGTCAGGTTCATAGTGGGGGTTCCATAGTCGAGGCCCAGCTCCACCTCCCGGGTTGAACGATCCAACTGTGGGTGAGAGACCACACATGGGCTTCAAGAGGCCACAAAACAGCACCCTCGTCCCAGTTCTTCTTCCACTAATTCTAGACTAACAATCTGTTTCTATCCTCTAATCATTACCTGCCACCTTTAATAATTTTTTAAGGGCCCAAAAATCAAATGATGTATAACAAAAAATTTAACTATAAAAGAGAAATGTCCTGCTTTAAACATGGGACATTTCCCCCCAAAGCTACATATGCTGAAATTTGTAAATTAAATTATTTTACACTTAAGGAATATACTCTTTTTCTCCTGCAGGGCTGCAGGTTGACCTCAGGGTCTTGCACATATCAGGGAAGCACTCTACCACTGAGCTATGTCCGCAGCTACAGAAATGAATTCCACTGTAAATTTTTAATAAAATATTCTTTTCAAAATGTATTATAAATTATCATTTGCTTAATATGGAGCTATATACATCACAGAAAAAGCATAAAATTATAAAACCCAATTAATATTAGTAGCAGAAGCCATGTAAGCAGGCTGCTGCTTTTACCATGTGGCCAGAATGTGGGATGTCCCAGGTGCACTGCATCTTTGACAAAGAGGATTGGGAAGCTCATGGCTTGTAGGCATCAGGAACAGATCCCAGAATGCCTAGCTCTGGTCACAGCGGGGCTGTCCCCTAGTCTGATTTTAATTGGGGCAAGGAGGCAATGGATTCAAAGACCCAAAAGCTGGGTGAAGCCTCAGCCTTAACAGCCTTGCTGCCCTACCCTACTGACCTGGGAAGGACTGGCTACCCTGCACAATCAGTTCTGTAGGAAAAAGTCAGAGAAACTAGAATACATCATTCCTGGTGTGTTATATCAGCCATGGCAGACAGAATTTTGGTGGGGATGAACCCAGTACCTGGTCGTGGACACCAGAAGACTTCAGGAGAGATGACAATGACTGTATGCGTGGGATCTATGTGTATTTATGTGCTGAGGACAGAATAGAGACAGTTGGGAATGGAAGTAGATTTCCACATGTTCTGACTTCCTGTTATATAATTCTTTTTAAACTCAGCTTATACATTCAAATGGGTAGTATGTTACTTCAGAAAGGTATCATTTATTCCAATGACACTGTTATTGACATATTCACAGATATTTTAGAAAATCTCATTTTGACCATCACTAAGGAAATCATCATCCTTGAGATTAAATATGATGATTTCCTTGAGATTAAATTTGATTCTTAAACATGACTGATTCTAGCTGAGCCTTGGGAATAAAGTAGAAGCCAAATTGAATAGTATTGTTTGAAGCATGTCATAATGCGATTGTCTTCTCTAGAGTTGGTTCTATTTTTTTTTTTTTTTAACCAAGGGCACTTAACCACTGAGTCACATCCCCAGCCCTTTTTTTTGTTTTGTATTTTGTTTAGAGACAGGTTCTCACTGAGTTGCTTAGGGCCTTGCTAAGTTGCTGAGGCTGGCTTTGAACTTGCAATCCTCCTGCCTCAGTCTCCCAAGCTGCTGGGTCTACAGGCATGCACCACCATACCTGGCTCTTTTTAGGTTCCTGAATAAACTACGACAATAATTCCCAAATAGGAGTTCAAAAATGGTTTTGGCAATAGCAATAATATGAATCAAAAGGATGCTTTCCAATGATGATGCCTCCTCTGGAGGTCCATACTCTCCACTTGGGAGACCACACTGGGCACTCCAGTTACACTGCACACCAGGCTGACCCCAGTCCCCACACTCACGGAACGTAGGTTGGAGAGGGAAGCAGATTTCCGAGGAGGTGTCTTCTTTGGACTGAATATATTCCCAAAGAGAGGCATCTCTGGCCTGATAAAGGAAAGCCTACTCTCCCTTCTCCTAGGGTCAGAAAAAGTCAGATAGTTGGATCAGTGATCTTGCGCCACTGCTCTCATATCATAAAAACATATTTTCTCCTACAGCTACTAACAGCCTGGTAACAGTTCCCATGTGTTGAATGTTCTCTATGTGCCATGCAGTATGCTAAGATCTCTGCAAGAAATATTTAACTTACAACCTCCATTTGACAAGCTGCTTATCTGCCCCAATTGACAGCTGACGTTTAGAAAGCTAAGGTTTGAGTGGGAGTGAGTGGTGTAAGTGGCTCTACAGTTACATTAACCACAGGCAGGTCCATCACAAGTTGACATCACCAACTATTATGGCTTAGACGGGAGGTGTTCCCCAAAAGCTCATGGGTGAGACAATGCAAGAAGGTTCAGAGAAATGACTGGGTTGTGAGAACCTTGACTCAGTCAGTGCATTAATCACCTGATAGGATTAACTCTGTGGTGACTGAAAACGGGTGGGGTATGGCTGGAGGAGGTGGGGCACTGGCATCATGGCTTTGGTGTATATATCTGTATCTGGCAAGTGGAGTCCACGTTCTGTGCTTCCTGATATTTGTGTGAGCCGTGTTCCTCTGCCACACTCTTCTGCCATGATGTTCTGCTTCACCTTGAGCCCCAAGGAATGAAGCTACTATCTATGGATGGAGACCACTAAAACTGTTGGCCCCCAAATAAATTGTTATTCCTCTACAATTGTTATGGTCGGGTCCTTTACTCACCACAGTGAAAAAGCTGACTAAAATACCAACTTCACAGTTAAGAGCAAAGAATGCCATCTCTGCTGTTCAGGTCACTGTTAAGAACTGCTTTGGGAGTAAAAATATGCTCCATTTTGAAGAAACAAGGTTATACTTATATTTCACCCCCAGGATGATAAGAGAGCCACTTGGTCCACATGGCAAAAGGTCCATGTGCCCTATATAAGGTGAGGACGAAGGAAAGAGGAAAACATAACAGGCAGAGCTGACGTTGCCACCCACCATACATCCATCAGCTTTCAGAAGCCTTTGACCTACCTAGAACAATTCACACAGGCCCAGTGAAGTAGATTTACTGTCACCCAAGTTTGCGGGAGGAAGAGAGCAGAGGTAAATTTTTTATTTAAGTATAACATATAGATAGGTCTAAAATCATAGTGTAAAGTTTTATGAGTTTTTACTACACACACGTGACCATCTTGCAGATCAGGGTACACAGCTTTCAGCACCCAGGACACATCCATCAACTTCATATCCACAAATTGCTATAGAAAGTTTCCTTTTGCACCTGGCTTTTTTTTTGGGGGGGGGGGGTGTCTTTTTTCTTTTTTGTACCAAGGACTGAACCCAAGGGCGCTTAACCACCAGGACACATTCCCAGCCCTCTTTATATTTTATTTTGAAACATGGTCTCATTAGGTTGCTTACACCCTTACTAAGTTGCTGAGACTGGCTTCTAACCTGCAATCCTCCTGCCTCAGCCTCCTGAGCTGCCGAGACAGGGGTGTCCCACCATGCCCAGCAGCACCTGGCTTCTTACACTCAACATCATGTTTATGAGATTTATCCACGTTGTTGTATGTGTTAGTTTGTTCACTTGCATGGGTGTATATATTCTACTGCAAGAGCATATCAAAAGTTATTTGTCCATTTTATAGATGGTGGACATTTCCCATTATTTGGCTATCAAAAATAGTGCTGCTAAGAACACATTTGGGGAGCTGGGGTTGTGGCTCAGTGGTAGGGCACTTGCTTAGCGTGTGTGAGGCACTGGGGTTGATCCTCAGTACCACATAAAAATAAATAAAGGTATTGTGTCCATCTACAACTATGAAAAATATTTTTTTAAAAAAAGAACTCACTTGGACATGTACCTCCATACACCTATGAACACTTTTCTGTTTCTTTACTTCGGGGTAATATTGTTGAATATAAATATTGGGGATTGAACCCAGAGCCCTGTGCACTGAGCTACATCCACAGTCTTTTTTTTTTTTTTTTGGTGGTACTGGGGATTGAACCCAGGGCCTCATGAATCCTAGGCCAGCACTGTACCACTGAGCTATAACCCCAGCCTCACCCCTAATCCTTTTTAAATTCTATTTTGACACAGGGTCTCACTAAGTTTCCTAGGCTGGTCTTGAACTTGTGATCTTCTGCCTCAGCCTCCTGAGTAGATGGAATTACAGATGTATGCCATCACACCCTGCTATATCTGTAGGGTTTTGTTTGTGGGGGTTTTGTTGTTTTTCAGTGCTGGGGATCAAACTCAGGGTCTCATGCATGCTAGGCAAGTGCATGCATGACTGAGCAACAACCCTAGTCATATATCTTTGGTTTTAATAGGTACCGCCAAATAGTTTCCCAAAGTTACTGTACCAATCTATACTCCTAACTGCAGTGTTATGAGGGACCCTTATGAACATTTTCTGTCTTTCATTTTAACCATTTTGCTAAGTATGGAAGGATGCTGCATTGTTTAATTTGCTTTTCCACAATAATTAAGTTGAGTATCTTTTTTGGACATGTGGATACACTCTCTTGTGATATGCCTGTTAGAATCTTCTGCAATCTTTCTATTGGGTTGTCTGTCATCATCTTGTTGAGTTACAAAGGTGCTTTATATATGCTACATACTGGTCCTTTGTTATATATCCGTATAGTACTGAAAATATCTTTTCTCAATTTGTGACTTGCCTTTTTGCTTTCTTATTGATTTCTTTTGATTAAAAATGTTCTTAATTTTAATTATTATTCAATGATAATAAACTTTTTATTCAGTTTAAGAAATTTTTGTTATCCTAAGGTCAAGATAAACTTTATGTCTTGGGCTGGGATTGTGGCTCAGTGGCTGAACACTTGCCTCACATATGACGCACTGGGTTTGATCCTCAGCACCACAAAAAAAATAAGTAAACAAAGATATTGTGTCCATCCATAACTAAAAAATTTTTAAAAAAACTTTGTCTTGCTTTTTCTTTTTTGTTATTTTTTATGATAATTTTTAAACTTCTAAGATTTTATTCTTTTACTTTTTATATTTGGAATTATAGTTCATTAAATGGGAATTAATGGTCTATGCCCAGCTGGAGACATTTAAAGAAGGAAAAGCAAGCCAGGTTGTTCTTGCCAAACCCCTCAATTAAGCTAAGGGCACTACATCTGAGTACAAGAGAACCAGCTACAGGCCTAACTGTGCTCCTCAGTTGATTGGTAAACCACAACATGTTGCTTAATTTCTCAGGTTTTAACTAAGGCACCTCGCTCATTCTCAAAACCTTTAACCTATTAATCTGTCAACCATACAGTCATGCACAACATAACAATGTTTCAGTCAACAATGCACCACATATACAACATTGGTCCCATAATACAATGGAAATGAAAAAATCCCTACGACTTAATGACATCATGGCCAGTCGTATAACAGTACAGCACATACATTTACGTATGGCATATAATAATAAACAACTATGCTACTGGTTTGTGTATTTGCTATAATTTTATCATTAGAGTACAGTGCTTCTATTTATAAAATATAGTGTAAAACAGCATGCCATGTTATGCCAATAGTAGCCTCAGACATTTCATTTCCCTGTCTCTTGACTGCATCATTTTTCTCTTCTGCTTGATTTAATGCCCTGTTTTGTTCATTATGGCCCTAGGCGTAATAGGCTGTAATGGGTAAATATGCCATCTATATGCTAGGTATATAATACAATACCTAGCAAATAGCCTAGGTGTATGCTAAGCTATACCACACAGGTTCATGAAAGAACACTTTCTCATGTCTGCACAATAATGACCCCCCCCCCCCATGACACATTTCTCAGAATGTGTCTCTGTCATTAAGCAACCTGATGACTGTATTACAGATGAGGGAAAGGATGGGTCTTCCTTTTAAGTCAGCTCTAATAATCTATAAACAACTCTGGAAAGTTTCTGGGATTCTGGGCCAGTGGAGTAGCCCTGAGATATAAGCTGTCCCTTGGCCCAGGGCAGCCTTCCTTCCTTCTAGTGAAACTCCTTGGGGGAGAGGGCACAGTACAAAGGAAGTGAAGAGAGGGCGCTTAGCTTCTAACATCCCCCCCCTGCTGCTAACCCTCAGCGGGACCCCCGCATTCATCCCCCTTGGGCCTGGCTTCTTTATTTGTAATCAGGAATAATAACAGAATCTGGATCACACACTGTTAAGAGTGTATTATTTGTAAGACATTGTAGCATTTGGTCCTACAATGACCTTGGAATAGGATCAAGTGTGTTCCCATCTATAGATAATAATACTGTTAATCAAAATGCAAAGCTTAGTTTCCAACAGCTCATAAAATCTATTATCTTATTTTAATTCTAATAAGAAGGCAATGGAGAAATTTTCGGCTTTCATCGGCTTCTCAAAGGGAAACGTGTCCCCCAAAGACTTAAAGCCAGGTACTGGTCTCGAAGACACCCGGGCCGCCAGGGCTGTTGGACTCCAGTAACGGTTGTGAACAAACCTTCAGACGCACGATTTATCTGACCACCTCCAGGCCGAGTTACCGGGAGGAACCCGCGCCCCGGTCGGTTCCCCGTTTGGGAAACCCTGGGGCCCGGCGGAGACGCCCCAGCGCACCTCCTCCCGGCCCGACGCCCTCTCAGGGGCGGCCCGCGTATCCCGCCCGCCTCGGGCGAACCAGACCTCGCTGCCCGCGGGGCTCAGAGACGTACCCGATGCGTCCCCAAAGTCGGCGTTCAAACCAGAAGCCTCGCGCGGCGACCCCTCTCCGGCCCCTGTCACAAGCGGCCGCGGCTGGGGCTGGTCGCCCCACTCTCAGCCGCGCGCATGCGCATCTCTGCCCGGGACTCTACCACAGCGGAAAGAGGGGGCAACGGCGCGGGGGAGACCCGACGCGTGCCTACGCGAGGCACCGGAAACTTTTGGTGGTCTCCCTTTGGATAATCAAGTGGATGATAGAAAGGAAATGTCTTACGGAGCCGTAAGGAGCCTGTGTCATACGACAAGGAGGAACAGCACTCACTCTCCCCACAAACACATTGGTCTGGTCGTCCGCGGGTGTCGCCTTGGTAACGGCGTCTCGCCGACTCCCGGGAGGCTCCCGGCTGTTCCATTGTTGTGGAAAAGGTGAAAGTAAGGGCCGCGCCCGGTGTTGCCTGGAGAACGCCGAGACTCACAGTAGCAAAATGGGCCTCTCCCCGACTCCCTTCCACCCACTGCTCCCCACGGCCACAAAGCAAAGGGCGCCCCTTCTTGGTGGATGTAGGGCCGCGGTGCTGGTGCCAGGCACAACTTTGCTGGGTCCCTTGAGGGACCCGCGGGGAAACCCGCCCCAAGTTCCTTGGATTCCGCGGAAACTTTTAGGTAAGACAATGGACAGGTGCACGATGACCCCACTGCGGCAGCCTCTCCCTGCTCCCTGACTCCTGGGCGGCCTCGGGTAAAGGGCACTGAGGCCCAGGGACCGCTGCGGAGTCGCCCAGTGAGCAAGGGGCAGAGAATTCGACAACTCCTCATCTCCAGGAGTCCTAACAGCATTTATTTATTGGCGCCATTTGGTAAATGAAAAAACTCGGGTCATTCAAGGAATATTTACTGGCTGCTTAGTGGATGTACCAGGTCATCCATGCAACTAGGGACAGGATCCAGAGGTGCAGTTCTCCTCCAATTATGCCACGCTGCATTACAGAGCGGAGAGTTCTATGCCCTGGCACCAAAATCTGCACTGTTCAGACCAGAACTGTTCATTAAAAACATAGCAGGCCACATATGTAATTTTAAAATTTTAGTAATTACATTTTATAAAGTCAAAACAAGACCCCCCCAAAAAAACAAGTAAAATTAATGTGAATATTTCAACCCCTTATGTCCATGATATTCTCACTGCAAATATAATCAATATTTTAAACTTTACACTGCTTTATTTTTGTTTTCTTTTTGGTCCAGGGATGGAACCCTGGGTCACTCAACCACTGAGCCACACTCCCTGCCCTTTTTTGTATTTTATTTAGAGACATGGTCTCACTGAGTTGCTTAGGGCCTCGCTTTTGCTGAGGCTGGCTTTGAACTCGCAATCCTCTTGTCTCAGCCTTTCAAGCCACTGGAGTTACAGGTGTTTGCCACTGTACCCAGCTAGTTTTTTAATTTAAATTAATTAAAATTAAAATTTAACTAGGCATGATGGTGCATGCTGTAATTTTAATGGTTTGGAAGGCTGAGGCAGGAGGATGGCAAGTTGCAGGCCAGCCTTGGAAATTTTGTGAGACTCTGTCTCAAAAATAAATAAATAAATAAATAAATGGGCTGGGGATATAACTCAGTGGTACCAAAAAAATTAGTTAATTAAATTAAAAAATTTTTTTTGAACATTTTTTTTTAATATTTATTTATTTTTTAGTTTTCGGCGGACACAACATCTTTGTTTGTATGTGGTGCTGAGGATCGAACCCAGGCCGCACGCATGCCAGGCAAGCGTGCTACCACTTGAGCCACATCCCCAGCCCAATTAAATTAAAATTTAACTTTTTAGTCACACCAACCAAATTAAGGGCTCAATTGTCACATGTGACTAGAGGCTACTGTATGAGTAGCCTTTCCAAACTTGTGCCCTATGTTTGGATGACAATTTCCTCTCCCTGTTATCTAATTAACTCCAGTTCTTCTTTTGACAACTTGACTTCCTTGATTAGGTCAAAACACTATTTAAGTCCTCTAGCACTGTGCAGTGCCCTTCTAAGCAATAGTGACAGTAGTAATTCATTTTAATTCATAATTATTTTTCATAAATTATAATTAATTATGTAATCATTTGATTTTTACAAGTCTTCCCCAGTAGATATAACCCCCATTAGGATAGGGTTCAAGTCTGGTTTAGTTTCACCATTCTTTCCCCAGTAGGAGCACTCTGCTGGCTTTTGGCAGAATTGAGTAATTGAATGACTAAAAGTTAAAGTGAACAGGTTCAAGGTCAGCATTGTTTTTACATGCTAGAACATGTTAACTTTAAGTGGGATATTCACGCCTCAGTGGCCAGGATGTACTGCTGCCTGGGGATAGAGTCCCTGACAGTGCTGGCCCTAGGACAGCTACTTAATGAATCTAGATTTGTTCCTCCTTTTCCTCCCCAAGTAGCAGGAAGCAAAAAAAGCTGGGAAGAGAGTGTGTATCTTAAACATTTCTCTAAGCAGCATGCTCTTCATTCCTCCCATTAGGCATGAGTGATAAGGTTAAGCTAAAGCAAGAGGCCTATGTATGTGTGTATTGTGTATGTGTGTATTGTATATGTGTGTATTGTGTATGTGTGTATTGTATATGTATGTATTGTGTATATGTGTATTGTGTATGTGTGTATTGTATATGTGTGTATTGTATATGTGTGTATTGTGTATGTATGTATTGTGTATGTATGTATTGTGTATGTGTGTGTATGTGTGTATTGTGTATATATGTATTGTGTATGTGTATTGTGTATGTGTGTATTGTGTATGTATGTATTGTGTATGTGTGTGTGTATTGTCTGGAGATAGAATCCAGAACCTTAAAAAGGCTAGGCAAGCACTATACCACTGAGCCACATCCCCAGCCCCAAAGCAGAAGGCTTTTTGACAGTGTCACCTAAGTCTGGCTTCTCTGAGAAGATGTTGCCGTTTTCCAGTCCTGCTGGGGAATGGGTGGGAGGCAACTGAGAAACCCTACAATGTGGGTATCTCCTCTCACCCCTCTCCTCTTGGCCTGTATGGCTAAAGGCTGGAACCAGGAGGGAGCAACTATATTGTCCAGGGCCTGAGCTGGCCTTTCCAGCAGTCCTAGTGACTTGGGGCAGCCAAGACAGGTAGCCTTTTTGCACCAGAAAGAAGTGTGGGCATGAGTCTAAAAGAAATTAAACACTGCATGAACTGAATCCCTAAGGCATAATTGGCCTGACGGAGAAAGATGTAGAAGCAAATCATTCCCGTCCAACGTTCTAAATGCTGTCATAAAGGATGAATGTAGAAACCTGAGGGTCTCAAAGGAGATATGGTACTAGTGGCCTGGAATAACAAAGATGTGTCACCTGGGATGAGTCCAGTATGGAACAGCATATGCAGAAGCAGAGAGGCACAGAGGGTGCAGCATGCATGGCCAGGGACCAGAAAGGTGGCCAGTGGGCTGGGCGTATGGGATGCATCACAGCTAGGGAGAAGCAGATGGCCTGAACCAGGAGAGAGGGAAGGAGAGTGTGGAAGGGCATCCAGGTTTATTTTCCCAACATACTTGACCTTTTCTCCCTAGTTCCATCTGTATGTTCTGCTTGAGGACAGGGTCTAAGTCTTGGGCTTCATTATAACCAGGTCTGTAATACTAGGCTGTGGATATGGAGGGCCCACAAATGGTGGTGATGGCCCCTTGGCCAAGAAACAAGGACTCAGGAGAGCAGGCAGCCTGGAAGAGTAGTGAGGAGACTAGTTTTCTGAGAGGGAGCAGAAAGCCCCAGGTAGATGGAGAGTCTGGTGCTGAGGAAATGGACCCAGTATCCTAGAATCACAGCATCTGAGATCTGGAAAGGGTGTTAGAGCCACTTAATCCAAATCTCCTCCTTTTTCAGTTGAGTCTCAGAGAGGCAAAGAGATTCAATTTCATTTCTAGTTTGGAAACCAACTTGCCTGGTGATCTGGAGCGCTAAACTTTTTAGTGTTCTAGGCTTTTTATTTTAAGTGGAGAGAAGCACGGGCCTCAGCAGGTTGAAAGAACAATTGGGTGTGCCTGGAGGTCCTCAGTGAAGAGGGGCTTCATGGACAAGCCTCCTCCTCCCCCCACCCCGTACACTTGTGTGGCGAGCCTGGCCAGCCGCCCTGCTGAGCAGGTGAGTGGGTCCGTCTCCTCCTCCTGTGTTTTCTAAGATGGTTTTATGCTATTTGCGATTTGTGATTTCCAGGAGGATGACTGAACCAACAGCAAGATTGGAGTGGGAAATGACAAGCTTTTAAACGTGAAAACTCTTTGATAGCCAATTTACAAGAAATTGGACAATGGATTGTTCCAAGAAGATGGAGGTCATCAATGTCATTGCCTTACCCATGATACCAGTGGATGAGAAGCTGGTGGTTTCACTCAGTGCACAGAGTGCAAGGGCGAGGGCTGGGAGGAAGGACATTCAGGAGCACCGCCCCTGTATCCTCTGGTGGATCACCAGCAATCAGACCAGATGCACCTGAGTGCCACCACTGAGGAACAGTGTTACAGTCTTGGCATTCATCACTCGCTAGTCCACTCTAGTCACATCCATTAGGTCATTAATTCTTTTTCTTTTTCTTTTCTTTTTTTGGGGGGCGGGGTACTGGGGATTGAACCCAGGGGTGCTTTACCATTGAGCCTCATCCCCAGCCCCTTTAGTTTTTATTTAGAGAAAGGGTCTCGCTAAATTGCTTAGGGCCTCACTAAGATGCTGAGGGTGGCTTTAAATTTGCAATCCTCCTGCCTCAGCCTCCCAAGCTGCTGGGATTATAGGGGTGGGGCACCGCACCCAGCAATTCATTAATTCTTAAGCCCTACCTAGCCTCTAAAAGAAGGTGAGACTGTGAAGGATTGTTTGACCTGTGAGGTTGTTGTTGTTTTATGGTAGTAGGGATTGAACCCAGGGGTGCTCTAGATATCTCCCCAGCCTTTTTTATTTTTCATTTTGAGACATAGTTTTGCTAAATTGCTGAGGCTGGCCTTGAACTTTCAATCTTCCTACCTTAGCCTCTCAAATAGCTAGGATTACAGGTGTGCACCACTGCACCTGTCTTGACTTGAAATGTTTAAAAAACTAATCAGAAAAAGCCCAGAAGGAAGTCCTGGATGTATTTGTTGAAAGAATAAGGAAGAAGAGGGAAAAGTCTAATTTTTCCCAGGGTCTTCTTTCCCTCTGTCTTCTAAGAAATAGTAGGCCAACCCTCTGTCCTCAGACAAGTGACCTTTGGCCCAGCTTTCTGCCTCAGATTGCCTTCACCTCTCCTCACCCACCAGCCCTTCTGCCTTGGCTCCACATCTGCCCCTCTGGCATCCTCCAGGGTCTGCCAGCACCCATCTTCCCTGGTCCTGTCTTCCTTGATCCTCATCTCACTCCTGAACTGAGGCACCGCAGAACCCCCTCTTCTGGAGGACCACAGAGCCCATCCAGCAGCTAGACTCTTCAGATTATAAATCCCCCGGACTTTCCCACTCACACCTTCGAGTGTTGTGCGTGTCATCCCGCACCCCTCCCCTTCCAGCCCTCTCCAAAGCTCCTCAAGACGCAGCAGCAAGGTGGGAGCCCATGTGAATCTGCCCCGGGGTCTTGCTTTGCTGGGCCTCTTTCGAATTCCCCTTCTTTTTTTTTTTTTTTTTAAGAGAGAGAGAGAGAGAGAGAGAGAGAGAGAATTTTAATATTTATTTTTTTTAGTATTTGGCGGACACAACATCTTTGTTTGTAATGTGGTGCTGAGGATCGAACCCGGGCCGCACGCACGCCAGGCCAGCGTGCTACCGCTTGAGCCACATCCCCAGCCCTCAAATTCCCCTTCTTTCTTCTTAATCCCACACTCATCTCAACCTGAGCAATCCATTTCACTTATGGTTTGTCCTCTCCCTTCTTGGCATCTGCATTTTTCAATTGTTCTCCGATTGGTAAGAGCACTTGAGGGTAAAGGAGGTAAGAGAGCTTTATATGAGAGGGGAGAGAGGAGTGTGGCACTTTTCCAAAGGCTGTCTCCTACACCAGCAGAGGCTCAGACAGGAAGAAATGTAACAGTTGAGAACATAAGGAGGGGGCCGTAAAACTGAGCATATTTTAACTGTGATAAACAAGGTCAAGATACTCTGACCCAGTCATCCCTCACCTGAAAATCTCTCTTAAATATTCCAAGATATAGAAACCGCTCTCTGTATGGCCCTGTGGCCTCGCAGCATTAGTTACTGATGTGGGAAAAAAGAGGCTGGGCCCCCAAGGAATTTTCAGGAAGCAGGTTTATTGACTGCAGAGTCCAGAGAGGCTATCACCTTAAACATTCTCTGGACCAAGGATTTGGAAAGTCTTTGAACTTTATACCCAGTGGTAGGAGGGGCTCGAAGATTTACATTTTTGTAGGAGTCTACATGACTGTATTATATTTTTTTTCTTGAGTTCACAGAAAGTGCTTTTTGTCCCACTTTTTAGATTAGTCAGAGGTTTTACAACAAAAGCAGAAGTGATATCATCGAATCTGTGGCCAAACTTAGTTTTTGCAAGCAGAATAACTTAGTCCTCACAAGAAATAGGAAGTCCTGTCCCACACTGAATTTTTTTTGGTAGAAATTTTTGCTAATGTTCTATTATAAAGCTTTCCAACAAGAAGAGGAATTTATATGTTACAAATATCATGGGGGTTTCTGCTTAATTAAGGTAAGGTTCTTCTGGGTATGTAGGGTCTCTGGTCTGCTTCATTGTAACTGCAATAAGTTGTAAATAGCTTAAATATTCAATAGCTTAAATGTATTAAGGTGCATCCTTTAAAAGGATTAGTATGTTATTGAACACAATTAGTATGAAGATTACCGTACAGAAAATGCCCCTAATAATAGCCGGGAGAAGTCAGAGCAGTAAAACAGGCATCCACTGAGATTGTAATTATGTATGTAAAAAATAATGGAAGGAAATCTCCCCTGAGTCTAACAGAATTGTTAGCCTGGTGGCATTACAGATGGTTCTTGCTCTTTTTTATATTTCCCAAGGTATCTGCAATATGGTCAGCTTTCATTTATACTCAGAGAGCAATTCCCTTAAGATGAAGAGGTGTGATGGGGCTTGGGGTGTACCTCATACTTACCTAGCATGTGCAAAATCTAGGTTCCATCCCCCAGGAAAAGTGTGCATATTTGCAGAGAAAATAACTGGAGACAGGGCCGCCCTCTTTGCCAGGCAAGCCCCCCCTTCTTGTGGGTGATCACTGCCTGGAGACTTTCCTTAGCTGCCTCACCTCCCAGCCTGCCTAATTGGCTCCATGCTCCAGGTGCATCAGAAGATTGGGAATATGGACCTAGAGCACAGCCCGATGACCGACAGTCTGGTGAGTTTTAGGACCTAGAGCTGAGGCAAGGATTTGGGGGGCGGGGGGCAGGGGGCAGGGGGTCATCAAGATGTTGCAATGCCTGCATGCTCCTCCACATTTTTGAAAATATGTGAATATTTGAAAGTTTGTTTACACAAATTTTTAAATTTAATAGAGCCAGACATGGGGTGGCACACTTGTTTAATCCCAGCAGCTCAGGAGGCTGAGGCAGGAGGATCAAGAGTTCAAAGTTAGCCTCAGCAATTTAGTGAGGTTGTACATAACCTAATGAGACCATGTCTCGAAATAAAAAAATTAAAAGGTATGAGGGTGTGGCTCAGTGGTTAAGTGCCCCTGGGTTCAATCCCTGGTATAATAATAATAATAGACTTTCTAAACAAAGTTTGACATTCACAGAAAATTTGAATGGAAAGTAGTTTCTCCATATAACCACAATCCCCAGGACACAACCTCCCTGAGGATTCCACACCTCAGTTGTTACAATCCATGAACCTGCATTGACACACTGTTACCACTCAGCATCCCTGGTTGACACTAGGTTCATTCTGGGGTTGCACATTCTGTGGGTTTGGACACATATGACCTGCATCTCCCATTGTACCTGTAGAATAGTTTCACTGGCCTAAAACTCCTCTGGGCTCTATGTGTTCATGTCTCCCTACCCTTAACCTCTGGCTACCACTGATCTTTTTACTGTCTTTGTAGTTGTACTTTTTCATTTTTTAATTTTAATTTTTTTAGTTTTTAAAAAAATTTTTAATTTGTTCTAATTAGTTATATATGACAGAAGAATGCATTTTTGACACATTGACACAGCGGAGCACTTCTCATTCTTCTGGCTATACATGGTGCAGAGTCACTCCAGAAATGTAATCATACATGTATATAGGGTAATAATGCCTGTCTCATTCTACCATCCTTCCTGTCTCCATAGCCCTTCTTCTCCCTGATAGATCCAACCTGATCTTTTCTTAAAATTGGGCATCTTGCCACAAAACCATGAAAAGATAATTTCGGCTTTACTATAAATTACTGCAAATTCTGAACCTGCTTGGAATGCCTGCCCGTGCCCTGAACTCACCCATGTCCGGTTTTCCCTGACCAGATAACAACCTTTTCCTAAACCTTAGTGACGCCTCATAAATTCTGGCCTTCCCTGGCCGAATAACGACCCTCTCTGAGTCTCTAAGATCTCCATAAATTCTGATGCCGGGGCCAGCAAAAATGTAAACTTGTGTTATGCTCCTCAGAGTGTTGTTATCTGTAACCCCCCTTTGTGTAACTTTTTGGGCTATAAAACTGGGCCGCAAAGAAGCCTCGCGGCTGTTTTTGGCTCCCACGATTTTAATGGGCAAGGCAGCCCGGACGGTCGAAATAATAAGCTTGCTTTAATTTGATTTTAATTGGAGTCAGTGGTCTTTTCTTGCGTCCTGGTCTAACATCCCCTCACTCCCCTCTACACAATCCATTGGTTCCTTCATTCTTCCCTATACCCTCCCCTCCATAGATCAGCATCTGCTTATCAGGGAAAACATTTGGGCTTTGTTTTTTTGGGACTGGCTTATTTTACTTAGCATGATATTCTCTAGTTCCATCCATTTACCTACAAATGCCATAATTTGATTCTTCTTTAAGGCTGAGTAATATTCCATTGTGTATATATCTACCACATTTTCTTTATTCATTCATCTGTTGACAGACATCTAGGTTGGTTCCATAGTTTAGCTATTGTGAATTAAGCTGCCAAAAACGCTGATGTGGCTGTGTCACTGTAGTATGCTGTCTTTAAATCCTTTAGCTATAAACCGGTGAGTGGGATGACTGGGTCAAATGGTGGTCCCATTCCAAGTTTTCTGAGTAATCTCCATATTGCTTTCCATAGTGATTGCACCAGTTTTTAATCCCACTAGCAATGTATGAGTGTACCCTTTCCCCTCCACATCCTCACCAACACTTATTATTACTTATAATCTTGATAATTGCCATTCTAACTGGAGTGAGGTGAAATCTCAGTGCTTTTCTCTAATTGCTAGAGATAATGAACATTTTTTCATGTTGGTTGATTGACTGCATTTCTTCTTCTGTAAAATGTCTGTTCAGTTCCTCAGCCCATTTATTGATTTGTAGTTTTACTTTTTCTAGAATGTCATAGAATTGGGATCATACAATATATAGCTTTTTCAGATGGGCTTTCCTCACTTAGTAACATGAATTTGAATTTCTCTTCTTGTCTTTTCATGGTTTGGTAGCTTACTTCTTTTTAGTGTTTAGTAATATTCAATTGGTTGAGTATACCATAGTTTATTTATCCACTCACTTACTTGGGGCATCTTAATTGCTTCAAAGCTTTGGCAACTATGAATAAAGCTATTAAAAACAGCCCTGTGTAGAGTTTTTTGGAGGTGGATATCAGTTTTCAGCTTCTTTGGTAAATACCAAGGAGCAGAATAGCTGGATCTTGTAGTAAGAGTATGTTTAGTTTTGTTAGAAACTACCAAACTCTCTTCCAAAGTGATTGTACTATTTTGTCCTCCCACCACTGATGAGTGAGAGTTCTTGTTTCTCCGTCTACTCACCAACATTTGATGGTGTCAGTGTTCTGGATTTTGGCCATTCAAATTGGTATGTTTTAATTTGCATTTCTTTGATGACATGTGAAGTGGATCATCTTTTCATATGCTTGTTAATCTTCTGTTTATCTTCTTTGATGAGACATCTGTTAAGGTCTTAGGTCCAATTTTTAATGGAGTTATTTGTTTTCTTAACCACTGAGTTTTAAGAGTTTTTTGTGTATTTTGATCAACAGTTCTTTATTAGACATGTCTTTTACAAATATTTTCTTCCAGTCTGTGACTTGTCACTTCATTGTCTTAACAGTGTCTTTGGCAGAGCAGAAATTTTTAATTTTAATGAAGTTCAACTTTCCTCCTTTCATGGATTCTGCCTTTGGTATCATATTTAAAAAGTCATCACCAGGACCAAGGTCAGGTTTTCTCCTGTGTTATTCTTTAAGGGTTTTACAGATTTGCATTTTACATTTAAGATTGTGATTCACTTGGAGTTAATTTTTGTGACATCTGGAGTTCTTAACTCAAGAGTTGTGTACACTGAACCTTCAGCAATTCATCAATGGTAGGTTAGGTTTTTCAACTGGTTCATGTGGAAGTTTCTGCTCCTGGGTTATGATTATCTGCATCTGCTTGTACCCTCCCCAACTGAGGAGGGTGCCCTGTGACTTTGATTCTCTGACAGGTCTAAGAAAAGTCTACTTTTCAGGTTTTTACTTATGAGGATATAGTGGTAGTTTCTGAGCTCCTTAAGTGTTGGACCATAAACTGGAAGGCTAAGGGTTAATTTTGATTTATTTTTATCAAAAAAAGTAAAACAAGCCCTCCAATAATTCCCTGTCTCTGTGTGTCTGTCTGTCTGTCTGTCTCTCTCATTCTCTCTCTCTCACACACAGCTTGTGGGAGGCCGGCATTTGAAGGTCCACTGCGCAGCCAGGTGTGGCTGAGCCCCTGTGAAAAGAGCACAGGCTTGAGTCCCCTGCCCCTGCCTTTTGGCTGTCTTTGGATTTGGTACCAGTATGTGTTTGATTTTTATTTTCAACTGAACTTAAGAACTCTGGGGCTTATGAAGAATATTTGAAAATGAGAGTAACAAAGCAGTGTCACCTGTTGGAGTTGTACCGAGGACCTGCCCCTCCGCGGAGTGGGGTGTGTCATTCAGAGTGGGCTCCACGGCTGCCCGGATTGTTCATGGGCACCTGGCGGCGACGAGGAGGGGGATGGAACCATGAAGACTTACTCTGGGGGGCGCCGGGTGCTGCGGGCAAGTCCTCGCTCTAACTGCAGGATTCCCGTCCACACGGAGGTCACTCACCTGCAGTCTGGGCCCGCTCTGGGCTTCCCTGTTTTCATTGTGCTGCACCAGGGGGCCGAGCGGCCTCAAGGGCAGTCCTGCGGTGGCCGAGCAGAGTGCGCCCTCTCTGGTCGCCCGTGTCCCGCTGCTCCCTATTCTTCGCACAGGTCTGTTTGGCCTGCTTTCCAGTGTCTCCGGGCTCAGTGAGGGACTCCACTTGAAAGCCCAGGCCATCTGTTGGTAGTGCCCTTCTGTAGTTCAAGAGGAGAAGCTCTGTGTGTCCTGGTCCTCACTGGGGCCCCGGTGCTGTCCCTGGCCTTCCTCCTCCTCCTCCCCTTCCTCCTCCCCCTCCTCCTCCCCCTGGCCTTCTTCCTTCTCCCCCTCCTCCTCCCCCTGGCCTTCTTCCTCCTCTTCCTCCCCCTCCTCCCCCCTGGCCTTCTCCCTCCTCCTCCTCTCCCTCCTCCTCCCCCCCCCCCTGCCTTCTTCCTCCCTCCTCCTCCCCCTGGCCTTCTTCCACCTCCTCCTCCCCCTTTCCCCCCCCCCCGCCTTCTTCCTCCTCCTCCTCTCCCTCCTCCCCCCCTTCTTCCTCCTCTTCCTCCCCCTCCTCCTCCCCCTGGCCTTCTTCTTCCTCTTCTCTATCACCCACCTCCGTTGCTGTGGCCTGTCTTAACTCTACTCCTTCACTTCCTGCCAGTTCTCCACCTTAACTTTCTCACCCCTCCCACCCGGAATCTTGCTTCCCACCAAGTTCTCTGCCCCCCCCCCCCCCCTATCCTGGCCTCACGATTGGCCTTCACCATTTTTAGTTTCCCCCTCACCCAACTTGTCCAGTACTGATTTGGGGGGTCAGTTAAATTCTTGAGTCAATCTTTTTGTCACACTTTTAACAATTTAAATAGCAATATGCTGCATACTATTTCTAAAATTTTCAAACCATCTACAAGTATACAAGAATTAAAGTCACAGGGCAAGTCACAGCCCCCATTTCCCTCACTCACCCTAAGGATTGCTAATCCCAGCGGCATGTATCTTTCAGAACTTTTATTTTTCATCCTGGAGATTGAACCCAGGGGCACTTTTCCCCTGAGCTACATCTTCTAGTCCTTTTAATTTTTTTTTTTTTTTTTTTATTTTGAGGCAGAGTCTCACTACGCTGCCCAGGCTGGCCTTGAACTTGTGATCCTTCCACCTCAGCTCCTGAGATGCTGGAATGACAGGCGGGCACCACCCCACCTGGCCCTTTCAGATCTTCTTTAGGTTATTATTTTCATAGGTATTACATAATTTGGGGTTATTGTTTTCTATTTTTGACAAAGCCATGACTGTTACTTTGTAACCTGTGTTTGTTTTCTCTTATTCCTTTTCTCATTTATTTTTAGCATAAATACTTAGAGATTTTATAAGGCAGTACTACTGACCTGCCCTATCTTTCAATGGCTGTGTAATATTCTGTAGGTTGAAAATGGCATAATTTATTTAATTCATCCTTAATGCTAAATGTTTCAGTGGCACTTTGATGATACACATTTGAATATTTTTGTGCACATACCTTAGTGATCATTTGCAAGTATTTCTACAGAATAGAGCCTTATAAATAAATTTATAAAAGTCAAATTGTTTTTCATACTGAAGCCATTGACAGGAGAGAGACCAATAGCATTAGTCTCTCTACCACACTCTTGAGTAGAGCTTCAAATTAAATTGTGGGTAAAAGCAAAGCAAAGTGCACACATACACACACACACACACACTGTTTGGAATGATTCCCCGTAAGGTGAAAAGTCATCTGTAGGAGAAAGCGTATGCTTTTGAGGAGAATTGTCAAAGTTTAAATTTCTGCTTTACTGTTCCCTCAAATCGTGACATTGGGGAAATGATTTAACCACCATGGGTCTCAATTTCCTGTAAAACATGGCAATAATGTATCTACCTTATAGGGTGCTACAGTACTTAGCTCAGGACACAGAAGTTCACCTGGCTCTCAGCAGAAGTGTTTTATGTGTATAAATGCGTAGGAAATAAATCTGGAGGAATCTACACCAAATGGTTACACAGGGTTAGCTCTGGAAAGAGGAGGGGATCCAAAGGATATGAACTCTTTTACTATTACATTAGATTCTTCTGTAATGTTAGGATATTTTAAAACAATAAGCATATGTCACTTCTATGATTTTTTTTAATAATAATTTTTGAAACCAGGAAGAAGAATGAAGTTACCTTCCCAGAAGCAGGCTCTGATGGGGAACTAGGGAGCATGGACATAGCTCCTGGGTGTTCTTGACTGCAGGCAGAACCTACAGGCGGGGTAGTGGGACTGCAGGAGCAACTTTGAGTGCCCATGTGACCTGGCGGAAGGAAGGGACCCCTTGCCTCTCCTCCTTGCCGCTCTGCCCAGGCAGCTCACAACTGCTGCTGAATCAGAACCATTCCTGGCCACCCTGGCCACCTTTCTGGGTCATGGTTTGCCATGCCCTTTATGCACTAGGCAGTGGCTGACTCAGCTCCTGCTGCCAGATGGCTTCCCCAGCCTCTGTTCCACCTGGTAGACTGCAAGCACGTGGCACAGGATGACTGCTGTCCTAACGCAGTGCTGGGCTTTTGGTTGATGATCAGTGCAACTTGTGGGTCACTGACGTTCATTTTTCTTTCTTTCCTTTCCTAAGGGGCAGGAGTGGAGAGTCAGAGTGATCAAGAGAAGACTCTTGTGGGGTCAAGGGTATCATGATTAATAACAATAGTAGTTTCCCCTTAGTGAGCAGCCCTATCTGCTAGCCTTTGTGAGAGTGTTTTAAAGTGCATAAGATACTTTATCTCTGATCCTTGTAAGGACCTGAAGGTGGGTATTGTTATCCCCTTTTACAGAGAGATTCAACTGGAGCTTATAACCTGTGAGGCTGTGATTGGAACCCTGTTCCAAATCCTGTCCTCAGAGGGGCAGTGTGAGAGGACTGTGGTGTGGAAGACAGATTGATGACACTTGGGGAGGATTCAGTGACACTGAGGGGCACAGATGGTGCCACCTGGGGGAAGACAGGAAGTGTTGGCTACAAACTTCTCCAGGCCTTTTGGGTACCAACAAGGAAGAAGCCTTGGTCCCCAGGATTTGCATTAATCCCTAATGCCCCATTTTTTTTCTTTCTGTTTTTTTTAAAGGCAATTGAGAAATTTGAATTGGAGAAGAAGGCTTTAAGAGAGAAAAGCCACAGTCACGTCAGCGCAGGAGACAGAGGCAAAAATCCCTTCTCATAGCCTTGATTGGGTTGTCGTGGATTTGATTTTTTTTAGTTGGATATTTTAAGCTTTGGTTTGCTTTTCTACATGCTGGGGACTGAACCCAAGGCCTTGCTAGAAGCAAGCACTGCACCACCCTGCCCCAGCCCCACCCCTGAGTTTTCGGTTTTGGAAACATAATTGGGTAGGAATTCAGAGTTGTAGGTGAGGAGACTCAAATCTGACTTCCTCATGTTGGGCAAGGACAGAGGGAAGAGGGTACCATTTAGGGACCAGCTAACTATGTGACACAGGACTCTAGGTGCTTTCCCTCTGGGTCCTTTTAAAAACATTTTGTGGAAGAGGAAACAGGGCTAGGGAGAGAGGAGCAACTTGCCTAAGGCCACATAGTTGTCCCCTCTTTGGTCTAATCTGATAGGGAGGGGGATCTTGGTTGTTCAGACCCATGGGACCTAGTGAGATCAGCAGGATGAGCGTCATTGGGCAGCGCAGGTTGAGTGACGAGTCCCAGTTAGGTTGATCACCCAGTAGTGCACACCACCTGTGGCTGCTCATTTCTCATCTCTTTTCCTCCACTCTGCAGTCAAGAAACAGCAAAGAACACCGTATATATGCCAAGGCTCCGAATTCAAGAGTGCCAAGTCTTCCTTTGTGAAAAAGGTAAGGGACTGATTGCTGTGCCTGTTTTGGATTGGTTTCTATTAGGCAAGAAATAGGTTTTACTCCGGGAGAGGGGAATTTGGTGACTGGGTGGAGATTGAATGGAAAAAAAAAAAGTTCTCTTTTTCAAAGAAGATCTTAAAATTTTGACAACTTTGGAATTTCTCATGACACCCTCAAAAGGGCAGAGATGACCCAACCCCCAAGGAGGGGCATTGCAGAGCCGTGTGTGCTATTTTTAGAACTGAGAATGTATTTCTCCTTAGAAACAAGGCCTTTGGGTCTTGCTGAGGTGCCACAGGGCCTTCCTGGACTGTCCACACAGCAGGTTCCTGAGGGGCTGCTCCGACTCTCAGGAGAGGCTAGTTATGGAGATCATTGCTGATGCCCCTGGAAATGGGATTCAGGATTAAAGTTAGGTGATGTGTCCAGGGTCCTGCAGCTCATCCATGGAAGGGCTCTGTTTCCCGCCTAGTCCTCTGACCTGCATTCAGGCCCCCTCTACTGGCCCTCGGCAGCAATCTGGCTCCGTCTCACAGCTACCCACTTAAGAATCTCCCTGCGGACTAGAGGTTCCATCCCCAGCACCACAAAAAAAAAAAAAAAAAAAAAAAAGATTTTTCTCTGCTTGTTCTTTAAACTACCCAAGAGATAAGCATTCAAAGCTTTAAGTGCTTGGGCTGGAATAAAAGAGAATAAAATCATAGCATTTGTAGGTAAATGGATGGCGCTAGAGAAGATAATGCTAAGTGAAGTTAGCCAATCTCTAAAAAGCAAATGCCAAACGTTTTCTCTGATATAAGGAGGCTGATTTATAGTGGGGTATGGAGAGGGAGCACAGGAGGAATAGACAAACTCTAAATAGGGCAGAGGGGTGGGAGGGGCAGGGAGGAGGCAGGGGGTCAGCAAGGATGGTGGAATGTGATGGACATCATTATCCAAAGTACATGTATGAAGACACAAATTAGTATGAACATACTTTATATAAAACCAGAGATATGAAAAATTGTGCTGTATATGTGTAATAAGAATTGTAATGCATTCTGCTGTCATTTGTTTTTAAAAGATCAATTTAAAAAGAACCCCTAACTTGAAATTACTTTTTTCCACATATAAATTGTATTTAAATACTTAGCTGTGTTATGTGATCACTGTGATCTGTCCATTGCTTTTATTTTTGCTATTTCATCTCATATCACAATTTCCTTCCTCTGATCACACTAATACCCTTGAAGATGCTCTGTATGTGGGAACCAGAATGTTACCTAAGTCTAACCATAGGTGTGTATCTTGCATTTGACTTCATTAAATTTAATTGCATTTACACAGAAAATTGGTATGATGCATAGTTTAAACATGAAGAAAAAAGATCATTTTGGAATTCTCTCAAGTGTTGCTGTGGTAGAAGAAGAGTCAGGCAGATGCTCTTTTTATACCACTATTTAGGTTTAATCTAAGCAAGTGAAATTTACCTTTATTGTGAATGTTAAAGCTTAATGTAAAGTCTTTGTTGATCTATTTGTATGCACATGTAATTTTTTTCTTATAATCTTTGGCTATTCTATGTTTTTTGCTGTTTTGTATTAAAGTAATCACATTTGGGCTGGGGATGTGGCTCAAGTGGTAGCGCACTTGCCTGGCATGTGTGCGGCCCGGGTTCGATCCTCAGCACCACATACAAACAAAGATGTTGTCTCTGCCGAAAACTAAAATGTAAATAAAATATTTAAAAAAAAAATAAAATAAAAATAAAGTAATCACATTTTTAAAAAATATATAAATAAATAAATGCTTGGGCTGGGGTTATGGCTCAGTGGTAGAACACTTGCCGTGCATGTGTTAGGCACTGCTTTTGATTCTCAGCTCTGCATATGAATAAAATAAAGATCCATCAACAACTAAAAAAAAAAAATAAGCTTTAAATGATGGACAGTGTGAAACACTATGCTATTTTCTTAGTTGTCAATGGACCTTTATTATTATTATTATTTTAATTTATAGGTGGTACTTAGAATTGAACCCAGTGCCTCACACATGCTAGGCAAGTGCTGTACCACTGAGCCACAGCCTCAGTCCACTATTTTTATATATTTTAGACCAGAAAATTCCAAAACAGCAAGAAGACTCATGGTTGAGGCTGCATTGAAATTGTGCTACTCACCATTGGTGGTGGCTGAGCAGGTATAAGTGTCCTGCCCAAGGTGGCCCAGCTAGTAAATGGCAGAGCTGTCATCTGACTCAGGGTTGATGCAGCAGATCTTCAAGCTGCTCTCCCACTGCCAGTACCACAGCTCAGTTAGAAAGTAGTTCCATTACTGGGCACAGTGGCACAGGCCTGTGATCCCAGCAGCTCGGCAGGCTGAGGATAGGCAGGAGGATCACAAGTTTGAGGCCAGCTACAGAAAATTAGTGAGGCTCTAACCAATTTAGTGAGACTGAGACCCTGTCTCAAAATAAAAAATCAAAAAACGGTCTGGGGATGTGACTCAGTGGAAAAGTGTCCCTGGGTTCAATCCCCAGTACCAAAAAGGGGGAAAATATGTAGTTTAGTCTTACAGAAAGTTTCCAGTGGGTGCCTTTGGGTGAGGAGAATCAACTCCCTCTTTCTACTTTTCTGTGTTTTTACATTTTTATAATCATTACGTTTTCATTTTGTTCAAAAATGTTAGTGGTAGTACAGCACCTGCCTAGCATGTGTGAGACGCTGGGTTCAATTCTAAGCACCACGTATAAATAAATACAATAAAGGTCCATCAACAACTAAAAAAAAATATTAAAAAAAATCGATTGAATGGTATATATTAAATACTATAAAGATGGTCACAGCCTTTGATTCAATATTACCATTTTAAGGAATTTATGCAAAATAAGTGACCCAAGGGGGAATAGAACCACATGCTCCAAGATATTAATGACAGCAGTGTTTATTGGAAGTAGTTGGTGAGTAAATTAAATTGTAGTGTTTTATTTGTTGTTGTTGTCATTTTTTGTGTGTGAATTGAACCTTTACTGGTTTACTTTACTGCTTTACTGATGAGCCACATCCCCATCTCTTTTAATTTTTTTTTGAGACAGGGTCTCACTAAATTACTGAAGCTAGCCTTGAACTTGTGACACTCCTGATTCAACCTCCTGAATTGCTGGGATCACAGGCATGAACCACTGTGCCTGGTTAAATTATAGCATTAAAAATTTTTTTTTTAGTTGTAGATGAACATAATACCTTTATTTTATTTTTATGTGGTGCTGAGGATCGAACCCAGTGCCTTCCACATGTGAGGCGAGCACTCCACCAAGGAGCTACAGCCCCAGCCCTAAATTATAGCATTTTAACTGATAATTTTGGGGACAATGCAACTAGATTAAAAAAAAACTAAAGTAAAGTAGATAAAGCAGGATGTAAAAGTGTGTGTGTGATGATTAAAGGTACATATATGTATTTGGATACATTTGCTCAAAGCTTTAAAGGAGAATAGAAATCATATGAATAGGTAAGGGGTTTGGTAAAGGGTACTGGGTCTTGAACACCCTCTCATTTTCTGTGTCTATACTGTCTTCATAATAAAAAGAGGAAGATATTCTATTATTTTAAACTGTCAAAACAGTGGTCTCCATTTTCACATTCCATTCTTTTGCTTCAGAAAACAGCAGAAAAGAATCTTCTGGCCGAGCTATACCAGCCTCCCAAATTTAACGACTCTGGGCCCAACAAGCTTCCCAATGGAGTGGACTTCTGCGACATGGTGGGCAACGTGATTCGGGCAGAGAAAAACACCTTGAGTGGCAAGGTAAGGAAAGAGAGCTGGCAGCTCACCCAGCCAAGGGCCAACTCTGGCCTATGGGAGGGGTGGCAGGGGGTGGGCAGGCACAGTTGTCCCCCTTTCACAGCCTAGGAGGGACTGAGGATTCTGCTCAGGGCCACATGCTCCAGGGGACTAAGCTGAGTGAGTAACCACAACTCAAGTTCACTCCAAAACCTCGATGCCTGGTCTCCAGGGGGTCTTGATGATCCTCTGATTGCCAAAACATCTGGAGCACGCGCCTTCATAGGTACATGTCTTTTTTATAATTCTGTACATGTTCCTCTGACAGCTACTCCATTGCATATCGGTGAGGTGAACTTTTTTCCTTAATCACACAATTAGCTATAATATTTTCTTCCTGCCCCCCCCTGGTGATTACAGTACCCTGAGAACTTGCTCAAGAGCCTGATGGTACCTCAGGAGGGGAGGATGCCAAGCCCAGGGGACCCACGTGCTCATGCTGATGGGAGAGAACTGGAAAGAGGCCAGCAGAGGAGGACACCAGGAAGTAGCCCCAGCAGCTATACAGCTGGGCCTCTTCCTCCATCACAATTGCTTAACTCCTGTGTCCCCAGAGCAGCTCTGGTCATTGTCCCCCCAGTTCTTAACTAGTTGCCCTGCCTTTCCTGGGACCCAGCATCTTGAACCATCTCTTCTACCTTTACTTCTCCACCTACCCTCCCCTTTCTCTCTTTCTCTTTCCCTCCTCTCCTCCTTCGCACTCTCCTTCCTGCCCTTCTTCCTGGCCTCTTCCTACTGCTTGGCTGTGGCCATGTCTGAATCAATCCCATCTAAGCGAGAGGAGAAATGAAGGTACACAGCCCGGTGGCAGACACCAAGGAAGCATCCAATAAATGTTGCATGTTATATTCTGACAGTGGCAGCTTCAGATCAAGGGCAGGGTTCAGACCGGTTACATAACAATGAAGCTAAATTTTCTGCTGCCCTGAGCTCATAGTTAATTTTTTTAATTTTAGAATTCCATGCCCTCCCTCCCTCCCTCCCTCCCTCCCTCCCTCCCTCCCTTCCTTCCTTCCTTCCTTCCCTCTCTCCTCCCTCCCTCCCTCCCTCCCTCCCCCTTTCTCTCTCTTTCTTTCTTTCTTTCCTCTTTCTTCCCTCCCTCCCTCCCTCCCTCCCTTCCTTCCTTCCCTCTCTCCCTCCCTCCCTCCCTTCCTTCCTTCCCTCTCTCCTCCCTCCCTCCCTCCCCCTTTCTCTCTCTCTCTCTTTCTTTCTTTCTTCTTCCCTCCCTCCCTCCCTCCCTTCCTTCCTTCCTTCCTTCCTTTCACAGTGCTGGGGATAAAACCCAGGACCTCATGCATGCCAGGCAGGCACTCTACCACTGAGCCACATCCCCAGTTCCCATATGTTTATTATTAACTCAGAAGAATCTGATGAGCCAAGTAGTGAAAGCTGCTAACACAGACACAAAAGCCAAACTCAGTGAAGCACTAGAGTCAGGAATACACAGACAACATTGGCTCGCAACTTAATGTGAATTGTTGATATTCAGGACCAAAAGATGATTTATATAAAAAAATGTTTCGGTGTGGGGGGGGGGGGACTGGGGTTGTGGCTCAGTGGTAGAGCACTCGCCTAGCATATGGGAGGCCCTGGGTTCAATCCTCAGCACCACATAAAGATCAATAAATAAAATAAAGGGATCCAATTACAACTAAAAAATAATTAAAAAAAAAAAGAAAAAATGTTTTGGAAGCCTGAGAGCTATATAAACAATAGTTCTGAAAACAGAAAGGAGTATAGAGGAATTTTCTGGTCCAGTCTTTTTCGTTTGTACGATATCTACAGGGATTGCTGAAGGTTGTTGTCAGTTGGCCCTGGGGGTGACAGCTGGAGCAGCTGGCATGGAATCCCGACAAGAGTTAGTGTTCCAGTCCTGGCTCGGCCACTTGCTGGCCATGTTACTCTAGGCCAGTGCTCTCAGCTCGTCGGTCCTCAGTCTCCTGACTTTTCTAGCCTCTCATTTCCTAGTCCGTGATGGTGGATGTGTATCATAAGATTATCGAGGGTTAAACGGGAATACATAAAACACCTGGCTTAAGGCCAGGCAAATTGTGCACACATACTACAAGATTAGGTGGCTTTTTTTCTTTCTTTTTTTTTTAATATTCTTTAGATGCTAATGAACCTCTATTTTATTCATTTATTTATATGTGGTGCTGAGAATTGAACCCAGTGCCTCACACATGCTAGGCAAGCGCTCTACCACTGAGCTACGACCCCAGCCCTGAGCAGCTTTTTTGATGACTCCAAAGATGACTGGCAGGAGATGGTGCTCTTTGTAACGATAGCACGGGCGGAAAGGCAGGTTTTGAGTGAAGACAATTATGAATCTGGTTGCGGTTCAAGGTGAATTTAAAAAATAAATATAATATAGATTTTGTGTTTTTCTTCCCCAAGTCTTTCTGTTCAGAGAGTGAATTAGAGAAGTTTCTCTCTTCTCCTTCTCCCAGAACCTTGTGGCTGGATAGCTTTTGGTGGATGTTTCATGAAAGGTACCAGGTAAATGAGGAACTGATTGTTTCTTTGGTTTGCTTACTTTTCTTTAGAACAAATTCCAACCTCTTTAACCTGAGCTACCAGCTCCTTGGATCCCGTGGATCACCCCTGCAGGCTCTGCTGTCACTCTGTCTCCTCCCTACTCAGGTCTCACCTGTGGACCCCGCACATCATCCATCATCCAATGTCCTCTGGCTCCCCCAAGCTTTAGGAACTAGTCCACATTAGGTGACTGGCCCAGGGCAGTGCTGAGAATAGAACTCAGGACCCATGACCCAGAGTTGGTGTGCCTCCTTCAACAGCACACTGCCTCTGGGCACACGCTTTGTGACTCTGATGCCAAAGATGAGTCGGTTATTTCATAAAGCATGTGGGGTTCATTAGCCGGAGAAGAGGATCCCTGAAAGTGAGAGTCATGCTTGGCTGTCTCAACAAGGGACTCAATAATTCCTTCCCCAATTCTGTTCCTGGCAGCCAAACAAGGAGGTCCAGAACAGGCTTCTCGACAGGATAGCCCGGCACTATGCCTTCCTCTTGTTTCATCAACCCAGATCGCATTTCGTGGAAGCACTCTTGAAAGTGAGTATCATCCACTGCCTAGGAAAACATGATGTTGGGTTTCTGTTCACCTCTAGTGTCGAAGAGCATGCCCTAAGCATCCTTTACATAAAGCAGTGAGTAGAAAGTTGTGGTATCGTCGCCTTCTTCACAACTGAAATACTCAGGGTCACTCCAGGTGAACTGGGCTGCACAAAATAATCACACAGAGACAGAGATACCTTTTTCTTTGGGTCCTCTGACCTTAAGGTGGGGATGGGGGGTGGAAGGGTGGAGAGAGAGAGAGTGGGAGGGGCAGATGCTGAACCCTCCCATTGAGGAGAAGCCATTCAAATGAGGCAAGGGGTCAGGTTTCGGGGGATTGAGTCTAGCTTTGTGATGTCTGCTGACAGCAGGTGACTGACATCTAGGAAAGCCACACCCAAAGGCAGAGCAAGAGAAGGGGACATACAAAGGGCATTTCCATGGAACATTCTATCCCAAATAGGGCAAAGGAGTAGTATTACAAAGGAACAGGTGAATGTAGCACCTGAAGACACTCCTTCTACTTCCTGGGCTGGGACAACGCCCAAGTCACCACGAAATGCAATGATTGGTCAGAGCCTCTTGCTTCAGGATGGAAGGCATGGGTCACTCAGAGTAGTTCCCCACATGGTATCTCTGTAGCCCACTTATAATATAGCAGCTATGAAAATATAATAGAATTCTACATACCCACAAGGAGAGCTATAATCATATATTTTAAGTGAAAAAGCAATTCATACAACTCTATGTTCAAATATATACACAGTCATGCACCATAAGTGACAGTTTGGTCAACAGTGGATTGCATGTTATGGCTGTTGTTGGGAAAAGTATAAACGGCAGCCATACCCCAGAGAAAAAACCCCAACATGGCGCCTAAGCACCTCTTCTTCCTGCCTTCTTCTTTTCTGCAGTGGCGGGAAAAGTTCCTGCCCGTGTGAACTCTCCCGCCGGCGCCAATTTCAAATCTCGCTGGGGGGGAACCTTAGCCCCAATGAGAACTAATTCCTGGGCTCCGGAGCTGATATCTGAAAGAACTTGCCAATAAACGGGTTGCCTGCCATTTATCTAAGCCCTACCATCTCCCCCTTAGTTCTATATAAGCACACAGCTTTTTGCAATAAAATTGGAATTCTCCCGGCGAAGTGTCTTTGCGTGGGGAATTCTTTCAGCTGTGACATGAGATTATATTTCCCAGGGACATCACAGCAGTCAGTTTATGTAAGTGCACTCTGTGGTGTTCATTCAGTGACAAAGTCAACCAACAATGCACTTCTCAGAACACAGCTCCATTGCTGGGTGGCACTTGACTGTATGTGTACGTGCCAAAGAAGAGAAGAAAATTTGAAAAAATATTTACCAAACTCTTAACAATATTTAAGAGGACTGCAGTTGTGAGAGTCTTCCCTTTTATATATTTCTGTGAGATTTAAGTAAGCCTGGAATGTTAAAATTAAAAGTGTGAACATACATATGTACTTTTTAGATGTGTGTGAACATAAGTACTGAAGGGATTGCTGGGAGAAAACATGACTGAATACTTTACATGACTGGGGTGAGGGAGGGCTTTCTAAATATGACTTGGAGGAAACAAGGGAGAAGACCAATAATTTAACTATATAATTTTAAAAAATCAATACAGATAAAATTAAGAGGCAAATGACACACTGCAAAAATCCTGATGGCACACATGTTAGACGATATAAAGGCCCATTACCGCCTTGGCCAATGGTAACAGGGGGATGTATCTCTTGCCATCTTGTTGGCTGCACTTTGGCCAAGCTGCAGAAGGGGCTAACGGCTCACATAAAGGAGCTCTGGGGAGGGAGGAGGCTATTGGCCAAACATAACTTGATGGGTGAGGAGCAACCCTCTTATAGGATAAGGAGATGTGGAGGCAGCGGAAGACAGACATTACTTCCCTTAAGAATAGGAAGTGGGGCTAGGGATGTAGCTCAGTGGTCAAGCACTTGCCTAGCATGTGCAAAGCCTTGGGTTTAATCCCCAGGGCTGCAAAAACAAGAAACAAACAAACAACAACAACAACAACAAAAAACAGTCAGGGCTGTCCCCAGCGCATCTTGGTGGCACATGCCTGTAATCCCAGGAGGAGGCTGAGGCGGTAGGAAAGAGTTCAAAGCCGCCTCAGCAATTTAGTGAGGCCCTAAGCAACTCAGCCAGATCTTGTCTCTAAATAAAATATAAAAAAGGACTGGGAATGTGGCTCAGTGGTTTAGTGCCCCCTTGGGTTCAATCTCCAGTGCCAAAAAAGGAAGGAAAAAAAATAGGTCCGTGGCACAGTGGTACTCGCCTATAATCCTGTGATTCCAGGTTGGGGCAGGAGGATCACAAATTCAAAGCCAGACCCTCAGTAATTTAGCAAGACCCTGTCTCAAAATGAAATGTAAAAAGGACAGGGGATATAGCTCAGTGGTAAAGCACCATGGGTCCAATCCCTAGTACTGGGGCGGGGGAGGGGGGAAGAGAAAAAAGAAAAAAACAGCAGGAAGGCAGCTTCTCGATGGAAAAGAATTTTAGTGCAGGTCCTTTCTGAATTCAGGGCTCTGACATGTCGAGAAGGTTGCCTGAGCTCTGCTTGTCCCCGTAGAGGTTGCCGTCACTTTTGAGCAAAGCCCTGTACACCAGCTTCTGCTGCTGCTTCCCGCAGTCCTGGTTCAACACCCACGAATTCAAGTCGGACATCTGCGACACCATCAACCTATGGATGACAGGTGAGAGCTGGCTGCTGCTCCCGGGGGCTGCAGTTCCGGAAGGATGCTGTCCACCAGAGCCCAGGTGATTCTCATTGGCCATCACATGCCTTCATCAGGGCCATCTTCCTTTTCTTTCCTAAATACCAACGAGAGTACAGTGTCTGGTGAGAGCCCAAGGAGCATGAGTTTTCCCGCTGCCTCAAGGCAGTCCCAAGACACCCCTTCTAATCCAGGTTTGGGCCCAGCTACATCTACAGGGAGCTTCGGAGCCTCTCTTAACACATACCCAAGTTTCAGCTCAACCCTGATAGTTAGCCACGTGCCATGGGTTGAAGGATTCAAAAGCAGTAGCTGGTTAGATAATCCCAGCTTTCTACCCTCCATGTGACCAAGGGGCCCACCATGGCCTCTCCATCCAGCACCCACAGCCACCCTTCAGTGCCCTTCCCCACTGCCCCAGCTCAGCCTAGACATTGCCTAAGGTCATTGAAAACTTCTATTTATTGCAAGGTTCCTTTGTGCCAGATTCTGTGCCAAGTAAGCACTTTTAACGTGTCCTCTTGTGCTGGGGTTCCCAAAGTCCCCCACACACATTAGAAGAACTCACGGGTCTCAGCACCCAGCTGTAGTCACGGCTGAGCTTTATGAATAAGGATGCGGTAAGGCTGGATCCCAGGGTGAAAGACAGGCTCCTTTGTGCTGTCCCCCTCCCACAAAGAGTCCCACGCAGTTACTCTTCCTCCTGCCATGAAAATGTAGCAACTTGTATGTGATGTCGTTGTCCATTAAAGATGCAGTGGCCAAAGTTTCATCAGTACTTCTCACAGTTCTAGAAAAGAAGGTGTGTGGCATAAGCCACACCATGCAATCTGGGCACAGTGAGCCCTCTTGGTATCAGAGGAAGTTTTGTATCAGTGTAAGGAACTGTTTACCTGCCAACTTCCCAGCCACCAGCCAAGAGCCAGTCTAGCAGGCTTTTCTAAGGCCTCTCTAAGGCCAGCAGTCTCAGACCTGCTGTGCTAATGTTTTTCTTTTCTTTTCTCTGTTTCTTTCTTTCTCTCTCTTCCTTCCCTCCCTCCCCCTCTTCTTTCTTTTCTTTTCTTTTCTTTTCTTTCTCTCTCTCTCTCTCTCTCTTTATTTCTCCCTCCCTCCCTCCCTTTCTTTCTATCTTTCTTTCTTTCAATTGAACCCAGGACCTCATACATGCTAGGCGAGCACTCTACCCTGAACCACAACCTCAGCCCCCACTAATGCTTTTCTCTCTTTTTTTTAATTAATTTTTTAATTTATATGACAGCAGAATGCATTACAATTCTTATTACACATATAGAGCACAATTTTTCATGTCTCTGGTTGTGTACAAAGTATACACCAATTCGTGTCTTCATTCGTGTACTTTGGATAATGATGTCCATCACATTCCACATCATGGTTTTCTGAAACCCATTTAATCCTCTTAACATGGAAGATCAATGCAGTCCAACAGCAAAGGAGGGGCAGGGATTAGTTCCAGGGCTGGCCCCTCCCAAGCTAGGCCTCTGACCACTGTGGCATTCTGCCTCCCGTTCTCTGACCCTCGCCTTGCTCTTCCTTTTTCCCAGTCTTTTGCCCAAGGCTTTATCTTCCCCAACTCATCCTCGGTAATCAAGCTCCTGTCCATTGGTTTTGTCCAAGGAACCGCGGCTTTGCTCAGGGGCCCAAGTTTCTTAAGGATCCTTAGAAGCGTCACCATTCCTGAGAACCCATTTCTGACACTTAACTGAAAGTGTCATAACACATTTAACAACCCTTTTTTTTTTTCTTATTTCTTTTCCTTGTAGTGCTGGGGACAGAACCCAGGGTCTTGCACATGCTAGGCAAGCCCTACCTCTGAGCTATATCCCCAGCTCCTGCTTAACATTTGCTCGCTACTACCTATTATGCACCAGGCCCAGCAGGAAACCCTGGAGGCCAAAGATGACTAAGACCCAGCCCAGGCCACCAGAGAGCTCATGGTCCAGCAAATCAGGGGCAGTGGGGGAAATGAGAACTGTAGTGCCTTCACATTTACACAGCACAGGAGAGTCACACACCTGTCATCTGACCTCAACCCAGCCATCCATTTGGCAGGGAAGACAGGGGAGGCAGGTGGCATCAGGCCCCATTTTCCAGACGAAGACCCAAAGTCCTCTAGAGAGGAAGTGACACCTCCAAGGCCACAGGCCAGCCTGGGGTGGAGTGGTACTGGAAGTCCCACCGCCCCAGAACTGGCAGGGCCTCAGAGACTCTGTCTTCCTCTGTCCTGGGTGGTCTGCCTCCCTTCTTTTTGGCTAGTGTCCTTTCTGGCTCTCCACTCCCTTAGGGACATATCCACGCCCCCAGGGCTATAAGAGTTGGGACTACTCGGAACTGGATCCAGAGAGATTCCGGAGAGAAGAATTAATTTTACAGAGAAAACGACTGGCAAAGGGTAAGATACCAGTTATAGGTCCCTCTGCCTTCTGCCACACCCAATACCATTTATGGAGACAGAGGGAGTCAGAAAATTGATGTCCCCAGGCCAGAGTCTCTCTTAGGGACTCTCAAACCAACTGAAATGTAAGTGCCTATGAGCTGTGGTTAGAGTTCATGCAGCACGTTTGTGGGCTGGGAGGAAAGGGTTTGATTTTCAAATAGCAGATTCCTGTGAACGGGTGTCCACGGTAGGCCGGCACCGGGCCGGGGGCGCTCTCTGTTTTATTTCATCCTCTTGACAACCTGCTGCCACACTATCCATCTCACACCACAGTCAGGAAACTGAAATTCAAGGAACACCTTGCCCCGGGTCACTTGATTTTATTTCACTCAACAGTCACATCACAGGCCCTGTGCTAACCACTAAGGGGCACAGTGGTGGAGGTAAGCCAGGGCCCTGTCACCATCCATAATGTAATCATGGCACAGTGGCTTGGGCACTGTGATGAGGGGCACAGGATGCAGAGGCAGCACCCAGAGGCATGCCCAGACAGCCCACCATGGTCAACGAATGCTCCTGACTGAGATCTGAGGGTCTCAGGCAGGGGAAGGAGAGGACTCATGTGGTAGGAGGAGCAGCAGCAACGTCTCAGGAAGAGTGAGTCAGGTTTGCTGCATTGTCCAAGTCCCCAGTGCAGCTGGGGTAGCCCAACCTGGGCTCAGGGAAGAGAAGACTGCAACCCTCGGCACGGAGCAGGGCACGGCTCTTGTCTGGAGAAGCTGGCACAGCCACCGCTTATTCAGGCCAGACACACTCATCCGTCAACTTTCTGAGCCTTCACGATTACTTACCCACTTAGCAGACAGGCTTCCCAGTGGGCATGCGCACACACGGATCTTTTTTTTTTTTTTTTTTATTAACACATTAGTTGTGGTTGGACTCAATATCTTTACTTGTTTATTCCTATGTGGTGCTGAGGATCAAACCCAGGGCCTTGACTGTGCTAGGCAAGTGCTCTACCGCTGAGCCACCACCCCAGCCCCAGGGATATTTTTCAATGTAGAAAAAAAAAAAAAAAAAAAAACCTAATTTTAATTGTCTTCATTTAAAAAAATTCCAGTGTTGCCTATATTCAAATTTAATGACATTTTAATGAATATTAAGTTTAACATGTTATGGGCTTAATAGTTGTTTGTCATTTTTTGTGGTACTGGGGATGGAACCCCAGGGCCTAAGCACACACTCTTCTGCTGAGCTACAGCCCTAGATTTTCTTTTATAAGGAAATTCATTCATTTCACCCCACATTTACTCATTGTGATTTTTCTAGGGTTCCAGGTTGTTTTTCTTTGGGAACCAGTCCTTTTTTTTTCCCCCATGAGAGTTGCATGCTTGCCTGCACACCGCCCTCTCCAATCCCTGGATGATATTGCCTTTAATTAGCTGGACAGCCCTTCATGATAGACAGTGTTCAAGCTCAGGATCTGAGAGGTGAGGTGACTTGCTGAGGTCACTCAGCAGGTGGAAGGCACAGAGAGGCTCCAAATTGCCTGAGCCTGAGGGGAGAGTTTGGTGGGGGTGGCTTGTGGAGTCCCTGGTGGCAGGAAGGGACTGTCTCCGAACTCCTGGCTTCAATCTTGGCATCCCATGGCCAGAAGGGACTAAAGAACAGCTTCTTTCCTTCCTTAGGAAGATATTTCTCTTTCTTCACTCCTAAGAAGACGTTCCAGGGCAGGAGATCCCACCGCCCTCAGGTAAAGGGGAGGACTAGACCGGGACCCCTGGACGCTCCAAGCTGCAGACACCTTGGATCCTCTAGAGCATCAGTGGCCTCTTGTCAACAGCACATCTCTGTGCCCCTGCCCTGGTTCTACCTCATCTTTTCCGTGAGGGGTCCTGTAGGCCGCGATGGCCTGTGGATGAGTGGAGCACTGAGGGGCCACCACAGAAGCACAGCAGCAGGCCAAGCACAGTGACACACACCTGCGATCCAGCTGCTCAGGAGGCTGAGGCAGGAGGATCGCAGGTTTGAGGCCAGCCTGGGCAACTTAGCAAGACCCCGTCTCAAAAAAAAAAAAAAGGACTGGGGTGTAGCTCAGTGGTAGAGTGTCCCTGGGTTCAATCCCCAGGAGCACAAAAAATAAAATTAGATAAATTTAAAAGAAAAAAGAAAAAGAAAGAAAGGAAGGCAGTCAGCAGTGGGGGAGCAGCAGCGCAGCCTTCTATCCTGGCTGCCATGCCTGGGGCTTCCTGCCTCTTCTTCCCCAGCAGTCCCCAGGGCAGACCTACAGCCTGGCCATCACCTTGACCCCTGCTCTTCCTCTGTCCTTCCTCAGTGTCCCTCCTATAGGTGTTATATTCTCGCCTTTTCAGTCCTGCCACCCTGCTAACTGTATCTCCTGTGGCAGCTGCCGTCCCCCGACCCTGAACGCCTCCTTACAGCCCAAACAAAACACCTCTCACTGCTGGTGTGGATTTTCCTGCAAGGTCTTATCTGGGCTGGTCCAATCCATCTGTACCCACAGGCTCTGGGGGCTCCTGCCACAGGCCTCTTCCAGTTCCTGTGGGCACTCCACTCTCTGCCCAAACGCGGCCTCTGTACTGGATCATGCTGGTGTCCCGGGTGAGTTACCCTCTCACCTGCCCTTGTTAGCATTTTTCCTAGAAAAGTCACATGGGTAGCATGCAATTAATCAAATGCCACAAATCACAGCCTTTTTTTTTTTTTTTTTTCTGGAGAGCTGGAAAAAACAAATGTCCAAGGCAGAGTCTGGTGAGATGAATGAAGCCTTTCCCTGCTTCTGTAAACAGAATTATTGTTCACTGCCAAGCCCACTTATTTACTATCTCTGTACTGAAATAGCAGAGTTGAATATAGTGATTACTGAGAACCTGAGACTGGCAGAGATGAATATTATTATCTGACTTTTTTTTTCTTAGAAGAAAAAAATTTGCTAATTCCAGGTCTTTCTTTCATCTTCTTCTTCTCCTCCTCCTTCCCCTCCTTCTTTTGTTTTTGAAACCAGAGGCATTCTATCACTGTACTCCATCCCCAGCCATTTCTATTTTATTTTGAGACAGGGTCTCACTAACTTGCCCAGTTTGGCCTCAAACTTGCAATCCTCCTGCCTCAGCCTCTCAAGTCGCTGGGATTATATGTGCCCCTGTGCCTGACCCCACCGCAGGACTTCTTAAAAGACTTATCTGTCCCCACATCTCCTTTCCCCACCTTGAAAGTGTGCCTCCAGTTGGGGCCCTAACCACGCTGGCCATTGGGCCACTCTTGCCACCTGGAGGGTCAGTCCTACAGAGGGTTTCACAGGATAGGGCATGCCCACTGTCTTTTTTTTTTTAATTACATTTTTAAATTAACACATAATTGTCGTCCATATCAGTGAAGTACAGTGATGTATTAACACCTGCATACAGGGTTCTCACATCCGTGTCATCAGCATTTCTGTTTCCTTATTATTTCTCTAGTGTGGAGCCTTGAGTCCCTCTCTTCTAGATCTTGAGGAAATGAGCTCTTGTGAACGACCCCACTGTGCTGCACGATGCCTTCCTTCTAACTCTCCTGCTACCAGTTATCCAACCTCTGTCCCACTGCCTGGCCCTGCCTGGCCTCTAGGGATCACTCTCCTGCATTCAATGGACCTTTCTTTTCTTTCTTTCTTTTTCTTTTTTCTTTACTGTTTTTTTTTTTTTTAGCTCCCACATGTAAGGGAGAACTGCTTTTCTTTCTTTTTCTGGCTTCTTTCCCTTGTGTATCCAGTTCCATCCATTTTGCTGCAAATAACAGGATTCCATTCCTCTTCCTGTTGTACACATCCTGTTTTCTTACCCACTCGTCCCTAGATGGCCACCTAGGTTGATTCCATGTCTCAGCTATTGGGGATAGTGCTTCAAGAAACCTGGGAGGGTGGGCACCTCTTTGATGTCCAGATTTTGCTTCCGTTGGTTATGTACCCAGAAGTGGGGTGGCTGGATCATATGGTAGATCCAGTTTTAGTTTCTTGTCTTTTCTTTTTGTGGTACTGAAGCTTGAACCCAGAGCACTCTTTCTCTCTGAGCTACATCCCCAGCCTTATTTTTAGTTTTTTAAAGACCCCCTCCCCACCTATTGTTTTCCACAGTGGTTGGACCAGTGCTGTCCGTTGTTCTCCTGGTAACGTGGCTCAGCAGTCCTGAACACGCATAAGGCCTGGATTTGATCCCCAGAAATGTAAAAAAAAAAAAAAAAAGTTTCTTGATTTCGTGATTCTGTGTTGTCACACAGTTGCCAGACCTTCCTTTGTCGCTCACTGCCCATCCTCAGTCATCTCAGGCGGCTCCCTATCCTGCTGATCCAATCTGTCCTGGGTCCCCCTCCCTGCTATATTGATTTGTTCTCCCTTAGTGACCTCTGCTGGTTTGGTGGCTTCAAAAGCTATTCATATGCTAGTTCCCCCCAGACCTTCCCCTCCCTGGCCTCTCTCAGACCTCTCTGTGGGCTCTCAGCTGCCCTCGGCCTCTCATCTCCCAGCTGTCTCTAGGAGAGACCTGGCTCCTTTTATCGGTAGCCCCAGCCTAGTGTCCACACAGGAACCAGAAGGATTTTTGCAGACAGACATTAGGTGGGGCCATTCCGTGCTTAAAACCTCCAACAGCTTCTCATTGCCCTTGGAAGAAGATCTGGTCTCGTTCCACGGTGTGAAATGCCCTGCAGAACCAGCCACCATGGCCTTCTCTCCCTTGATACCTGACCATCAGCCCACTGGATGTCCCTGTGCCCCTTGGACGCCCAGACATATGCCCAATGGGCCTTCGTGCTCCTTGTCATCTTTTCTGGAAGGTGCTTTCCTCTGGCTTCTGAGGGATGTCTGGTTCCTCCTGTGCTTCTGACTCCAGCTCCACTGCCCAGGCTGCCCCGACTCCCCTGCCCCTCACCGCCCCCAGCCCACTCCCTTCCTCTGTCCCGTGCTTGTCCTCTTCCACACGTCCAAGGGTTCAGGTATTGTTTAGGACGCCCACACCTTAAAACATAGATACGCAGGCTCTCCTTGTCCTCCGTCTCCTCGCCTCGTGGTCTCTGAGGACAGGCCCAGCACAGAGAGCACCGAGCAAAGCTCTCTGGCCTTCATGAATGAGGTCACATACTCACCTACGAAGCTCTTGGCTGCGCTTAGCATGTGATGGGGCTCTATAAATGTCAGCTCCCAAAAGTACAGACGGAACAGGTGCTGTGGAGGGACACTTGTCACTCATAGATCAAGATCAAAATATTATTCAGTGTTTGGGTGCTGCCTGTCACAACTGCCAGAAACAAATGCATTGCTTTGTACTGAGACATGTAAAGCCTTCTGACAGTTATTTCAGCAGCTCAGTGAAGAGATTCAATTTTCTGCCCCTAGAAACACAAATGACAGAACACTCTGGAACCTTGAAAACAGCTGAAGCATTAGTGGCCAACCAGGATGGAGGGGGTGACTCCTGTTGGAGGCAGAGCTTCTCTGAAAAGGGTGTCTTGGAACTGCTGTGAGGCAGCAGGAAAACTCTCACTCACTGTCCTGTCTGCTCAATGGAGTAGCTGGTGGTGTTCAAAGTATGCTTTCCAGTGGCCACAGACAGTCTAAGAGTTCATAATTCAGAGGTGTGAGTTCCAATTTCTCTAGGACTGACCTGCGGTCTGCCCTTGGAGTGTTAGGGATTTGCCAGGAGTGAGAAGTTATCTGCCAATCTGGCTCCTTCTGAGAGGCTCAGTTGTAAATTAGGGCTCCTACCTGTTGGAAACTGAGTCATTCAATTGTTTAGTGAATCTTAGAGAAGGCAGTGAAACGTGGTCTCTGTAAGGAGGAATCAGGGGTATAGGGGTTCTAAGGGGTTCTAATACCCCTCAGGAAGTGCTTGCTACTCCTGAACTATTCAAATTGGTAGGAAAATAGGTTTTATTCAAATTCTACTTTGAAGGAAGATGGAAGAAACTTAATTATTTCAAAAGTTCCCTCTTCACAATCCTGGAAGGTGAGCAGGATCTTAGAGAAGAGGCAGGGGCAGGAAGTGAGACAAAAGGCAGGAGATGCACGTATGCAGGTTTAGTTAGTCCTGCTGCACGGGCCCCAGCGGGCAGCTCAGCTCCCAGCTGCTTTGACGCCTTGTCTGCAGCAGAGGAAGGGTGAAGAGCCTCCGTGTTCTCTTCTGCAAACTGAGCCTCACAACTGGTATCACCTCTTACAGATTCTATCTGGGGATAAATAACATCCCATAAATTGTTGTATAGTCATGTCCTGTGAGAATGTCTCATGATTCCACCCCCACCCGGGACTGGGGACTGAATCCAGGGGTGCTTTACCATGGAGCCACATCCCCAGCCCTTTTTATTTTTTATTTTGAGACAGGGTCTCACTAAGTTACTGAGGCTGACCTTGAACTTGCAATCCTCCTGCCTCAGCCTTCTGAATTGCTGGGATCCCAGGCCTGTACCACTATGCCCATCTTGTTTTGGAATTTTAACCAGAATTTTCCCAAGTTCCAGAGCGTGGTCATTAACAATAATGACCTAAATTCCTCCAGCTCCTTCTCATACCTGTGCAGCCCACTCCTTTCCCTGGCACCTGTAGGCATCCCAGATTGTATCTCATGGTCGCTCCAAACAGGCTCCCCCTGCTCCTCTGTCCCCATAACCTGAGCCCTCAGCCAGGTGACCAAGTGAGGTGAATCAGCCCTGTCTTCTCTGTGCCGGGTGAGGGCAGTCTTCCTTTACCTTGATCCTAACCATGGTCACCTTGCCTCACCCACACATGTGTGGCAGCTGGTCACAGCCTGAGAGAATGGGTGGGAAAGTGCTTTACTTGCAAGTGGAAAGGTGTGGTCATTAGGAGAGTCCACCGCTGCGGGTTTCTTTGCACAGGCCTAGCCTCTGCCAAAGCCATAGCCTCCTGGTCCTTACAGCAGCCCACAAGGAGGGTAATTAGTAACTGCTACCTTTATGCAAGAAAGGAAGAAATAGACCCGAGAGGTGAGTGACCTGTCCCAGGTCACTGCGTGTTTGTACATCGTCCTGCCCCTTCTCCCCCAATGGGAGGATCTACTAACTTACGCTCAAGCTCACCTCCTCGCACTGTTCTCTCCTCTGCTAGAGATTATTACAGGCCTCTTAAGAATGAATGTTGAGCCGGGTGCCGTGGCGTACTCCCAGCAGCTTGGGAGGCCAAGACAGGAGGGTCGTGAGTTCAAAGCCAGCCTCAGCAACTTAGCAAGGTCCTAAGCAACTCAGTGAGAACGTGAGACCGTGTCTCTAAATAAAATATTAAAAAGAGCTGAGGAAGTGTGGCTCAGTGTTTGGGTCCAATCCCCAGTACCAAAAAAAAAAAAAAAAAAATGAGTGTCGATGTCTCACTGAGCCCTGGGAGTGCTTCTTACAAACCCCGGCCACAACCTCAACACCTCGAGCACTGGACACACAGCTGCGTGACTTTCTCCTGCCCACTCAGATACCGTATTTATTTACCAGCAAAGCAGTTGTGGTCACTCCTGGTGGACTACTTGTGCGCCACTTGGTGGGCCATTTGTCAGACACCACCAAGCTCCTACTCGTCCTCAAGGACAGAAAGCGAGCGTCTCCTCTCTTGGAAACCCTCCAGCACCCTCACACAGCCCAGAGTCCCCCGCTCGGACTCCACGGTCCTCTCCGCGCTGTGTCAGAGTAGCCATGGCTCCCCGACATCTGCTGTCCTCCTCATCTATAAAGGAGCACCTCTGTCTTTTAACTGGGCATCTCATGGCCAGAATAAAGATGGTACTTCCTAGTCTCCCTGCATACACGTATAGCCATGTAACCACCTCAGTGAGAGGTAGGCAGAGGTACCATGTGGCAGTTTCTGGAAAAATTTCTTTAAAATCTAACTTGTATAAGCCCTTCATCTCTGTGTTCTTTTACATCCTGCTGCCTGGAGTGGGAAAGTGATAACTGGCACTCTAGCTGCCATCTTGGACCCTGAGAACGAAAGTCCCATCTTAGGACGAATGGAGCAGTGAGCTGGAAGAAGTCAGAGTCCCTGAGGGCTTGGCACAGTAGAAGTCCTGCCTCTCTCCAGACTTTTATGGAGGAGATCAATTTCTACCTAGTTTGACCCATTATAATTCTGAGTCTCTGTCACTCACGTCCCTAACATGATCCTAATTTATTTCCCCTAAGGAATATGGGCTACCTTCTATGTTTAGTGTACTTTTCGACCTTCTCTAATCTCTGCTGCTAGAGTGGGAGCCATTCTGGGCAGGGACGAGGTTTATTGACAAGGTTTCAGTGACTGCCTGTGCTAGGCTCATGAGCAGTGGCTCAAAGAAAAGCTGAGGAAGGAGGCAGGTTGCGAGACTGCTAGGCCAGGGGGCAGTGCCCTGGGAGCCCCTCTGCCAGCCAGCGAGTGCTCCCTCTGAGTGACCTGGCTGAATCCTATGGAAACACCCACCACAGAGAGGCTCAAGGACTGGCCCAAGATCGGCAGTCTCCGCGTGCAGAGCTGGGTCTGGAAGTCCACTCGCCCCGTCCCCACCCCGTGGGCTCTCCGCTAGGCCTCTTCTCTCTGCCAGGACTGCCTGGATTGTCAAACTGGGCCTGAATGGTCCTCTTCTGTGTGTTCCTTGCTGAGAAAGATGAGGAGTAGCTAAGAAGTCGCATTATTCCTCTTGCTACCAGTTTCCTAATGACGTTTTCTCCGTTCTCTCCTGGAGTCTTCTATCACACCTTCGGCCAACGACAGAGTCTCCGCAGCCAGGCTGAATTCAGGAGAGAACCTGCGAGCCCAGAGTGCTACGAGAGGTATGCTGACTTCCACAAAGAGAAATGGTGGCTTTTGACTTGGTTCTTATCTCCCAAACCCTAGTTTCTTGGGTCATTTTGAACACAATTTGCTCTACTCTTGTGGCTCTAGCCTGCACCTTGGCACCAAGCAGCCTTCATGAGAAGATATGGCTGTCTTTTTGGTTCAGTGAGCACTGATCAAGGAAAATGGTCAATTATATTTCTTTTGTGTGGCCAGATAATTCCAGTTTCTGTTGCTTTTTCTTCAATCCTGAAGACCCAGGTTTCCCCGAGCTCTCATTTTCCTCCCGTGTGAAAACAAAACTTCCACGAGAATTTCATTTAAAATAGGCCTCTTACCGTGGCCTGCCGTCCCTTACTTTTCTTCCGTCTGAAAATGTCTTTTTTACACCTTCATTCTTGAAGATGTTTTCCTGGATGTGGAATTAGGGTTGAGAGGTCTTTTCCCTTAGCACTTGGAGTTGTTGGTCCCGGCTGGGGGCGTGGCACGAGGACCTTGGCATGAGCAAGGCCCTGAGCTCATTCCCCCTCCCGCCCCCCCCCCCCCAGATGTCGGTCCGCAGCCTTGCAGTCCCTGAGGTTCCCGATGAGAAATCCAGCCCGTCAGCTCTTGTCCGCTTTTGAGCGATGTCCCTCTCTCTCTGTCCTCAGGACCCCGCATGGTCTTTCAGCAGACTGATCAGGATGAAACCCTGTTCACATGACATCACAGCTTCTTTGGGGCTTACAGAGTTTCTTTTTCTTTTCTTTTTAAATTGTAGACGGACAACATACCTTTGTTTTATTGGTTTATTTTTATGCGACACTGAGGATCCACCCCAGTTCCTCAGGCGGGCCCAGGCGTACTCTGCCCTGAGCTACAGCCCCAGCCCCATTACTGAGTTTCTTAAATCTATGTGTTTTACCCAATTTGGGACTTTTTCAGCTATTATTTTTCATTTTTTTTTTCTTTCTTCTTTCACTTTGGGACTCTGGTGACACAAACTCTGGACCTTTTCATAGTGTCCCATAGGTCCCTGAGACTCCACTTTTTTTTTTTTTTCTAATTTTTCTTTTAGATTGTTGGGATTGTGTGGCATAATGATAAACTCTATTTGGCATTTGTCCCAGTTCCTGGCACAGAGCCCCTTAAGCCTTTGTAATTTCCAGAGTGAAAGAAGTGACTTGTTCATAATGGGTCTTTTTCAACCACACTGAACTCAGGCCAAATCTTAGGGTGCAGCCCCTAGGGAGCGTGAGGAAGAGCATTGGTCACCAGAAAGACTAATATACGTCCTGGCCCCATCCCCAGCCTCCCAGGAGGAGAGGTCTGCCAGAAGTGGATCACAACAGCTCCAGGACCACCACGTTGGACAGCTCCGGGCTGTGCGAGTGTATGTTGTGTGTATGTGTGTGTGTGTGCCTGCACCCGCAGGGCATCGGGCAGAAGAGGGCAGAGGACCCCTGCACCTCCAGCCCTGAGATGCCTCTGAGCTGGGAGATACGAAGGAAAAACAAATCCTTGTGGAACCAGGTTTGCATCTGGATTTCCTTCCAGTTTACCTGCTACTGTGCCTTTTTCAGAGTCCTCAGACAGTGGGGCCGGGGGTTCTGCGTAGGGTTTTTAGCTGCATTCACTGAAGAACAGAGTGGAATGCGCTTATTTCATCTTAACCTAATCCAGATTCCTGATTTTTTTCATTCTATCTTTCTTACTCCGTTTTATTCTGTTTTTTTGGAAAGTTCCATATTCTGTTTACATTCTTCATTGCAGTGGATCTCAAACAGAGACATTTCCCCCCAAGGAATGTTTAACAGGGTCTGGATATAGTCTTGGTTGCTGCCTCTCAGGGGCAAGGTGCTACTGGCATTTAGTGATTAGAGGTCAGGAATACTGATGACCATCCTCCAGTGACAGGACCTTCCCCACATCAGACAGCCCTCTGGCCCCTGACCTCAGTAAAGCAGAGGGTGAGGAAGTTGCTTTATTGTGAGCCTGTGAAATCCTAGCATGCATATTTAACTTTATTTGAAGTTAAATAATGACTTAGCCCAGCCCCTTTCCTGAACCAAACAAAGACCTCAGAGCCATGTAACCCCACCCCTTCCCCACAGGCTGAATGCATTATCGTCCCCAACTCTCCCTCAGTGCTTTGGTCATTTTGCTTGACTGTTTTCCGGTTCCATTGCTATTGCTGAGAACTCTGCAGTTGTTCTGATCACCTATTTAGAGATGATCTATTGTTTCTCTACTTATCTTTGAGATATTCTCTGTTAACATTCTGTGCAAGAAAGCATAGTTTTGTGCCAAGGTTGGACCTTTTTTGTCCCTTCCTTCCTGTTGCTATTTAACTTTTTTTTTTTCCTTCTCATTTTCTTCTAGTACTAGAGATTGAACCCAGAGCCTTGTGCTTGCCAGGCCAGTTCTCCGCCACTGAGCTACATCCCCTGTTCACTGCCTACCATTTTTTAAAGACTTTAGGCCTGTTCTTCTTTATTCTGTGGCCACACAGTATCTGGAGAATTCTATCATGACACCTGAGTTAGTGTTACATTGATTATTTACATGTCTTTTTTTCCCCCCTCACTAAACTGGGAGATCCTTGAAGATAATCTCTTTCTGGCACCCAGAAAGTGCCTGGTGCATACATAATAGGTATTCAATAAATACTTTCTGGATGGATGGATGGATGAAAGAATGGACAGATATTAGATGAGTAAATGGGTAAACACATGGCCTGCAGGTGTGTATCTGGCTAAAAAGCAAGTCACATAAAACGCATTCACTATAGCTGCATCCACCAGAGTCTCTTTAATGATCCACATCCCCAGGCATATCCCCTTTACGGGGAAGCTGAGACCTAGACCTTGCCTGCATCGGAGCCGGCAAGCTTCAGTGATAATTCTTTTGCTGTATCACATTGACAGAGCATCGTCCGACCCTGGTCTTGAGGAAAGCCACACCACTGGTCAAGAGGATATCAGAAGCAAGAGAGAGTGCAAATCTGCTCACTAAAGAGGTAAGCACCTGACTGGCAGAGTGATTTAAAAAGGGGGTCAGAGATGGGCTAGAAAACCTAGCTTTATGACAATGTCAGGCTAAGAACTGGGGTAGTTCTGATTTTAACTCTCGTGCTCATTCAGGAAATCTCCTAAGGGCAATTCCAACATTGACAGAGCATTTTTTGTTTGGATTTCTTTGGGATTCAAACCACCTGCTGGAAACTCAGGAACCTGTGTATAGTGGAAGGAGAGCACTGAGCCCCAGTTTCCTACTTTACAAAAAGGGACACCCACTCAGAGAGATCATGGTGTTCTTATGAGGCTTACCTGAGGTCATGATGACAATTAATATTTAATGAACACTTATTGTGTGTTGGGCACTATGCTAAGTCTTAAAGGCACAGTGTATTTTATTTTGCTGTGACAGTCCCCTGAGATAGTCACTACTACAGTAACTAGCAGTGTGGAAAAAAAATGCTGAAAGATGATACAAATGTGGCCAAGATCACAAAGCAAAAAAGTGATATGACTTAGACTTGTCTGTCAAGAAATGTCAACATTTTTAAAAATAGACAAATTTGAATATTTTTGTTGCTATTTTGCTTTTTCAACTTAACATATAATAGGTAAAATTCATTGAGTGTTGACTGTGTGCCAGATATTGTTCTAATAACATTACATATGTGTATAAATTAATTTGATCCTCACACAGCCCTAATAAGTTTTATTTGTTGTCTCCATTGTATAGATGAGGAAAGTGGAGCTCAAAAAGAGTAAATACTTTGCCCAAATTCAAATAGCTAGGAAGTGGTAGAGCCAAGATTTTTTAAAAGATGAAGTTCATATGCCATAAAGTCCAGCATTTGAATGAATGAATGAATGAATGAATGAATTTCTGCAGTGCTAGGGATCAAACCCAGGGTCTCACATGTGCCAGGCAAATGCTCCACCACTAAGCCACACCCCAAGCAGTGTATAAGGGGTGGTTCATTCACAGAATTGGGCAGTCATCACCCCCAGAACATTTTATCACCCAAAAAAGAAACCTCACACTCCTTAGCAGTCATATCCTAGTCCTCTCCCCAGCCCCCAGAAACCCACCAATTCACTTTTGGTCTTGTGGATTTGCCTATTCTGGACATTCCATATAAATGAAATTATGTAATATGTGGCCTCTCGGGACTGGCTTCTCACCCTCTGGTTTGTCTGTGCTGTAGTATGAAAGTACTTCATTTCTTTTTATGGGAAACTATTTCACTACATGAGAACACCTTATTTTGTTTATTCATTTACCAATTGATGGACATCATTTCACTTTTGGCTCGTGGTAATGCTGTGTCTGTGAACACTCATGGAGTTGTTATGTGGACAGGTCTTCTGTTTTCTCTGGTGTACACCTAGAAGGGGGGTTGCTATGTCTGTGTCTAACTTTTTGAGCTCTGTCTGTTTTCCATAGCATTTTGCCATTCTCCATTCCTACCCGGTGTGAGCATGTTGGTTTCTCCACATTCTCACTGATGTTTATTTCATTTATTTGATTGTAGTGGAAAGGGGGTGTCTCATTTGACTTGCTTTGCTCAATGACTGATGGTATAGAGCTCCTTCTGTGCTTATCAGCCACTTGTGCATCACTTTTGGAGAAATGTCTATTCAAATCCTTTTCCCTTTTCTTAAAAATATTTTTTAGTTACAGTTGGACACAGTATCTTTATTTTATTTATTTTTATGTGGTGCTGAGGATCGAACCCAGGGCCTTGCACTTGCTAGGCAAGCACTCTACCGCCAAGTCACAATCCCAGCCCCTTGTCCTCTGTTCTTAACTCCTGCTCCACTTGGGCTGCACAGCTGCACCTGGCTCACATCCGCTTCAGGGTTCTCTGCCTAGAATGTCCAGGGATCCTCCCCCAGCTCCCTATCCTCACCTAGTTTCAGCCTGCTAGGATCTGACCCAGAGGCAGCCCTCCCTGACACCCCCTGGAAAGTGGTCCCCTCAGCCTCCACTCTTCACCCCTTGACCTCCTTGCTGCTCATTGGTCACAGCCATGTTGTCCTTCCAGTTGTTGGCTTAGCCTTTGTTTTCCTAGGATTTGTCTTGTTCTCTGCTGAGTCTTCAGTGCCTAAAGTGATGTGCAGACCTAGCAGTCAGTCAATAAATATTTGCTAAATGAATTGTTCACATTTTGGTAAATATCTTTCCAGTATCATCCATCTTTCATTTTTACTGATTTATTTAATATATTTATTATAATTATATTTCTTATCCTGTTTTGCATCTCAATTTTAAAAATTTTACTGTTATACCTGAAATACTTTAGGTTATCAACTCTTCATAAACTTTTTTTTCCTTTTTATAGTGCTTGGGATGCAACCCAGAACCTCACATGCTAGGCACGCACTCTACCTTAACCTAGGTCCCAGCCCCATAAGCATTTTAAAAGTGATTTGCTGCTCCTTCTGGTGGAGATATCACCGTCTTCTCCTTAAACATTTAGCCTATTCTGAAATGTCTGCTGTGTTTGGTGACCATCTCTGCAGCAGACATCTTAGTGCCTGAAGCTTTTCTCTTTACCTTGGTTATGTCCTTAGGCTGCATCTTAAAGCTGGAGTTATGGGATGGGAGGATGGGAATGCCATCACGTTTCTTAATATGTGCTGTGAAGATGGCAGTATGCTTTATCTTTCCCTCTTTCTTTCCCCCTCAGTCTCACCCTGCCTGCAAAAAGCCCGAGCCGTCGGCAAACCTCTTCAACGTGTACGGGAAGAGCCCCCTGATCGTCTACTTCATCCACCGCTACCTCACCCTGCTGCATGCCGGCCAGGATGTGTTGGTAGTGAGGAGGGAAAATACCACGGTCATCCCATATCCTTATGGCTGTAGGCAGGGCACAGGTTGCTCCAGGCAACCTCTTCCAGGAAGTAGGGGTCAGCAAAAGGTCCTCAGGCTGTCACTCAGAGCCTGGCACAAGGTGGGTGCTGGCCAGGGGTAGCCACGACAAGAGCCTCAGTCTCAGGGTCCCCCTCATCCTAATTCCAGGTCTGGAGCCACCTCCTGAGCTGGCAGGGTAACCCCAAGCAAGCTGAACTTCCCTGTGTGTAAGATTTTTCTTTTTCCCACTTACCGGAATGAATAGGCTGATAGTCCTTATTTTCGGAAGCTTAGTTTAGGAAGGTCAATGTCTTAATCTACTTATTCCTAAACTAAGTATAGTTATACCAAACTAATAGTGTCATGATTAAATGGCACATGGGACGTTTAGAATTGGTTCCAGAGACCAGGTCTGTTTGGACCAATAGACCTATGTCATTCCAAACAGAACCCAAGTTCTGATCCCCATGGTAAACTGCCAAGACTCAGCACCCCAACACATGCCATACCTGTTTTCTTGAGATCTGAAATTTTTACCAAATCTTTAGGATAAATAGAAAAAGGGCCAGGAATTTGTTGGTGGCCTTGGGGAAAAGGGTATGTGTATTAGATGAAACCCTCACACCGACACCAAAATTGCTGATCAGTGCTGTTGGTCCTAACCCTCATCATTATTATTAACATCATCTAGAGTAGGTATTATTATCCCTATTTTACAGCTTAGGAAATGGAGACATAGAGGATGACTTTTATTTTGTCTGAGGCTTGTGATAAGCACAGCTTAGATTCCATCCAATCAAGAAGAGGTGGAGCCCTGTAACCCCAGCAGCTCGGGAGGCTGAGACAGGAGAATCAAGAGTTCAAAGCCAGCCTCAGCAGAAAGCAAAGCCCTAAGCAACTCAGTGAGACCCTGTCTCTAAATAAAATACGAAACAGGGAGTTCAGTCCCCAGTACCAAAAAAAAAAAAAGAAGAAGGTGTGGAGGGCTGGGGGTGTGGCCCAGCAGGAGAGTACCTGAGCATGCAGGACACCTCCCATCCCCAGCACGGCCCCCACCCCCCAAAAAAAAGAAGAAGGAGGGATGGAGGAGGGCTGGGGACGAGCCCTGGGTTTAATCCTCAACGTCACAGAAAAGAGTGGGCCTGGAGGGCATGTGGAGCAGAGAGGCTCTTCAGCATGTGACAGGAGGTGGAGCATGGAGCCGTGGCCAGAGGGAGAGGAGGGCCTGAGCCCTTCCTGTCCACCAGGTGAGCACATTAAGGATCCCAGGTGGCCTAAGACGTGCTGCCTCCCCCATTTCTTCATCAGGGCAGAGAGGACTGGCTCCAAGGAGAGAGCTGAGGAGAGCCTCTTCCTTCCCGAGCAGACCATGGCCGCAAGTCCTCTGCTCAGACGCCAGCTGTCCTGTCCAGAGCCCAGGGTGTTCCCCGGCTCTGCCATCCCAGCTGCCTCAGCCCACACATCAGGCTCAAACCTCTAAAAATGCAAGACACAAACACAGTCCAACAGCACAGGGTCTTCCTTGACCATAAAAACCACCGAGTCCACCCCGATGTACGCCGATGTCATCAACTTGACCCTGAAAAACATGAAGATGCGAAAGGAAAAACTCAGCAAGCTGATCGAGTTTCACGTGAAGGAATGGAATTCTTTCAATAGTTACCTAAATGAACTGCAGGACAACTTCTTGAGGTATTGGAGGGGCTTCTGGGCGGGCCACGGGTCCAGCCCTTGTCCCTTGCAGCACATCATGTTGCACCGAGGGCAGGGCTGGCTTTCTCTGCGGCGCGAGCATCCTCAGCTCTCCTGGGGTAGAATGGGAACTCCTCAACTGCAGAGACTGACCTGGACTTTTAAAAGTTTTCTTGGGGCTTGGCGCAGACACACTTAATCATGACAGGCTCGTGACAGACATTCCCTCTCGTGCTGAGTTCAGAAGTCTCAAGCCTTAGGCTTTACGTCCAGCAGGTGCCCACTCAGTCCGACCGCAGTGACCAGGTCTGGAACAAGGCAGGCTTTCCCTGGCGTGGAGTGGACGGCCGGCTGAGGAGAGGGTCGCGGAGAGAAGTTGCGGCTGTCACCAGGGTAGAGTTTGGAGCTGTGAGGATCACACAGAGGATCGGGAAGGATGACAAGTGATGGGATGTCAGGTCCTCAGCAGGCTCTCCAGCTCCAGTGCACCCTTGTTTCCGCTGGCTGAATCCCTGCTCATCAGCACTTTCATCGTTAAATACCCCTGCTCTTTGTTGGATAAGGTGTAGCTCAGGATAAAGCCCAGTGCACTTTGTATTGATAAAGTGATGCTCAAAGTTTTGCCTGCAGATACACAGTGGTCACCTTAAAACACATCTGTGTCACTAGACTCAGGGCACAGTGACCCTTGAGGGGGCTTGGGGAAAGATCCCCATTGTTGGAATTACCACTGGTTTAGGCCAAGTTCAATGCTAGCTTCTTACCAGTCTATAATTTGAGCCTTATGATCCCTGAGTACTGGACCCCTTCTTTCCCCATGGAGCCCGGGGTCTGGTATCAGTGACTGGGTCATTGTTGTGTCAACCCGGTTTCAGCCAATGTTCCTGGCAGGCTAAGGAGCTTGTAAATATTTGCCCAAAGACCACACCGCCTGTGTCCTCCTCGGCCATGTGTGTTGTTATTTTCCTGCAGGGAGGTGACAAATATCGATAAAAAAGAAGCAGATAAAAAAAAGGCCTCTGCCTTCCTCCCACCTGCGCCCGGCTGCCGCCCCGAGGAGCCCCGGAGGAGACTCCGAGGGAGCGTTTTCAAGGAAGATGCGTTTCTTTCAAGGTTTGTTCAAACAAAAACTGGGGGGAAAGTACAGGAATTCCCAGTGAGGGAAAGAGCACATAAAAGTTCACTTTCTTTTATGTTTTATTCACTCAAGAGTGATTTTTTTTTTTCAATTTCCAAGTGATGGTAAAAGCTACCAATGGTTTTGCGTTTCTGTGTGGAGCACTGGCTGTTTACTTTATGAACTGCTTTCTTTTTCTTTTTTCCTGCACTGGGGGGCGGAATCCAGGTGTGTTCTAGGATGCCAGCCTTTTTATATTGAGACAGGACCTTGTTGAATTGCTGAGTCTGGCCTCAGACATGATCCTCCTGCCTCAGCCTCCTCAGTAACTGGGGTGGCAGTGTGCACTGCTGTGTCTGGCTTTGTACTTTATGAACTGTGTGGATCAGAGCTCTTTGGTCACAAATGCTAGGAAGCCGGCTCCAAGCGGCCTACACAGCACATTCCACCCAAGGGGGCTCCGCGACATTTTCAGGTGCTCCGTCCTTGACCCTCTCGGCCTCCTCCCTCTGTGTGCTGACTTCTTTTTCAAGCTGCCTCTGACAGGCACCAGGTCCCTGGACCTCCTGACAGCGCCTGGCCCACAGTGAGGAGAGCCATCCTCTCGGCCTCACAGGCCGAGCCTCACTGAGGTCTGAGGCCCTGCACATCCCATCTGGACCAACACCCTTTGGAAAGCAGTGCTATAATTAGCCCAACCTGCTGTCCCTGTGACCGAGAGTGCAGTGCACAGTCAATGACACGGGGTAGAATGGGTGACGGAGACAACTTGCCCATTTTATTTTATTTATAGCTCCTCAGATGCTATTTGATGCTATCACCTCCATTTTTACTGAATAGGAAATTGAGGCCCGGAGAAGCCAAGAAAAACTTCAGGGAGGACCAGCCATACCAGGTTCCAAGGATACAAAGACATAAGGGTTAGGATTAGGGTTAGGGTTAGGGTTAGGGTTAGGGTTCAAGTCCTTGACCTCAAGGGCTCCCATTCTAGAAGGGGACACAAAGCTGTGAATAGTTAACATGAGGTACAAATGCGAAACTCCCAGGCAGTCCCAGGAAGTCCCAGAAAGTCCCAGGAAGTCCCTGCTCTTCTGCACAGAGTGGGCGGGGCAGATCTTTGCTCATCAGGGGGCAGTTTGAAGAGCTCGCCCCTGGGTGTGGCTGATGGAAGGACAGGAGGGAATGAAGGGCAGCAGGAGGCCATAGGCCACACCCTCTGGAGCAGCCTTCCAAGATCTCTAACAGGAGCAGCAGTCAGATCAACATTTTGTTTTTGTCAAACAAATACGTGCAGGTGGACTCTAAGAATCACGCAAACCTGTCCAGCTTCTGAGGCCCAACAGCAGCCCCTGCCCTCCCCTCCCCGCCACCCTCCCCACCGTGATTACCATCCCCTTGGCGGCTTTTCTGGGATTCTCCTCTGTTGTCTAAATAACATGCTTACACATGTAGTTTGTGTTTCCTTTTTCATTTTAGGCCTTATCTCTAGATATTTTTTGGATTGCTAAAAGCTATCAAAAGCCAAGCAAGGTTATTTTCCATATTCTCAAACGCATCCTATATGCCACGGGTTTATTCCTTGATTCAGTTGGTCCCACAGTTCTCTCTCAGGTCCTGACCTCCTCCTGGCGGCCTGTGGCTGCAGGTGAGCTCCAGCCGACCACTCGGGACTTTTCTCTCCCTCACCTGCCACTTCCCCCTGTCAATTTGACCTGTTGGGGGTCACTGTTTTCGGGCCCCATATCTGTCTAGTAGCTCCTGAAGAAAAAGTATGCAGTCAATTTTCCCAGTCTCTCAAGTCCAATGTGTGTTTTTTTCTTAATTAATAATTGTTAACGGGCTGGGGATGTGGCTCAGCAGTAGAGCACTCTCCTCGCACGCATGAGACCCTGGGTCCGATCCTCAGCACCACATAAAAATAAATAAAGGCATTGTGTCCAACTATGACTAAATAAAAAAAATAAAATAAAATATTAAAAAAATAATTGTTAACTATTTTTCTGGGAATAAAATTCTAAAATACAAATCTACTTGCCACAGAATTTTGACCTTTCTTCCCACCTCCTACTTGTGCTGTTGGGAAGTCTGATGCCATTCTGATTCCTATGGATTTTATGTCACCTCCCCACCCCAAGGGAGCTCTGAGGATGTCATCTCTATCCCTAGCAGGTGAGGTCTCACAGTGACCAGACCTGGCACCAACCTCTTTCTTGGTGTGTTCCAGTGGGGTTCTGGAAGGTTGTGTCCTTCAAGTATGTGAAATTTTTTTTTTTTTAATCATTTCTTTGATAGTGTCCTTCCCTTCATTTTCCTAGTTCTGTTTTTCTGGAACTAAGCAGGACTCATGAAATGGGTTCTGAAGTACTTCTCTTCTATTTTTTGAAAATTGGTATTAATTCGTCTCTGGTAGAATCCACCAGTGAAGTCACATGATCCTAGACTTTTCTTTTTTGGAAGGTTTTTGTTACCGGTTCAGCCCTCTTTCTTATATAACTCTATACAGAATTTTTATTTTTTTCTTGAGTCACTTTTGGAAGTTTGTATGTTTCTGGGAATTTTTCATTTCATTTGAGTTTACTTATTAACATTCATATTCTCTTATAAACTGATTTATTTTTGTAAGATCAGGGTCATGTTCCTCTTTTTATTTCTGAATTTTCTTATTCCTTCTCCTTTTTGTAGTCAGTTGAACCAAAGGTTTGTTAATTCTGTTGGTCTTTGAAAATAACTAGCATTTTGTTTAATTGACCCTATTTTTTTTAGGGGGGTACTTGGGATTGGACTCAAGGGCACTGGACCACTGAGCCACATCCCCAGCCCTGTTGTGTATTTTATTTAGAGACAGGGTCTCACTGAGTTGCTTGAGCTCACAATCCTCCTGCCTCAGCCTCCTGAGCCCCTGGGATCACAGGCGTGCACCACATAATACAATATATACTATTTTTTTTAATTCTCTATTCACCTTCTTGGCACTACTCTTTATCAGCTCCTTCCTTCTGGTAGCTTTGGGTTTGGTTTACTCTTCTTTTCTAGTCCTTGAATGAAGTGGTTGTTGAGATCTCTCTTCTTCACAAAATGTGGCTATGAATTTCCCTCCAACTCTTCCCTCCAACTTGACCATCCTTCAGCCATTTCTTCACCTGGTCCTCAAACCGGCTGAGCCACCAGCACTGTTTTTGCTTCAGGCCATCAATTTTGTTGTGTTGTGTTGTTTTCATCTCAAAATACTTTTAAATTTGTTTTGTGATTTCTCTTTTGAGTCTCAGCATGTTCTGTAGAAAGGAGGGCAGTGAGCCCAAAAAGAAGAACGGTGCTTTCGTCAGCTACTAAAGGCAGGCCTTCAGGGCTCCTGGGGACAGTCCCCATCCTGTAGCCCAGCAAGTAACATTCTGAAGATCCACACCTGGAGCTGCAGGTGGATGCAGAGCGTCAGCGAGCAGTACAGGTTTTCAGCTGCACCAGCGCATGTCACCGCCAACAGGTGCAGGACCTGCCCCTGGCTGTGGCTGGGGCAGCTTTCCCATCCCCTCAGAGAGATGCCTCCTGCCCATTCAGTCAGTCTCTGTCACTGCCTCCGTCCCCGGGACCCTCCCTATGTGTGTAACATCACCACTTCGTTTCAGTGGCCAGCGGTCAGTCACATGGTGATAGCTGCAAGAGAGGCTGGAAAAGTAGGGTTTTTGTTTTAGGGTTTTTTTTTTTTCAGCTTAAAAAAAATCTGGACCCATTGCCATCTCAAAAACTGCCTTGTTTGCTAAAGAAAAGAGGGAGAGTGAGCTGGTGCACACCTGATTCCAGTTACTTTGGGAGGCCCAGGCAGGAGGATCACAAATTCTAGGCCAGTCTGTGCAACTTAGTAAGGCTGTGTCTCAAAGTAAAGTTTAAAAAGGGCCTGGGGAAGTGGCTCAGTGGTCGAGCACCTCTGGTTCAATCTGTAGTACCACAAAACAGAAGAGAAAAGAAAGAAAAAGGGGAGTCTGGCCAGTGGGTTGGTAACCGTCTCCGTCACCAGTAGATGGTGATATACTGTCCGTTTTTGAGATGAAGAATCAAAACTTAACAGGGTTAAAAATCTTGCCCACGGAAACCTTGTAATCCTAAACCTTCCATTTTTTTTTTCCTCTGAACTGAGCAAAGACCACAATTTTTTCTTTATTAGAGCAGGTTAACTTGAGTCAAGAAATCTTACAGGATTGGCAGTGGATCATTAAAAACAGATCTTCTGTGACTGGGGACATAGCTCAGTGGGTAGGGTGCTTACCTCACATGCACAAGGCCCTGGGTTCAACCTCCAGCATCACACACACACACACACAAAAAAAAAAACAAAAAACCAGACTTTCTATTATCCATTTTAGAGTCTTGGAAACAGAAAAGTCAACTAATTCACCAATATTATTGCTCTTCCCTCCAACTTGACCATCCTTCAGCCATTTCTTCACCTGGCCCTCAAACCAGCTGAGCCACCCTCTCCTCCGGGAAGTTCCCTGACCACCCACTCGGTGGCCCATCATATCCCCTGTGCTCTCCTGAAATGTTCTGCTCTAGTCATAGATTTGCTCGCCCACCTCTTGTGGGATTGTCATTAAGTCAGGAACCTCGTCCTGGATGCCCCTGTCTCTCCAGGGCCTAGGCCAGGGCCTGGCACTCCTAGAAGCAAAACGAGGGGCACTGGGTATTGCTTAAAGCACTTCAGTTATTTTCTTCTGCCACCATCATTGACAGATCTGCAAACTTTTTCTCTCAACACTATCAAGATTCCAGCGAACCCTTTGGAGAAGTCACAGTGAATTTCTTAACCAGTTTTTGTCGATGTCTTGTTTTCCCACAGGAGGGAAAGAGAAGAGAAGCTGAGGTTTAACCACTCTCCTCTCTTATTTCCAAGTCCTGAGGACCCGTATCCCCTGGAAGTAGGAAATCCCTACAGCGCCCAAGATATTTCTGCTAACAGGTGGGTTGGAGAGCGAGGAAAAAGACTCTGTGCCCAAAGACTGAGAAATGGAAAGTCCCTGCCCTCCACATTGTAGTTTTTTCTAGGCCAAGAGGAGAGCAAAAGGGGGCATTGGATGCACGGGGCACCGCGTTTATTCATATATTCACTTTCACTCATTATTTTATTTAAAATGTTACATGTGACAGTGTCCCTCAGAGCGCGCCAGGCTGGGTGCAGCTCAGGGGTAGAGCGCTTGCCCAGCCCACCCAGCCCATGAGTCCCTGGGTTCAACCTCCAGATGAAAACAGCCCCCACAGGGTGTGATGACCTCAGCTCCTTTATCATTTTCCAAGCCGGCAGCCTGGTGCGGACATACCTGGTGTGGAGGTGGACCTCTCCTGAGGCAGGTGGCAGCACAAACCCAGGCCGAGAGGGGTCTCGCAGGTTCCCTGCTGTAGACAGTGGGGACTAGGGAGCGGTTAAGGTCATACTGCTCCCCAGGGGCTGGTGGCGGGAAGGCAGGTGTATCAACAAGTGAAAGGCCAAGGACCCAAGGGAGGTGGCCGTGGGCAGCCGGGAACAGAGCAGAGGCCCAGGAGCCAAGCAGAAGCCATTGAAGGGGTGATGTCTAGGACAGAGGGAAGGTGTGGGTGGGGCTGAAGGAGAGCCTGAGGGAAGGGGCTGGCAGAGCAGGGCAGGGCGCAGCTGGGAGGAGGCCAGCTACTGTGTGAGGAACTGCCAGGGGGCATGGCCATGAGGGTTTCCAAGTGTGGGGAGCCTCTGAAAGGTGACAAGTGGGAATCTTGTGGTCAGATTTAGCTTTTTGTTGTTACTGGGGATTGAACCCAGGGACATTTAACCACTGAGCCACAGGCCCAGCCCTATTATTATTATATTATTATTATTATTATTATTATTTTGAGACAGAGTTTCACTGAATTGCTTAGGGCCTCACGAACTTGCTGAAGCTGGCTTTGAACTCACGATCCTCCCATCTCAGTCTCCTGAGTCCCCGGGACAAATCTGGCTTTTGGAAAGTCCTGAAGGTAACTGGGCATGGTGGTGCACACCTATGATCCCAGCCCCTCAGGAGGCTGAGGCAGGAGGATTGCTAGCCTCAGCAATTTAACAAAGCCCTAAGCAACTTGGCAAGACCCTGCAACAATTTTAAATGCTGGGGATGTGGCCCAGTGGTTAAGTGTCTCTGGGTTCAGTCCCTGGAACTCTCCCCTCTCCCCACCAAAAAAGGATGCTGAAGGGGCAGTTTATATGTATGTTTTGGGAACTTGTAAAATCTCCCACAAATATTTACCTTCACGGGATACCTGGTCTGTGTCTCTCAGTCAGGAATACTCAGGCTTTCTTGCTCTTGTGTCCCTCAGTCCCTAAATATATTAATTATTAAGAGAGCATATACCAGGGCTGGGGCGGTAGTTTAGTGGTAGAGCACTTGCCTAGCACGTATGAGGTACTGGGTTCAATCCTTAGCACCACATGAAAAAATAAACACACAAAGGTAGTGTCCATTATAACTAAAAAAATTTTTAAAAGAGAGCATATACAATTATTTCTGTACTAATACACTGTGTAAGTTATAAAACATACAGAAATTTAGAAAATTAAAAGGGTGATTTAAAAATAGGCAAGGAAAAGGTTCAGTTTCTTCCCCCCCAACAACTCAATGGCTCCACCTTGTGGGTGGAGCGGCTGCTCTGCCTGAGCCCCAGTTAAAACAAGCAGGGAAAGGGCTCCTTTTTGGATTCCCCCACAGAAAAAGGTGGAGCTGAGGAAGCTTTGACTCTAAAAGGTTCTAAGGCTTGACTCCCTGCCCCACCCTTTATTTGCCCCATGACTTGAGGACAAATTTTCTAAGTTTTTTGTTTGGACTTGTTTCCTGTGGATGGTTGTTAGGTGTAAAACAATCTAAACTGCATAGAGTCTTGCCTAGGCCTGGCAATGATAAGCATTACATGGTTGTTTTTATTTTCATAGTCTTTGCAAAGCCTCTTACGTCCCTTTTTCCAGGAATCCCTGGGTGTGTGGTTGAGGGCCCCGCCCGGAACTCTGAGGTTCTCTGGGACCAGGACCAGGAACGCCTCCTCTGCTCCCAGGGCTCAGCTTGCTGCCAACCCAGTGCTGGGCCCAGAAAGGTGAAGCGTCAGAAGACGCACAAACTCTCACCCACAGGGAAGAGCCCTCCACGTGCCTCGGGCTTCACATTTAGACCAGGCACAGAATGGATCCAAAAATGTTCCTCTAGACCCCTTTCAGAAGTCCCTGAGGACTGGTGACCCAGACCTTTTGTAGGAAGTTAGAGTCCAGCATCTGCTCTTCACACAGTGAACACTGGAGGGAAACTGAAGGGAAGTGACCCTGGCCCTGAGCTGCTGCACGCTCAGAAGGGGCCTGTGGGGCGAGTCTATCTTCTCCTCTCCGGGTCTCAGGGGATCTGAGACTTGTGGTGGTCCAGACCCAGGCTCCTCCTAGGTCTCCCAGTGTCAAAAGAGGTCCTCCCAAAATGCACATCTCAGCCTGGGGCAGTACACCCCTGCAGCCCCAGCCACTGGGAGGTTGAGGCAGGAGGATCGCTGGAGCCCAATTCAGAGCCAGACCCCAAGACCCTTCTCTCAAAAGCAAGGAAACAAAAACAAACCAAAATCCATATCAATCCCACTACTCCTCTACTTAAAACCCCGTTTGTCCTCATTCCTCTCAGGACCCTAATGACAAAATCCACACTCTTCATGAGGTGGCCCCTGCTCTCCTCTCCTTCCTCGCCTCAGCTGTCTCTGCCCAGGGCCTCTGGGCCTGCAGCTCCTGCTTCTTCAGAGAGTGCTGAGGTCTCCTCCCAGGTGACCGTGTCGGACCTCCTCTGAGCTCCCAGGAGTCCTTGCTCCTTCCCCTCCCTAGAGTGTGTTTCAGTCACTTGTCACTGGCTGACTCCTTCCCAGTGCTGGAAGCCTAGCTCAGGCAACACCTCCTCCAGGAAGCCCACCCAGACGCCTGTTCTGTGCTCTGCATTTCCTGCACTTGCCCCACGAAATATATCTGACTGTGGTTGTGGAGTTGTCTGTCGCCTCTCTGCATAGTGAGTCTCTCAACCTCTGGGACTTTTTCTCATCCCAGGTCAAGTCCCCGATGCCCACTTCTGTGGCTGGGATCCAGGAATTCTTAGTGAAGAAATTGTCAGTTGCTGTGTGCTTAGCCTTCCACTTCCTTTAATTGCTTATAGAAAAAAAAATAATGTTACATTTTAGAATGTTGCCTCTCTGTACTTACATGTGAAGTTAGGAATAAATCCTCTTAAAATGTCACACTGATTTTTAAATTTTTAAAATTTATTTTTAAAAAATATTTTTATTAGTTGGTGGACCGTTATTTTACTTATTTATATGCAGGGCTGAGTATCCAACCCAATGCCTCACAATGCTAGGCAAATGCTGTACCACTGAGCCACACCCTAGCCCTCATACTGGCTTTTTAATCCATTTGTCTGTCTTTATGTTCCTCTACAGAGAGGCAGAAATCCCCAAGAGGTCAAAAACAATGCAGAAAAATGAACTAGTCGTCCTCAGCCTCTCTCCTTACAGTTCAAGGGAATCGAGCCCAAGAACGGAGAAAATCTTTACGGGTGAAGGCTGCTGAATTCCGTCTAGACAAGAAACGGCGAAACAGAAAACTAGTACTGTGATTTGGGACACGTCAATCATTCCCAATCCACCAGACAAAGAATAACATTAAAGTTCACTCCTACTGTGGGCTGAAGTCAGGATTTGAGTGGAAGTTAATTCACCTCCTTCATTTAGACATGTATTTACTAATGCTGTCATTTATCTATGTATTAATAATAGTTGAAGGAACAGGTGTTATCATATAACAATAAGAGTAAGTGAGCACCACCGGCTGCTGAGTGCTCCCCTAGTCCTCTGTAAACATTCTCTCAGTCTCCCCTCCTGGCAACACTCCGAGGTAGGTGCTGCCACCTCTCCCTCTCTCCCAGGAGGAACCGGGGCTTGGAGGGCTTGAGGCAGTGCGCTAAGTGTCTGTTCTGTGCCCTCCCCGCACTGGGCCCTGGGAATACTGAGGAAGAGAGCTGCAGTCCAACTGCAGAGTGCTGCCAATCAGGAGGAGGATGAAGGATGTGAAAGCCAATAAATACATAATGCTTTCAGAGAGAGAAAAATAAAGATAAAATAGGATGGGAGGCAGGGAAAGAGGGGAGAAGTACTAGGGAATGACAGTGGCCAAATTATCTTGTGTGCGCATAATGAATATGTAACACCAAATCCCATCGTTGTGCACAACTATAATGCACCAATAAAAATGTAGAAAAAAAAAAAAACCTCTTGCCTAATAAATGGGGCTCAAAGGGAAAGGGATAAACACAGCCTAATTCCCCCTTAAGATTGGGAGCCATCTCACCACAAAGGCATAAAAAGCTAATTTCGGCTTTACTATAAATTACTGCGATTTCTGCACTTGCTTGGAATGCCTGCCCGGGCCTTGGACTCACCCGTGCCTGGCTCTCTGACCAGATAGCAGCCCTCTCTGAAACTCTAATGACCCCATAAATTTTGATGTCGGGGCCAGCTAAAATATCAACTAGCCTTTGTGCTATGCTTGTCAAAATTTTGTTAACGGTAAGTTCTCAAACCCCCCTGTGTGTAACTTTCTGGGGTATAAAGTTGTGCTCCTGGAGAGCTGCAGGGCTGTCTTCTGTTCCTGCGGTTTTCAGGAGAGGCAGCCCGGCTGGTCGGAATTACAAGCTTGCTTTAATTTGATTTCAACTGGAGTTGGTGGTCTTTTCTTTGCGTTGTGGTCTAACAGAGGATGGAAGGGATTACAGAGAGATCTAGGGGAACTTGGGGTGAGGGAAATGCCCCATCACAGTGAAGGCTCTTGGACTTATATACCCCGTGTACTTTAAGTGCTTTCTCATATATAAATTATACTTCAATAAAGATGTTGTTTTTCTTTCTCCCTCTCGTACACACCATAGTTCCCAAGTCTGTCCATTGAAATGGCCTAGAAATAAAGAGTGAGCCAGCTGTAGTGACCCGGCCTGTCGTCTTGTAAAACCATCCTCACTCAAAGGATCCCAGTATCCTTGAGGGAATGATGGCCCCATATCCAGGGCAGGAGGGTCATGGGATGAACGTGGAAGTCTTACCACACTGGACTCTGACAAAAGTCCTGTCAGAAATATGCAGGAGCCATTTTAAAGAGGGTCCCATGCGCTAAATGATGAGACCATTTAGGCACTAGTATTACTACTACTAGCCATAGACTGAAGTACATCAAACATGTTTCACAAAGTTTATGTTGTTACCTTAAAGAAACTAATATAGGTCACCATTGAAGGATATTAGGAAATCAAATTGTTATTTTGAAAACTGGTAACTACAGGGAACGTGTGAGCATTTATCATGCCAGTACCACATAAACCACGTCACCAGGTAACCAGAGAGAGGGCGAGGGAAAGTTTTCTCTTTAGAAACATTCCAGTTAATAAATTGAGAAAGAATGATAGAATTAAAATATCATCATTTTGTAACCTAGTGGGTTAATGGATCTAGGCTGGTCGTTAATGGCTGCTAATATCCCCAAAAGATAAGCAGCCACCGAGCGCCTCCTGCTGGTAGACCTAGGACCACCTTGATCTGACCTGGACTCCAGATCCAGCAGGAAGTATAGAGGACAGAAGCGCAAATCTGCAAACCGGGGCTGTAGAAAACTCAAGGGGAGGGGACTCCCTTCTTTTTAACAAACCTCCAGAGAAAATAGAGGATCTATAGACTAAAAGAGGTTTAAGGGCTGTGGATATTGCTCAGTGTAGAATGCTTGCCTAGCATGCATGTGGTCTTGGGTCAGTCCCCAGTATAAAATAATAATAATAATATTTAAAAGGCAATAAGGCATGGTGGGATGCACCCCTATAATTTTAGCTGCCCTTATAATCTTAGTGACTTGGGAGCCTCAGGCAAGGATCCCAGGTTCAAGGCCAGCCTGAGCAATTTAGGGCTCAAAGTATTGCTCCTGGGTTCAATCTCCAGTGCCACTAAACAAACAAACAAACATCAGTCCATTGTAATTTGTGGCCATTATCTAGATCTTGGTTGGGAAAAATCTTTTGAAAATATATGATACTTCTAAGACAACTGGATATTTGAGCGCTGTCTGGGCATCTGATATTAAAAATTATTAACTTTTAAGTGTGATAATGGTATTCTGATTATGTTTTTTTAAAAGAGTCCTTCTCTTTTAGAGATACAAACTGAGATACTTACAGAGGAAATGAGATGAAGTATGGGATTCACATCTGGATAATATGGGAGGAAGAGAACGGAGGCATCAGGTGAAATAAGATTGAGCCTTGAAATTGTTGCAGTTGGTTGACGGGATTATCTATTCTCTTACTTTTGTATATATTTGAAATGATCCATAATTTTTAAAATGAGAGGCATTTATGAGGGAGACTTCTACACCTATTTGAGGCCTTATTTCATTGCCTTTCCACTACAGCCCTGTGAGTGAAGTACAGTTTTCCCTGTTCTCCGTGGCTGAAGCCACCCTGGCTTTGACTTTCACAGTGTCCTCTTATTACTCTCCCGCTCCCTGTGCCCCCCCACCCCAGCCCATTCTCCACACAGCAGCCCAAATGCTTTGACTCCCATGACAACTCAACTCTAGGTTTCTCTTGGTTTTCAGAGGAGGAAATGAGGCACCCAGCGATTAGATCATTTTCCCAGAGCTCACAGTTAATAAATGGCTGGAGGGCTGGGGTGGGGAGCTCAGTAGGAGCAAGCTTGCTGAGCACGCCAGAGGCCCTGGGCTCCATTTCCAGTGCAGCAAGAAGAATCACGCAAACAGGTAAGGTTGCTGTCACTCTGGCTTGGGGGCCTTTCGCATGTGCACATTGCTATAAACAGAAAATAAAATCACATGTGAAGACACAGAGCCCACTGTTGAGTGGTTCAGCATGGCTCAGAGAGCAGACAGTGGAGCCAAACCCTGAGCCTGGGTCACTCTGTGCCTCAGTTCCACCATGGGTAAAGGAGGAGTAAAAATAGTCCCCACCCATGGTGTCTTTGTGAGGAGTGGGTCACTCAGATGTGCAGAGCTGTGCTGACACCTGGCAGTGCTCTTTGTTGTCATCGTCACCAGGTGTGTGGGGAGTGAACTATGCCAGTAACATACACCAAAATATCTGTGTCAGAATTACCTGAATAACAAAAAATTCACAGGCTACACTTCTTTCAGCAGTGGCAGGTCACCAAGTACTCATGGGTCACATGGGAGTCATAAGCAGAGCAATCACAAGTTCTTTTATTCCAATCATAATGACACATGACATAATTCCAATCATAAAAACATTCAAGTCACACATCTCACACACACACACACACACACACACACACACACACACAACAGAGGGTTACAGCACTGTAGGGGCTCAGGGGCACTGAACTGAGAGCCAAGGCAGAGAGCCTGGTCTTGCAGAGTCACTGTAGGTGGTCAGAGCTGCAAAGTGCAAAACTTGTTCTAGGCCAGAGTCTGACAGGCTGAGGTTTCAGAGTGTCAGCTTGGAGTGTCAGCTTGACACCTCGGTTTGGAGTAGGCGATGCGTGGTTTTTGTGGACGTGTGAAACCATGCTGTGCTGAGGCCAGGAGGGACAGAACCAGAGGTTTGTTGCTATGGTGACTTTCCTGAACAAGGCTAGTGATGAGTGACCAGCGATGGGGTTCGAGTGCCATCATGTCCAGTATCGAGATGGTGCTCCTCCTCTTATGGCCCTTGGGCAAGGGGGTTGCTTCATGCAGGGGTCTGGTGTGTTTGATAAGCTCACGGGCCTGATGTTTCCAATGTGGAGTTGATATACCCATGCATCCATGTGCTTCTGATTAAGTTAATAAGTTCACAGGTGGTTATTTTTATTAGCATGATTAATTTATCAGCTTCTGCCTTATGGTTGTGCTAGGTAGATGGTGGTTGTTTACTTACACCAACTAGGTACAGAGTAGTTTCTACCTTGGCACTGGTACTCAAAATGGAGTAACTCATGGCAAACTACTGTTTTTTGAAAATGGAGTAACTCACCAGGCATGGTGGTGGCTCAGAGGCTGAGGATTGAGAGTTCAAAGCCAGCCTCAGCAACTTAGCAAGGCAATAAGCAACTCAGTGAGACCCTGTTTGTAAATAAAGTATAAAAATGACTGGGGATGTGGCTCAGAGGTTAAGTGCCCCTGGGTTCAATTCCTGGCACACACACAAAAAAAAAAAGAAAAAAAAGTAACTCAGGGTTAGGGAGAGCTTGAACACTGTTGCTCCGTCCATCATGAACTGTGTTCCGCAAACGCATGTTCTCTCTTGGCCTCTCCTCTCTGATTCTGAGAGCTCCATTCTCACCAGTGTCTGACTCTGCAGAAAAACTTGCAGCTTCTAGGATGAGCCTCTGAGTTCCTTTGCCTTTCCCACTGTGCCCAGCTGGTCTTCCCACCCAGGTTGAGTCCCTCCCCTGTGGGGCTCCCAGCAGGGAGAACTCTACTTGATTTGCAGAGGCCTGTCAGTCCCTCTTATTCCGCCCCCAGGCATTGATCACCTGTTTCCGGCTTCTCCGCAGCCTGTTGCTTTTTGAGGACAAGGACCTGTATTTATCTTGAAATCCAGTGGAGAGCTAAGACTGAGCAGTGTTTAATAAATGTTTATGAAATAAACAGTCACAGGTGTGCCTCTCTGGCAGGTTGGAAGTTTTTCAAATTTGGAAATAAACCTGAATAAATGAGAAAGCACAAAATATATTAGGTGTCATTCATATTATATAAATCTATAAATAACTATATAAAACATTTGTATATGTCATGTATGAATGTGTCTAATAAAACATGTTTGGTACTGGGGATATATATATATACACACACATATATCGAGATATAATACATTTTTTAAATATTTTGTTTTAGTTGTAGTTTGAGACAATACCTTCACTTTTTTATTTTTATGTGGTGCTGAAGATGGAACCCAGAGTCCCTGCACATGCTAGGCGAGCGCTCTACCACTGAGCCCCAGCCCCAGCCCCTATATATATATCTATATATCTATATATAGATATATAGATATAGATATATAGATATATAGATATATAGATAGATATATATATTTAGAGACAGGGTCTCACTGAGTTGCTCAGGGCCTTACTAAGTTGCTGAGACTGGTCTTGAACTCACAATCCTCCTGCCTCAGCCTCCCAAGCCACTGGGATTACAGGTGTGCCCTACTGCACCTGGCCCAAGACGTGTTTTTATACATAACAATTATTTGAGCTTCTCATGCATATTAAATTATAGATATATTATACATATTTTTAATATTATTTTTTAGTTGACAATAGTTTAATTTTGTTTATTTTTATATGGTGCTGAGGATTGAACCCAGGGCCTTGAACGTGCTAGGCAAGCGCTCTACCACTGAGCCACTGTTTTATAAAAATGCAGTAACTCACCAGGTAAGTCCCTTTGAACTGTCAATCCTCCTGCCTCAGCCTCCGAGCCACCACAGCACCTGGTGAGTTACTCCATTTCTCTCAATCCTCCTGCCTCAGCCTCCGAGCCACCACAGCATCTGGTGAGTTACTCCATTTTCACCCCAGCCCTATTACACATATTGTAATGTATCAAAAGTTTATTCAAATGGTTATTTATAAAGCAAATTTAAGCTAAACCAGAAATTCATTGGTGCCTAGATATTTGAACTTCTTTAAAGCTTGTTTCAAATAAACATCCTCCTTTAAAGGTTATATGCACATGAAAATATTTGCTATTTAATTTCTCTATATAAAGTTATCATGATTTGTCTTTACTGGTTCCCTTTCTTCTGTGTAACCCCTGGAACTTCAGTTACACACAGCGGGGAAGTTGTCCTAACTCGTTTGGTTGCGTTCCTTGCAATTTCTGCAAGTCGTGGTTTTGCCTTAA